CCCCCCCCCCTTCCCGGCTGGGTCTAGTGTCGTTTCTTCTCGGCTGTGAATTGTTAGTGGTAGATAGTAGTGGGCAGCAGGTTGGACGGAGCAGCCAGTATCAGCGTCATCATCATCATCATCGAGACTGGACTCCATGTCCAGCAGCGCAAGGTTCATTCACAGCCATCCTCATGGTCAACAGAGGCGTCGGCCCAGACCACCCCAGACCTGACCCGATGAATCGGCGAGCTCGTCCCATAGGAGCGTTCGTATACCAGCCGACTGGGTTCCAAAGCTGCTCGTATATTAATCCGGAATCCGTACTAGCATCCGGTAAGGTATAGTAGGTAGTGGACAGGCGTCGTGGTCTGGTAGGACCGCAGGGGTCGCGGAGAGAGAGGGAAACAAGGCCCCCAGAAAGGAACGGCCAACGCGAATTCCCGGGCTTTGTTTACTTTATGTAGTACTCCATGTAATGCGCGCGGAGCTCCGAGTCCTATCACGCATCTATCAACCCCCAATGATAACAGTCTGAACAACGTCCAATCTACGGGTACAGGGCGCATACTCGCGGCCTTCCTTTGAATCCAGGAAGGCGGCCAGAGAAGATAGGCTGCCTACCGCTGGATCTCCCGGCTCGAATTTTGAGCCCGCCGATTTATCAGGCAGGTACAAGTGGTACATGCACCCCGGCTCCGTGCCCAACCCGGCAGCGGACTGCTTTACGAGGGAATTGCAAACCGTCCTGAGACAACCCTCCCGAGAGGAAATGAATCTCCAAGGGAGGTCTGATCCCTCCCAAACTATATTTCCTCGCCGAAACACCTGCCCATGGAGTTGCCAACGGCCAATGCCTGCACCAGGCATTGCGATCATCGCGTTTCATCCCAATGCGGCACCCTACGACCAGCGCCATTCCGTGGAAGATGGGAAACCCTCGACAGGCGGCTTATCACGATCCATTTCTCTGAGCTCATCACTACTCGGAATCGATTGGTTGGGAGGTCGCGATAAGGCCCTGCGCGCCACCTGCATTTGGGGTGGGGCCCCCTAGGGCCGGATCCGGCGTAGTTCAGCCTCGACAGACTCCACCGCGTTGATAACGAGAAGCTTGGCCAATGAAGGCCCGCTCGGATTAGGTTTAGACTCCCTCATTCTCCCGATGTCCACTCGGGACTTTTCGGGAATGCGCGGTCAAGTTCCTATCGCCGGCTCGGCTTGCTGGGCGCGCCTGTTTCGGGCGGATGGACGGCTGACTCGTCGGCATCGCTGCTTGGCTCTTGGCGGGTTTCATCGTGGCTGCCTGTTCGGAGGCCGCCGATGGATTTGACGGGGAGTCGACACGCGGTTGATGTGGTGACACCCCCGGTGTGGCCATTCTGGTGCTACGTCTGTTCCCCCCCCTCCGTACTCCTGACTATCATCACGCTTCGGAGAATTTGTCCCACAGAAGTAGATACTAAGTACAGAAAGTAGAGAATGCTGGCCGGCTAGTAAGACGTTAGTCCGAAGGACTCACCTATGGGATACGTCTGACTCTGACGGACCATGCTAGTCCTCGGCCTAGTAGGTAGTCGCGTGGGGTGGACCACCCCTCAGAGTCGAAGACTAGAAGTAGGCAACTGGAGTTTGCCTATCAGCAGCCGACGGAGGACCTGAAGAAACCGGATGGAGATTGGAGAGAGAGAGAGCCTACATCGGACCGGCGAGCTGGACCCTGGGGTGATAACACGATCCCCGATCGGGTAAGGTGGTGGTTCATAATAAGTAGGATGCCCTACCTTATCCTCCCTGCCCAACCTGCTAGCATCCGAGGGTTCAGGGGCATGCGAAAGATATGGAGCTGCTGTAGCTTCGGGGACGGAACTAGTACCTATCATAATCCTTACAGGATTCCCTCCTCGATCTTCTCCATATAACTAACCCCGTATCCGCTGCACTAGCAGCTTATCACAGGGTTGCCTGTCGAGTAAGGTGCCAGTATCATCCGCAAGGTGGGTTGATGTTGCTGAATCTTTTATCACTAAGCCGGACGCTGATTATTAGTTCCCAGGACTTGAGCATGCTTATTTGAACTTACCTGCCATTTCCTGGCTATGACCCAGGAATCCGGGCAGCGGAAGGAGCAACTGTCTACAGGACCAGGTCGGGGCCGCGGAGATGTCATGAATGTTGCACGGCTACGGACTCCCCGTCCTCGCCACGTGCTCGTTGCGGGCCCTTGTTGGGTCATTGGGTCATTGCAGAATGCCATTGGGGCTGTCACACTGCAAACAAATCCCATGACGGCGGAGGCCATGAGACCATCGCTGGGGCCAAAAACGTCAACGGCTCGGGGCCAATCATGATCTCGGTTGCCTGGTCGCTGGCGGCTGCCCGGCAGGGCCAAGCACTATTACCTAACGTTTATTTGCATTCTGCAGGGAGCCCGAATTCCGCTGGGATCAGGGCACGGTCTTGTATCTCGGGTCTGGAAAATGTCTGACTTTCTGAGAATCATGGAGGCCACGGGCTCTAGGGGGTCCCCCTGCGCTTGGAGAGTTCTCCTTCAACATGGACACCGGGCGGGTATTGCCGCTGCTGCGGTGCCTTGCGGTGCTGTTTGGGGTCGAGGACAAATAGCAATCGGCTTCCTTGCGTGCCCCTCCATGAGCTGTGGGCCTGTGAGTCTCTAGTTCACTCCGATGGTTGGTGTGGAGTCTAGACTCTCCCAGGCTCAACCTCAGCGATGAGGCTCTGGCACGGACTTTCGGGATCGGATTGACGACCGAGTCCCCGTGACTCATGTCTAGTCCTCCTGTTGGATAGCTACATATGAGCTTTGGTCCGACTGTGGAATGCGGGTCACCTGTAAGAACCACCATACCCAGGGGAGCTAGTATGGCTATCAAATTTCATGTTTGGTTGTTGATACTGACGATATTGTGCGGGAGGCCAAGCGATCGTGTCAGGACGAGGCAAACTAAATGTGAAAGTACAAGCCTTGATCACCTGACCAGCATGGGTCCTGTATGGGCTCGGTGGTCCGTTAACCGTCGGCGATTTGTTGCTTATCTTGAAGCACTGGCCTAGTGCACGTACTGGCTCGGTTTAGCCTGCATGGAGCTTTGCTATATATATAGACACATGCTGTGGCAACTCTCAACAGCCAGGGCAACACTGACGATATACAGGGATATCTGGGACCAAGGACCTGGCCATCAAGATGATAACTGACTAGGCCCTCGATAGATTCGTAAGGAGGCGAAGAAAGCTGGCCACAAGTGTCCTTGATGTAGGCACAAAACATGGCCAGGTCACATGACCACATTCAATTCCACATCGTATGTAAAAGCATTTGTCTACAAGAGTAACAAGAGACATGTCTTTAACAGAAAGGCCCTCATCTCAAAGGCCTAAGTTGCACACACATGCTTCCTGAAATCCATAGTAGGACAAAACTGAAGAGGAGAAAAGTGAGGCCATAGCTAAAAGCTTTGTGTGTTGCCGTATCTAGCCAATAGCGGGATGTAACCTCAACAACAGGCCTGCTGGCCCAATGGTAAGGCGCTTGACTACGGATCAAGAGATTGCAGGTTCGAGTCCTGCGTAGGTCATTCTTTTTTGTGTTTTTCAGTCCCATCCGGACTGACCACGGGCACCCGGCTTACCTTGTCTTTTCCCCTTTTCTTTTTATCCCACTTGGTCGGATATTTGTCCGGATTGAGACATTCATATCCCAAGCGAACCGATGCAGATACCCAGCCCAAAACAGTGAAAAATACACAAGAAAATGCATTCCCTCTATACATATAACCAGACCCTCTATTAAACATTGACACTGTATCCTACCCCCACTGACCCCCGTCGCTTCAACGCCATATAGTACTTCCGCGCCTCGTCAACCCAAAACACGGTGCTCGCAATGCACACCAGTCGGATCAAGTGCCCCAGACCGAGGGGCTCCGTCTGGAAGATCCGCTGTAAGAATGGAAGGTAGATCACACAGGCCTGCCCAGCGAGCGAGCCAAAAACCGCGTAGTTGAACATCTTGTTCCCAAACAGAGATATTTCGCCCCGCAGCACCGACTTCCCCTCACTGCGGCAGGTCAATGCATTGAACATATCGAACAGCACAAAGCAGGTAAAGGTCATGGTCGTGTCGTGAGCCGTCACCACGCGGGAGCGCTTTCCTGGGTTGGCCGCGTCATCGATGTCGCCCATTTCGTGAATGTAGATGGCAAGGGTGCCAAGCATGATCACCATCGCCGAGGTGAGAACGCGTTGGATGAGCGGTTTGGTGAGCACACGGGCAGTTCGAGGGCGCGGAGGCCGGTTCATGATAGACGGATCAACGGGTTCGACACCCAGCGATTGCGCAGGTGGACCATCCATGAGAATATCTGGAAACCAAGGTTAGCAACAGGCGGCGCATAGACGACGGCCATGGACTCACTGATCCAGAGAATCTGCATGGCATTCAAAGGGTTCTTGAAGCCCAAGGTGGTGCTCAGCAACACGAGACTCAGCGCCGCAACACTGGTGCTGAGCTGGAAAGTGATGAAGTTCTGGATGTTGTAGAAGATACCCTTGCCCTGCTCGATAGCACGCAAGATCGTCGAGAAATCGTCATCCGTCAGGATCATGTCTGCCGCCTCCTTGGCGACATCGGTTCCCAACTTGCCCATCGAGATACCAATGTCCGCCTTCTTCAGGGCGGGTGCATCATTGACGCCATCGCCCGTCATGGCCACCACGTCGCCGCGGGACTGCAGAGCGCGCACAAGCTTCATCTTATGGTCCGGACTGGTGCGGGCGAAGACCGAGGTGGAGGAGATGGCTTGCGCGAGCTCCGTGGTGCTCATCCGATCGATTTCCTGTCCACTGATGACGGGCCGTGACCCAGGGGCGTCACTGACAGGCATGCCCAATTTCTTCGCAATGGCCACGGCGGTAGTCTCCGCGTCGCCTGTGATCATGATAACTCGGACGCCTCCAGCCATGAGACGTCTGATAGACTTATGGACATCCTTGCGCGGGGGGTCGTTCATGCCTACCAAGCCCGCAAAAACGAGGCCGTTGTAACGGTCGTCATCATCGCTTTGGCTGGACTTGGACACGGGGGTACCCGATCTGCTGCCGAACGCTCGGCCTCTAGTAGCGTCCCTCACCCCGCCACTGGCGAACGCAAGGACCCGTAATCCTTCCGATGCCATCTCCTCGGCGGCTTGCCTCACGGCCTGGCGCCGGGGTTCATCCAGGATCACCTCGCGGCCATCCTTGGTCAAATACGTATCGCATCGCAAAAGGACCTGCTCGAGGGCACCCTTGATATAGGCAACATTGGTATCACCAGATGTGCCGTTGCCGATGATCACACCCATCCACTTGCGCTCGGAGCTGAACGGAGTTTCTGCTACCCGAGCGCTGATACGATCACGCACATCGTCCTCGCCGAAGGTGTCCAGCAAGTCCAGTATAGCGACATCGGTAGGTTGGCCAACCCACCTGCTCCTGACGCTGCCCGAGGCCCTGTCGTCCGTGGAGGACAACACTGCGGCAGAGGACGCACTAGCAGGAGAGTTTGCATGTACACGAGACAACCTAGCATTGTTGGCGATATTGCCAATTCGCAGAACGGTGCGCGCTGCGGGTCCGGGTGTCAAGGAGGAGATGTCATTGTGAACCTCGAATGGCTCGGGACAGTCAAAATGCCACATCTTCGTCACCGTCATGTGGTTAAGAGTCAGAGTACCGGTCTTATCGCTGCAGACGACATTCACGGAGCCCAGTGTCTCAACACTGGGCAGTCGTCGCATAATGGCACCGCGTTTCGCCATGCGCAGCACACCCAGAGCCAGGGTCACGGTGACAATGATGGGAAGGCCCTCTGGGATCGCAGCCACCGCGAGCGAAACGCCAATCGTGAACATTTCCAGGAGCTTGCGGCCTTGGATCAAACCGATCACAACAATTAGCCCGATGACGCCGAACGAGATATAACTCAATTCCTGGCCCAGACGGTCCATCGACAGCTGTAATGGGGTCCGAGGGCTTTCGATTTCCTGAAGCGAGGCGGAGATGCTTCCAAATTCCGTTTTCGCACCGGTTCCGATCACAATGCCCTGTCCGTATCCCGACCGAACCAGAGTACCCATGAAGGCGATGTTGTGTTGTTCGTTCAGACGGATGTCGGCTCCTACCGCGCCGCTGGCAGGGGCGTCGTAGAATGGCGATCGAGGCGGGCTCACAATCTTGGGGGAATGCGATGGGAGATGTTTCGGGCTGCGAATAGCGTCGGAGTACTTGACAACCGGCTCGTTTTCTCCTGTCAGGTTGGACTCGTCGATTGTCAGATCGGTGGCTGCCGTGATTCTGATGTCTGCCGGAATGCGGTCCCCGACGGTGAAGAGGACCAGGTCACCCGGCACCAGTTCAGTGGCCGGGACGGTAGTCGAGGCCTTGACCGCATTAGAGATGGATGGACTCTTGTTTCGCAGCTCCTGCAACTCAATCTCCCCACCGGGGGCCGGGGAGATCGAGCCGACCACTGGAGGGCCATCGGCAGGAACATCGCGAATCAGGTGTGCATGGTGCGGCACCAGACGAGACAGTGCTTCCAGCGATTTTTCCGACCGGTATTCCTGAACAAATCCGACGGTGACGACAATTGTAACGGCGAGGGTAATGCTGACTGCATCGTCGTAGTTGCCCATAAAGAACGAAATCGCTGCGGAGGCCAGGAGCAGGAGAATCAAGGTCTCCTTGAACTGCTTGAGAAACCGGAGCCAGATAGGCTCCGGCTCCTCGTGAGGTAATTCGTTGGGACCATCCCGGGCGAGTCGCACCTCTGCCTCCGCAGGGCTGAGGCCATGGGTGAGGGAGGTCTGTAAGCGCTGTGCGGTCTCTTGCGGGTCTAAGAACGAATATGTCGAGGTGGACGTCTATCCGCGCAGGGTACCCCGGTCAGACACCACGACGAGATCGCAAAGGGGGACAGAAGATAAAAGAAATGGATGGGGCAAGGAGGAGACAGTGCTGCAGGCAACTTACGGAGGGGGAGGTGCTGGAGCGCACGTCCGCCGGGGTTGTCGACCGAGGTCTCGAATCGGGGATCTGGGCATTATGGAAAGGTAGCGCGGGCGTTGCGGACCTTGACATTTCTCATGCTTTGTCGAAACGGAAAATAGGCCCAGGCAGATCAAACACCAATTGCTAGCATCCCGTCGGGATGAGAGAGGGAAGCGATAGCGAGGGGGGTCTCAGGGGGGTTAATGAGAAGCGCTGGGGAAAAATCGAGACAAGGCCGGCGAAGAGCAAAGCCACAGTCTCCTGGTGGTTGACGCGACCTGGCCGTAACTGCATCAATAGTAGTCAATTGGTTAGCAGGATGGGGAGGGTCGCTACTAAGTGGACTCGCGGCCTGGGCCGTGCACTGGCCAGACTCGGGGCAGAGGCACCCACCAAGGCTGAGGGTAGTTGGCACAAAGAATCTGGTTCTTATTGAACGTCGAGTTGGTGTATCTGGACCGGGGAAGGGTCGCTCGTCATTCGTGCTTCCATGCTTCGGATTTCTCCTCGAATGTCTATTGAGGATTGACGGCAATGACTTTCGGGGGCGCGGCTGATGATGCCTTTCCTAATGCGGCCTAGCTGACCGGATGACGCGTTGTTCCGAAGTTACCTTTATCGGGATTAGTCTGATCACATGGCTTTTGTCAGGTGATCTGATGCATCCTCCCATCTTACCTAAGCTGCATTCCCACACGTGACCCCAGCCACGTCGATTCACACCAATCAAATGCGGGCCGTGGAAGGAGGAGGCTGGGGCAACCGTCAGCCATTCACCCAAGCAAGAGGGAAAGCAAGCAAGCAAGCGATGGGCCCGGTCGACGCGCCCCGTCCGTTTCCCTCTCTCACTTCCACTCTTGTTTCCCTCCCACCTTGCGAATTCAGTCCCAACCACCCCCCCCCCCCCATCTCCATCTCTCATGCCACTATCGCCAATCCCTTTTTGGCTCCCTGTTTCCCCTCCAACCGTCTGTTGTAGGGCTTAGTTTTTCGTTCGCAACTTACGCGATTATCTTTCTCACCCACTCTACCCGTCATCTGCCAACTCCCAAGACAACTGTGGACTCCTTCGCCCGCTGCCCGTAGGGGGCCGAAGCACCAGTCGCTGATCCTTTTGTTTTCTGGATACGGCGCGTCACCAGGCGTTGGTTGCCAGGGACTTCCACCACAAACAGCCACCGCTCTGGGTGGGTTGTTTTAAATTCTCTCTTCTTTCTTGGGACCTCATTGCCCCGACTTTTGGATTGGATCCTGATTCCCCCGCGCCGCCGCCATGTTCTACTCGGAGACCTTGTTGTCGAAAACCGGGCCGCTGGCCCGCGTTTGGCTCTCCGCCAACTTGGAGCGCAAGCTTTCCAAGTCGCACATCTTGCAATCTGACATTGAAAGCAGTGTGAGCGCTATTGTTGACCAGGGACAGGCGCCCATGGCCCTGCGATTGAGCGGTCAGCTGCTCTTAGGTGTGGTTCGCATCTACAGCCGCAAGGCGCGCTATCTGTTGGATGACTGCAACGAGGCCCTGATGAAAATCAAAATGGTACATCTCGCTGCCCCTCGTGGTCTGGCACTTCCATCGCTGACATAACCTTGCGCAGGCCTTCCGTCTCACGAACAATAACGACCTGACGACCACAGTTGTTGCCCCGGGTGGCATTACGTTGCCCGATGTCCTGACCGAATCGGACTTGTTTATGAACCTGGATTCTTCCCTCCTATTGCCGCAGGCGCTCAACCTGGAGCTGGAGGGCAAGCGACCTGGTTCCTCGATGGATTTTGGAAGCCAGCTTCTCCCGGACACCGGCTTGCGGCGCTCCGCCTCGCAAGAACCTGCGCGCCTCGAGGATCACACTCTGGTTGATCTGGACTTGGGAGAGGATGAAACGCCCCTGGGTCACGACTTCAGCATGGAAGTGGGTCGAGATGCCCCGGCCCCCCGCCCCGTCGAGGAAGATCTCTTCAGCGATGGTGGCAAGTTCAACGACGTCGATAATCTGCAACTGGATCTTGGTGAAGATGATGCTCCTCTGGATAAGATGGATCTCGGGGAGGATGACCTACACGATAACCTTCTGCACACGGATGGCGCCATGGATCTCGGTGGTGACGATGATCTAGTTGCGCCCGATGTCGATGACAGATTCGAACGCGAGAGCGTTCTTAGCGATATCGAGGAGGAGCGATTAAAGGAGATGGAAGCTGAGCAGGAACGAATTGAGGAGGGAAAGGAAGGCGACGGCGCTCAGCATGCTCAACGTGCGAAGCGGCGCAAGGTCGTTCTCATGGATCTTGACGATGAGACTGATAAGAAGCAAAAGGATGTCAAGGACCAACACCTGAACCGCTCTGAGATTTTGAAGCCCTCGTCATGGCTCCCTAGGGATCCCGTGCTGCTTACCCTGATGAACATGCAGAAGAACGGTGACTTTGTGTCGAATGTGCTTGGTGCTGGCCGTGGACGTGGCTGGGCCCCTGAATTGCGCGACCTGCTTTCGTTTGATACCATTCGGAAGGCCGGTGAGCTTAAGCGGAAGCGCGACAGCGGGATTGCCGATATGGATTTGGACGCGGCCACCGCGCCTGCGCTGGAACTGGGCGAAGAAGAGACCATCCTGCCGATCGATGAGGGGGTTGGTCTCGACTCTACACTCCTCCAACGCTCCGATATCGAGTTCCCGGGTGACGAGGAGGATCATGCTCTTCGCCTTAGTGATGATGAAGGAATGAACCAACCATTGGAGGATGCGGATGAAACCACCATCCAGGACAGTGGGCCGGTTTCGATTGGTACGAAGCACGCCGTCCATATCCTCCGGGAGCGCCTCGGCGAATCCGCCGCGGACCAGAAGAAGAGCGTCAAGTTCCAGGATCTGCTCCCGGAGAAGAAGGCATCCAAGGCGGACGCCACTAAGATGTTCTTCGAGGTCCTCGTGCTGGCCACCAAGGACGCCGTTCAAGTCGAACAACGACCGGAGACCGTGGGTGGCCCTCTCAAGATCCGTGGCAAGCGTGCCCTCTGGGGCTCCTGGGCTGAAGAGGGTGCCAGTGAGGAGGCCGAGCAGCAGTCCGTTGAGGCCACGGCCTAGATGAGGTGGCTCCGGCGTCGGGTTCATGTACAGTTGCGTTCTCTTTGGATTGTGCTTTAGTGCGGGCAGGGCTGCCCTGGGGAATCTTGGGCTTTTTGTATGGGGGCGATCATCTTGTGTGAATCCATTGGAGTTTCGGGGTTTCTCTGTTGAATTTCTCTATTCTTTCTCGCTTTTCAGGGACTGAAAAGGCGGCTATTATGATTCGGCTGGAGGGCTGGGATGATTGCTCTGTTGGTCGTTGGGCGAACGTCTTGTTTGGACGATAGGTAGCTTAGTGTAATAGAGGTCTATCGAATATAATCTAGCCCAGCGATGCGCATGGGGCGTATCTCTGCTTTGGATGCATGGGTTCTTTTGGCGTCAATATACATTGTAGGTAACAATAGTAGTTAGTTCATGTGGGGAAAGGTTCCATGGCTGGGGGTGACGGGGTGGGTTTCTGGCGTCACGGCTGCCGAATGCTCGCGCCTCGGGTGGTTCTTCCCCGGCACCCATCATGAACACTGACCAGGCAGTTTAGACACCGAGAAGTCTGCAGCCGGGAATGCAATTCCGTCACGGAATCTGGCGAGGTTGGACTGACCATCTGTCAAAGAGAGTGTCGTTATCGCACTTCGGCCGTTATCTATCACTTCAGTCCGTCTCGGCTCTCCTCCGAGGCCGAGGACGACACTAACAATCCAGCGATCAGCCAGACCAGCCAATCTGCTTAGCTCGACGGAACTTCTCTCTCTGACGCCAGGCCTGCAACCCGCCAAGTGCACAACATCGCCCAGGAACGCTTCATGAACCGGATCGCCGTCTTCTGCATCCGGCTTGGTCTCATATAATCGGGATCTTAAGGCCGAGATCTCTCCATCTATAAGTTGAGCGAGGTGTCCCCTCTCCTGTGCGTACTCTATCACTCGACCGGTCCTTAGATATTCTGGCTTCTCTCATTCCCCCTTTATACTTCTCTCTCAGTCAAGCTTCATCAAGCTTTCTCGAAGAATTCCCCGACTGGACCAGCCGCTAAGCTTCCGCTGCAGATCGGCAGGTCTCAGCTCAAATCCTCCGAGTCGGCTCATTGATTGCCCTCCAAATCCAGAGGAGTTTTGAGCGCTCACAGAATAGATAACATCAGATTAACGGGGAGTGCGCGTCGTGGATCTCCCCAGTCGATTGCTCCATCATGTCTTCCACTGAGCGGGCAGACAGCTCGAGAGAAAGCATAGACGTGTGCTCGAGGGAGCGCTTCCCAACTACCGAACATAGCGATGAGGGCGATTTGGAAGGAGAGAAGCTGGAGGATAATGTCGATGGAACGTTCGCTCCCATCAGTGGTCGAATTGCTTCCCATGAAGACCGGCTGCGCAGACATCAGTCCGCCTCATCACATCCCCTCGAGCGCAGCTGGTCCCTGAACGACGGCTACAGCTTCCATACTACCGACGAAGAAGCCGCTGCAGAGAGAGTCATCAGCCGGAAAGAAGGAGGGGGTACCGATGAAGTGGATGACTTCATTGTCAGTTGGGACGAAGATGATCCAATGAATCCCCGCAATTTCAACACGTTGAGACGGTGGCTCATCGTGATTATCTGCTCATCAGGCTCCTTATGCGTGTATGTGTCTGATACGACGTCTGCTGCTTGGTGCTGATTAATTGTTGCTCAAAGGACTTGTACTTCGTCGATGTATACCGTCACCTATGATCAGATCACCAAAGAATTCAATTGCTCTCGGTTGATCGCGACCCTAGGCCTGTCATTCTTCATCTGGGGTCTCGGTAAGTAACATATATAGTATGTCTTCTTCTCCAATCCCCGACACTAACATGGTCTTTCCCAAGCGGTCGGGCCGCTTTTCCTAGGGCCTTTGTCGGAGGTTTGTATCTCCGTCTCGCAAATCTTTCTGAGTAATTGTTAATGAGGATTACTTTCACTAGTTCTATGGTCGAAGACGGATCTACATTTGCTCATTCTCATTCTTCTTGATATGGCTGATACCATGCGCCGTGGCCCCAAACATCCAGACTCTAATCATATGCCGCTTTTTCAATGGGATTGCTGGGAGCGCATTTCTCAGCGTCGCCGGTGGCACAGTGGGTGATTTGTTTGCCCGCCATGAGCTGAGTGCTCCGATGATGCTTTACACGAGTTCTCCATTCATTGGTCCCGAGGTGGGCCCGCTGTAGGTACTCCTTAGTACTGTAGCCTGCTGCATATCCGTTGACAAAGTTGCAGGGTCGGGGGGTTTATCAATCAATTCACCACATGGTATGCGTCCTCTCTATCTGCGAAGATGGCCAACGCTGACCATCTATCTTCATGGCTACCAGGAGGTGGACGTTCTATGTGCTTCTCATCTGGACGGGCGTTTTGCTGGTCTTGATTATCTTCCTCGTGCCCGAGACGTATCATCCAGTGTAAGGTGCCCGAGCCTCATGCGAGTTGATTGCGCTGACTCCTATCAGGCTCTTGAGACGCAAGGCCCGGAAGCTCCGCAAGGAGACTGGAGATGATAGGTGGCAGGCCCCTATTGAAAAGTTGCATCGCTCGGTCGCGCAGACGGTTTTGCGGTCGATCTATAGACCCTTGCTTCTTCTGACGTTGGAACCGATGTGTCTGAACCTCTGTATCTTCTCAGCCATCCTGTTGGGTATACTCTACCTCTTCTTTGGCGCGTTCCAGTTAGTCTTTGACAATGTCTACGGCTTCGAGCTGTGGCAACGTGGTCTTTGCTTCCTCGGCCTGTTCGTCGGCATGCTTTTTGCCATCTTCTCCGACCCCTTATGGCGCCGCAATTACGTCCGTCTGGAATTGAATCACGAGAAGGCTGTGGGACGGTCTGACGACTACCAACCGGAGTGGCGACTACCCCCAGGTATGTCTATCGGTGTGGAGCTTAAGACGCTGGCTCTAACGGTGAATCAATATAGCGATCGCTGGAGGCCCACTTGTCACCATTGGGCTGTTTATATTTGCCTGGACAATCTATTCCCACGTGCACTGGATTGTACCGCTCATCGGCAGCGCGTTCTTTGGAGCTGGGTAAGTGCAGTGATCTCCATGGCCCTGGGGCCACGTTAACGCTCGTTCTACTCACCCCGGGCCTTTGTGACTAACGGCTGTAGGACCATTCTTGTGTACTCGGGAGTCTTCACTTTCTTGGTCGATGCGTACCCGACCTATGCTGCGAGTGCTCTGGCGGCCAACAGCTTCGCTCGCTCCATTTTCGGCGGCGTCTTCCCTCTTTTCGGTATTCAGAGTAAGTTCTTCAGTCCCGTTCATGTTGGGCAGGTATTGCGGGGGGTTGCGAGTGTCCCGTGGGTCTATTCGAAGGCATACCGCTTCATCATGCGTTCTGCTCTATTCATAGACCGCAGTGAAACGGCCAGACACGACAGCTCCAACCGTGACCGCCAGATGCTGACCTGGGTCTAGTGTACAACAACCTAGGCTATCACTGGGCAACCTCCCTGCTTGCATTTCTGACGCTTGTCATGGCACCCTTCCCGTAAGTGCTCGACTTCCTGCGCGTAACCGTCTACTCTTTCCCTCGCCTCTATGCCCTGTCGGACAGCGTATTTTTAGTGCGGTCGCTCTGCAGCTATGGTGGCATGGCACATCCGGCGCTGTCTGTGGGCGTGTACCTCCAGCTTATCCTTATAAGTGCGATGAATTGCGGGGGGCGGTAGGTGAGCACGAGCGCTGACGACGAATTGGACGGGCAGGTATATCTTTTTCCGCTACGGTAATCGGATCCGGCAGAAGAGCCGATTTGCTGCACGGTAGATACCCACGTCATCGGGACCACCGGGGCTCTGGACAATACAATCGGATGCAGCGCATACTCTGCGATTTGGTACCCTTCTCAACCCCTGGAAGGGCACGTGCTCAAGAGTCGGTCAACGACCGACACGGCGGCCCGCACCAGGAACGTTACTCCCCAGCAACGACTTTCAGCATGATAGACCTGCATCCTCGGGCGTCGGGTGACATCCGCCAACTGTTGGACCGATGGCAGGCTCGCAAGACGGATGGTGGCAGCGGACCGATGTTTAGAGTAGGGGTTTAAGCTAGCGAACTACGGAGTTATTAAGATGGGGAAAAGCTACCGGGAGGTGAATAATGATGATCCACATTTTGTGCCAGGCCATCCTCCTCCTGCTCGAGACACCGCCATCCGGAGTATACCTTTGCGTCCCGTAGGCAGGAACCACACCGAGCCCATGACATCCCTCACAATACGACATCAGCACTCACCCACCCCAACATCAAACCCAAGCCTGACACCGCGTGCGCCCCCTAACCGAGGCAATCTCTGAACCGCCACAATAGGCAATACGAGGGCATCCTACAATTCATCGGAAGAATCCGGGGGCCTCGCGACAAACATAGCCGGGAAACCCCGGGCGGCTAGTCGAAATAGCTCATACCTCATGGGCACACGCAAATCAGGGGGGGAAGAAAGGAGAAAATTGTGGCCTGGATTGACGAAGTTTGAAGGGCGATGGCGCGCAGGGGTTGTGATTGGTGTGTCGGGTGAATGTTGAGGGATTTGTTTGGATTTGGGAGAGTTGTGCGGGCTGCCGCAGCGTGGAGATACAGATACAGATACACGTGGGAGAACTATACTTATTACTTACCTTGATGGCGGCTGGACGGGTATGTGGTATGGTAATGACGGTGGTGAGGTAGTTACTCTATGTATTACTATCTAGATACTAGTAGTATAGTAGTAGCACTAGTAGACTGAGGCTAGCGACAGGCTGACTGACACCGTGGGGGTCAAATTGGGGCCTTGGGGGGAGCATTTGTGTGCCCAGACAACTCGGGATCTTGGTACTCCCATTGCTTAATTGGTGGTGTATAAGGCTGGACTAGTACATGGGATGTACTATGTAGTGACATCTCGCGTGGCCGGTGGATTCGATGTTCACTGCGAGAGTAGTACATCTGGGATAGCATGGAATCGAGTGCCATCGATAGATGTAGACATTGCTTTTTGTTATCGGAACGGGCCGAACCAGTCAATGCCGACGGAGTGAGATGGTCTGCATATGCCATGCCATTCATCCTTCTGCTCCTATGATGGCATCGGTGGCTACGGTATAGATGGGGGGAGGATCACGGGTCTGGCCCATCTTCCCTCTTGAGTTCGGTTACCTGCTTCTCCTCCCGCGGATGGGAGAATGGCTGACTGATTACACAGCCGAACCCCTCGAGCATAGCATAACTTCATGAGAGTACGGGGTACTTAATCCAGACTCGGGGGAAGCCCAACCGAAGGGTATCTGCATCAGGTGGCCGTCACATGCGGTGGTGAGGGAAGCACATGTAAAAACCTGTTCCAGCGCCGTCATTTCCGTACCGACGAGGCCCTGGCAGTTGAAGGACTTCAAAATTGGTCCCCGAGGCCGGCCCGAGTCAACGAGCAGACCGGCATCAGTTCGCAGTCAGCAGTGAGGGGAAGGATTGCGACATATCAACCCGACCAGCTGCACGACGGTTCAGCTCGATGCGCGGTGAGTCAGACCAAGTCATCATTCAGCAGCGGTGGAGAGAAACAAGAGACACGCGACTGTCGGCGAGGGTTCACTTCAGGTCCCGTCCGGTATTGTATTGCACTGAACACGACGTTACCGAACGGTACTGGTAATCTCGTTCATTTTGTGCCTTTTTGTCGACCCGGGCAGCAAATTCCCTCGTGTGTTTTTTTCCCCCTCTGGTTTTTTTTCCCTGTCGGTTTGTCCGTCCAATCCATCAATAATCACCACGGACGGGCCTCTCTTGTCTGTCTGTCTCTCCTCTCAGTTCTCCTCTCCTCTCCTCTTTACCAATCCTTCCCCGCGTTCCCCTCGACCTCGCATCGATCTTCACCCTCTCCCCTCTACCCCTCCGCTTATCCCCTCTTCCGTATATATCTCCCCTCTTCGAGTCGTGCTCGCATTGCGCCTCTGCCCATCATCGGATCCGCTTCCATCTCGACCCTTTAACCACCACAGGTTTTCCCCGCAGCCCCGGCAAGTCGTTCGCTCCACCTGCGCTACTCTCTGCCACTACTTGCCGCGTGACATAAGAAAAAAAAAAAAAAAAAAAAAAAAAAAAAAAAGGGAAAAAGGGAAAAAGGGAAAAAGAAAACGAAGGGGCAAAATCTTGACCCCCTCCGCATTTTACGAAACTCTTTCCCCAGGAGAATACTTTTCCTCGGCGCAATTCGCAACAGTCGCCCTTCTGACTGGTGCTGACTGAGCACGCAAGCAAGGTCCTTCGTGGTCGGTTCCGCTATTCGTTCCGTCCTGACTACTACTACGCCTCCTCCTACCGAAGCCGTCGTCGTGTGGATTCTATGCGCCCGATCCGTCAACCGACGATCTCTTTGCGACTCCCAGAGTAAAGCCTGGTGAGATTGGCCAGCCTCACGGTCGACCTGGATCCCTGTGGGTGCGCGGGCTCGCAACGCGACCACGGCCGTCGGCCTCGAAGGATAAAGTGATCAGGCACGCGCGCGCCGACTTTGCGCCTGCTTCGCCCTTTCGCTGTCGTCTCGGACCACGACGCGGAGCAACATCCGGTCGAACGGATTGACTCCGGTCGCATCGCTCATACCTCGGTTGACATTGCCCGTCGAGATGAACGTGGACACGAAGGATCAAGGTTCCCCAGCTCCGTCGGCGGAGCGCACGGAAGCCAGCCAGGAGATTAGCGCCGCCGGAGACCAGCCCGAGCAGCCGAAGACCGAGGCCAACGGCGACGGAGCGACGAATGGCACCCCGGCGAACCCCCAGAAGCCCAACCCGAAAGACCCGTCAAGGCCCCGGAGGAAGAAGGCGAGACGGGCTTGCTTTGCTTGCCAGCGGGCGCACTTGACTTGCGGTACGACTGACCTTGCTTCCAGCTTTGCTTGCGTTCCACGACCCCGTTTTCTCCCAGTAACCATCTGTCCCGCGCCTCTACGGGCAATCACGCACAGTGTCCTGTGCGCCTGACTGAGAACCTGCCACTAATCGAGCTTTCGCATAGGTGATGAGCGGCCGTGTCAGCGGTGCATCAAGCGCGGTCTGCAGGATGCGTGCCACGACGGGGTCCGGAAAAAGGCCAAGTACCTCCACGATGCGCCGGATGGGGCATTGATGCCGGGGATCGGTGGGACCTTTTACAATAATGCCCTGCGAAACGGCATGCCGCTGTCCCGGAATGGTCAAGGCGGCGCAACCTTCTATCCCACGCCCCAGTCGACGACCTTTGTCTATCAGGAGACTCCCATCAACCAGGTCTCATTTCCCTCGCAATCACCAGTGTCCCCGACGTTCAACCTCAAGCCCACCCCGACCGCGCGCGCGAACAGCCTATCATCCTCGGTCAATCCGCAACCGCCAACCACGGGCGTCTCCGGGCCACCGGGCCCGGGCCAGAATCCGTTCGCCGGTCCGTTCTTTGATCCCAGTGACCCCGCGCTCTTCAACTTCGACCTCTCCAGCATGAACTTCGAGAACCGATACGGCGCATTGGAATTTGGCATGCTGGGACACATGGCGACTGGCGCCGGGGACTCCCCGAGCGATTCTGCCACGCAGCGAGGATCCATGGGGCGCAGTGGCTCGGCACAATTCGCCTCGACCCCGATCACCGGTGCCCCAGGTTTTGGCGAAAGCCCAGGCAACCAGCAGCCGTTTATGTTTGGGGACCCGCTCCTGAACGAATGGCCTAGCGGGCAGACCCCGGGACAACCGCATCTGCCGGGGGTCTATGCGTCTGGGCAAGGCAGTGCGATCCCCGGACACCTGACCAAGGCTGATGCGCCCCATGCCTTTGCGATTGAGAGCGGGCCGGCCAGTTTCAATAGCCCCGGAGCGACCACCAGCCCGCAGCTGCCGACTGGACTCGAGGAATCCCCGTTTCACAGTGCGCTCGCCAGCAAGTCGAATGGATTGGCGCCCCACGGACAACGGCCGATCATCACGACGCCGAGTCTGAAGCATCAGCATTTGCAGGTCAGCGCGCGGCGGCGCCAACGCAACCCGTCGGCCATCTACGACAGCGTCAAAGAGCCGTATGCCTACACGAGTCGATTCCACAACCTCACGGCCTTCATCCAGCGGCGCTTCCCGCCCCAGAAGACGCTGCAGATTGCCAAGGCGCTGGCATCGATCCGGCCGTCCTTCATTGCGACGACCAAGACGCTCAACCGGGACGACCTGATCTTCATGGAGAAGTGCTTCCAGCGGACACTATGGGAGTACGAGGATTTCATCAACGCGTGCGGCACCCCGACCATTGTATGTCGACGGACGGGCGAGATCGCCGCGGTGGGCAAGGAGTTCAGTATCCTGACGGGGTGGAAGAAGGACGTGCTCCTGGGCAAAGAGCCCAATCTTAATGTCAACACGGGGGGTTCTACCATGCCGAGCTCGGGGGCCTCGTCGCGCAGCTTCACGCCGCGATCGGCCGCGGAGAATCCGACCCCCGGACGACCGCAACCGGTGTTCCTGGCGGAGCTGCTGGATGATGACAGCGTGGTGCAATTCTACGAAGATTTCGCGCGGCTGGCGTTTGGCGACTCTCGGGGCAGCGTGATGACGACATGCAAACTACTGAAGTACAAGACGAAGGAGGACATGGAGGGGGCGGCAGGCGAGGATGGACACCGGTGGAACAGCCACCTGCGCAAGGGCGGGATTGCCAGCGAGGCGGGGATGAACCAGCTGGGGTTCAAGGACGGGAAGGTCGAATGTGCATACTGCTGGACAGTCAAGCGAGACGTGTTCGACATTCCGATGTTGATTGTGATGAATGTGAGTGTGTCTGCGCTGAGTCCTCAGTGACTTCACTAACGAGGAATAGTTCTTACCGTGCATTTAAACCCTGTCATGACCACAGGATCTGTTTTGCTTTCAGCCTTTCAGTTCATACCCGGGCCGGATTCCAAAAGGGGCTCTCTCGTTGCGGGGGGGAGCGGATGATGTTTGTATTGGTACATACGTGTGTGTATGATTCCCAGGGAGCTTTGATTGACCATAGAGCCTGGATGTCTGGCGTTCAGGGCTGTATATAGTGCATGTATGTGTTGGACATGAATCCATGACATGTGATCCTTCAGATTTCATGAATGTAATGACTGTTTACCTCTATAATAAGCCGTATGTAGATTCGACAATTGGTGCCTCAACCTTAAGATGAATATGGAAGAGAACCGGGGAATCTAATGAGTGCTCGCCTTAGACATTACACTTGGTTCATGAGATCCAACAAGAGCCGTGTAATACAACCAGGCGAGTCTTAAGACAGATCATTCAGGGCCTTGAACATGCCATAAGTCATGAGAAAGACTGATAGAGATCAATCTTTCTGCGTAGCATACGGTATAAACATTATATAGCAACAAGACGACAGCATTACCCCCATCCATCCCCAGCATTCAATATTTAAGACATCAACACAGTTGATTCCCTACAACAACACCATCCCCATCCCCACCACACCAACAACTCCCCCAACCATCCCCCACACCCCATTTCCTCCCACGGTGACCCTCCCGGCCGCGCCCTTCGACACGGCCTCCGTCCCACTAGCACCCGCACTGGCACTGGCACTCGCAGTAGCAGTAGCCGCCGCACTCAACTTATCCGCCCCTCCCGTAATAGCGACAGCCTCATAAAACATCTCACTAGCGGGCACCTGCGTGACCGTCGCGAAACTCGAGCGCGTACTGACCCCCAAATACGTCGCCTCGATACCATACGACACGGAACACGACGCGCCGAGGGAGCTACTCGTAATCGCGCAGTCCTCGACGATGGTGATGGCTTCTTCGACGCCCTCGGTGCTGATGGTGTAGACGGCGCTCATGGTGAAGGTGGAGGGCCCTTCGGTCACGGTGAAGGGCGATGGGAGCACGCAGGAGGTCGCGCAGGTGATGGCTACGGTGGTGGCGGTGGGGTTGGCGGAGATGATGCTGCCTTGGAGGGAGGTGAGGGGGATCGTGCTGGTCGTGCCGGGGTTGAAGAGGGAGAAGGTTGGGTCGGTGGTTTCGGTTGCGGCGGCAGCGGTGGTGGTGGTGGTTAGGGTTGTGGCGGTGGTGAGGGGGAGGGTGAGACTGAGGAGGGTGAGGAGGTTGGTGAGGGTGAGCTTGGTCATGGTGGTGGTTATGATGATGATGATTGTCAATGAGTGAGTGATTGAATGAGTGAGCGAGTGGTTGATATAGAGAAAGTGGATGAAGTCGTACTGAGTAGTAGAGGTTGGAGTAGAGGAATAGTAGGAGAGGATAGTAATACGGAGTACTAGGTGTATACCAAGGTTGGGCACAAGCAGACAAAGAAAGATATGAAAGTGGGCGAGACCCTCTTTAAACCAAGCCCCCCAGTCCAGCACAAGCCAGGCAGTAGGCAGTAGGCAGTCCAGTAGGCACTAGGCAGACCCCTGAGACCTTTCCACGGTTCCTCATGAGGCTCTACATCGGCCTCATCCCATCGGAGAAGAGTCAAATCCCCATCCTCGATCCTCCTGCACCTCCATGATTGGCTCCTCGCAGCACCGGAAATGAGGTGGCGTGGGCACGTTACTAGTCCGGGCGTAAACACTCCTTCAACCGGAGTGCAGAGGGTGAAGAGAAGGACCCTGGCCGAATAAACTAGGCCCTGAGCCGGCGTAGTTCCCCCGCTAGCCAAAGTTAGTCTCAGGGGGTTCGGCCGCAGACTCCACTGCTCTCGCTGGATGGACTAAATTGGTCCTCGTATTCTGCTGCACTGGCGCATCGCCTTGCTTGCTTCGGGTTAGATGCGGTAGGTCTGAGGGTCGGCGGAGCGGTCATCTGCTCTTTGCGGTAGGCTTTACGGAGGACATGGCGATGTTTAGGATCGATTCGGAAAGTGTGTGGTCTACAAAGCGGATCTGAACAACTGGAGAATCTCAAGCAGAGTTTGATGCCGCAGCAATTGGGCGCCAACGAATTTAGGGCTGGTCGATTGATTTCTCCCGCACGTGAGCCCCGATAACAGTTAGCGTTATCTCTCTGACCGCCTCAAAATCAACTCCGTCTGATTGGTGGCAACCCATCGCCGCCGCCCGCGTGCGGTACATTCACCGCCCGGCAGGAAAAAATTTCGGGACGGCGAGGCGGAAAGAAGACGAACTCTTGGGTTCAGCAGCAGTTCTTCCTCAGCTGTTCCTCTCCATTCAAGCAATTGGTCGTTCTGACTGCCCATCCCGTCACCATGGCCGACCAGGATGTTCCCCATGCCACTTTCGACACCATCCTCATCCTTGACTTTGGTTCTCAATACGTACGCCCGCCCCTCTACTCTTCTCCCCAGCATCAATTACCCCGCCATGAGTCACCCACACTGACTTCCCCCAGACGCATCTCCTGACCCGGAGACTGCGCGAGATCAATGTCTACAGTGAGATGCTGCCCTGCACCCAGAAGGTGGCCGATCTCCCCTTCAAGCCCAAGGGTATCATCCTCTCCGGTGGCCCCTACAGTGTCTACGAGGACGGCGGTAAGCGCGATCCCTCTGCTCCCTCGGGGATCCCCTCAGACTCATCCATCCGTTGGCAGCTCCCCACGCTGATCCCGCCATCTTCGACCTCGGCGTCCCCATCCTCGGAATCTGCTACGGTCTCCAGGAAATCGCCTACCGTCTGGGCAAGGACAACGTCGACGCCGGTACCGAGCGTGAGTATGGCCACGCCGAGCTGCACGCCAAGAGACTCGACGACCAGGGTCACGTCGACAAGCTGTTCGCCGGCCTCGAGGGTCAGATCCGCGTCTGGATGAGTCACGGTGACAAGCTGGTCAAGCTCCCCGAGGGCTTCCACATCATTGCCACCACCTCCAACTCCGAGTATGCCGGTATTGCCCACCAGACCAAGCCCCTCTACGGGGTCCAGTTCCACCCCGAGGTCACCCACACTCCTCTCGGGGCCACCATCCTGAAGAACTTTGCCGTCGACATCTGCGAGGCCCAACAGAACTGGACCATGTCCCGCTTCGTCGACCAGGAGATCGCCCGCATCCGCAAGCTGGTGGGTGAGACCGACCACGTGTTGGGTGCCGTCAGCGGTGGTGTCGACTCCACCGTCGCCGCCAAGCTGATGAAGGAGGCCATCGGCGACCGCTTCCACGCCGTGCTCGTCAACAACGGCTGCATGCGTCTGAACGAGTGCGACATCGTCGAGGAGACCCTGAACAAGCACCTGGGCATCAACTTGACGGTGGTCGACGCCTCCAAGCGTTTCTTGGATGGCCTCAAGGGCGTGACTGAGCCCGAGAAGAAGCGCAAGTTCATCGGCAACACCTTCATCGACGTCTTCGAGGAGGAGGCTCTGAAGATCGAGGCCAAGGCCGAGCACGAGGGCGCCAAGATCAAGTGGTTCCTTCAGGGTACCCTGTACCCCGATGTCATCGAGAGTATCTCCTTCAAGGGTCCCTCGGCGACCATCAAGACCCACCACAACGTTGGTGGTCTGCCCCGTGAGTGATGATTCTGCGGTTTGCTGCGAGACGCGTGCTAATGTCGGACTAGAGCGCATGATTGACGGTCAGGGCATGAAGCTGATCGAGCCTCTCCGTGAGCTGTTCAAGGACGAGGTCCGGGCTCTGGGTCGCCAGCTGGGCATTGCCCACGAGCTGGTGATGCGCCACCCCTTCCCCGGCCCCGGCATTGCCATTCGTGTGCTGGGCGAGGTCACCCCGGAGCGCGTGGAGATTGCCCGCAAGGCCGACCACATCTTCATCTCCATGATCCGTGAGGCCGGTCTGTACGACCAGATTGCGCAGGCCTACGCCGCCCTGGACCCCAGCAAGGCGGTGGGTGTCATGGGTGACAAGCGTGTTTACGCCGAGATCATCATCCTGCGTGCGGTTGAGACGACCGATTGTGAGTGCTGATTGCCCGCGAGCATGTTCCGAGCGAAACTAACCGACGTAGTCATGACTGCCCGGGCATTCCCCTTCGACAACGAGTTCCTGAGCCAGTGCTCGACCCGGATCATCAACGAGGTCCACGGCGGTAAGTTGACGCCAGATGCCCCTGGAGGATCCGTGCTGACGAGATTAGTGTCCCGTGTTCTGTATGACATTTCCAGCAAGCCCCCGGCGACGATTGAGATGGAGTAAATGGGAGTTCCGTTACGAGTCTGATACATTTAGAAAGGAGTTATGGTTACGAAAATGGGGATGGCCGTAGAGCTAGACGAGAGCGACATAATGCATCATTGCCTTGAGTATTTATACCATGCTCCATGCTTCGTAAGAGTGGCCTCGAACTGGCCAGTTGGTGGCGGCCCGGAAGTACCCCGCATGGCCTTATCGATACGGCGGATTCCATCGCATTCTGTCTTCTTTCTCTTCCCCAAACCATCTCTCTCTCCTTCTCCCCCGCCATCGACTGCTCTCCCCAGACACCCAACCAACGGCCCTCCCACCATGCGACCGGACACTCCCCGCGACCCCGTCACCGGCCCCGAGGCAGGGCCAGCCTCCCCCTATCCCATCCGCCTGTCCGGCCCGGTGATCAAAGGGTTTGGGCGGGGCAGCAAAGAGGTGAGGCCGCGACAGACCCTCCTCACCAGCTGCACCAGTCGCTAATGGCCACAGTTGGGCATCCCTACTGCCAACATCCCCGCCGACGAGCTGGCCAAGTATCCCGATCTGTCAGTGGGCGTGTACTACGGCGTCGTGGCCCTGGATCCCTCCCGATTCGCCTCCCCGGAGCCCATCCTGCCCGCCGTGCTGAGCATCGGTTACAACCCTTTCTACAAGAACGAGACCAAGTCGATTGTACGTGGCTGTCCTGTCGCATCGCCCTGAGGGACAGTTTGGTTGATTGATGCCTGCCTCTGCGGGATCTAGGAAATTCATCTCATGCCGCCGCTGTCCGCGCCCTCCCCCACGGCCACCGCCGATGGCCCTGTGACCTTTCACAAAATGCCCGATTTCTATGGCACCCCCCTGAACCTCCTGCTCCTGGGCTATATTCGCCCCGAGTTCGATTATGTGTCGCTGGAAGCCCTCGTCGAGGACATCCGCGTCGATTGCGAGGTGGCGCGCCGCAGCCTGCAGCGCCCGGCGTATGCCTGCTATCTGGCCGGCAAGGAGGACGAGACCTGTCCGGAGGATGTAAGGGGGGAGATCCGTTGGCTGACCCGGTTTGAGTCGTGAGGGTGGCGGCGGCTGCTGCTGCTGCTGCTGCTGCTGCTGTGTTATTTGGATTGCCCGCGATAGACCGAGAGGGGCGTTTGTACCTAGGACCGACGTCACGATAGATGCGATAGAATGCAATGCCATGCATGCACCCTGCTTCCCAGAACTGGACTGGTCTCCAACCCAACCGGACAGATGCCTTGCAGTCCCTGGCTGGATCCACGTTCCCCGTCCAGCAACTCGTCGACGTCAGCCCAGCATGCCTGCCCGAGTACTCCGTACTTAAATTCGGGATGCTCGGGCGTCGACCATGGATGCCCTGATGCCCTTGTCTTTGGTCTCCCGCATCATCATCATCATCATCAATCCCTCCAGTATGGAACGTCTCCGTCAACATCTCCGTCGTCGTCGCAGCAGTGCTTCCAGCTCCACGCCGCTACAATCCCCGCCGACACTGTCCGCCAGCGAGAAACGTCGTCGCGAGGCCGAAGCCTGTCCGCCGCGTCGTCTATACCTGACCTCCGACACCCCCGACTTCGATCCGGGTATCCTGTCACGCTTCCGCGCCGAGGGCTTCAACGTCGAGTATCTTCCGTTCCCGGGGAGTAATCACAATGACCCGGACCGCGATCGCAAGGAGCTCGAATATCTGCTTCACGAACGAGAAGATGATCTCGAGCCGGGAGAGCGATACGCCGTGGTTGGTACGTCTATCCCTCACCACCACCACCACTACACCACCGCTACACCGCATAACTAACCCTAACCACCCCCAGCATACAACAAACCCGCCCACCTCCTCCTCGAATCCCACCACCAACCCTCCACCGCCACGAACCCCTTTCCCCGTCTCTGCGCCCTAGTCGCATACTACCCCGACGGCCCATCCCCCTCCCCATCCCCCTCTAGCTCTACCACCACACCCCCCACGGCAGACACCACCACAACAACAACAACCACCTCCTCAACCACCACCCCAACCACCTACCCCCCCTCCGTCCCTCTCCTCCCCATCCAAATCCACCTCGCCCGCACCAACACCAACAGTAGCAACAACCCCACCACCGACGCCATCCACATCCGCAAACGCCACCGCTGCCACATCTTCTACTACCCCGAATCCACCGCCCGCTTCGCCGAACCCACTTCCCCCACATACGACCGGCTGTCCGCCCGTCTAGCCTGGTCGCGCGCCCTGGAAGCCCTAAAGCGCGGGTTCGGGTGGCCTGGGACTCGATGGGGCGTGCCGGATGTGGAGGCCGTGTGGGAGGAGTATTGGCGGTGTTTGTCGGGGCCAGCTTCATCCTCTGGGGGGGAGAATGCTGTAGATCCTGGGGTTAGGGCGCGCGAGGAAGAAGATGAGCGGAGTCGTCGCGCCGCGGAGATCGTGGGGTTGATGGTGGGGAGTGGGATGGGGGTGCAGTTGGAGAGTTTGGCGATGGATAGTAGTCAGAGTGGGAGTGGGAGTCAGAGTTACAGTGGAAGTGGAAATGGAAATGGCAGTGGAAGTATAAGATCACCCGGTGGGGGTGGGATCAGCCATGTCAGCGAGACATGTACCGTCGAGGAGAACCCGATGGTGAATTGCGTGCCGACTTGTGCGGGGGGTATGTATACATCCCCTTCCCCTTCCTTCCTTTCCCCTTCGCATATCTTCCATCTTGATATGAGGTACTAACAACCCAGCACACACCCCCTCCACCCTAACCAAATTCTACACCCACCAATTCCTCCCCCTTTCCCCCCCCAACCAAAACCAAACCATCCGTCTGCTCTCCCGGACCACCGGCCCCGATCGCATCGTCGACGAACTCCTCTTATCCTTCACCCATACGCACGAAATCCCCTGGCTCCTGCCGCATGTCCCGCCGACTGATCGTCCCGTGCGAGTCGCCCTCGTCATGGCGGCTAGTTTCTGTGCGGGGAAGCTGGCGCGCTTGAATATTTACTGGGATCAGGCGAGCGTGTTGGTGCAGGTGGGGTTGTTGGATCCGAGGTATATCCCGTCGGGGTTTGTGGCGACGGGGGAGAATTTGTTGGGGAGGAGGACGGTGGAGAGATTACCGGTGGTTGGGGGGGAGGGGGTCGAGAGGGTTTTGTCGTAGTTTGATGGGGGGTGTGGTGGTGGTTGTTATGTAGAGTCTGACGGATGAATAATGAAATGGATGCCGCAACACCGTACGTGCTACTCTGTATAGGAGGTATGATTATATCCCTGACAGCCGGCTAATGGCCTCGCTGACGCCTCCCGCCTGCTGCAGCGTCAGCAGACTGGCCGCCTGCGCCCCCGGAATCACTTCCTCCACCGTCCGTCCCCGCGCCAGCCCCGTCACCACCGCCCCCAGCAGCGTGTCCCCCGCCCCGTTCACGCTCACGATCTCCGCTTCCTCCAGCACCGCCGCCGGGGGGAACAGTCGCAGGTACAACCCCCCGATGGCCCCCTCCGTGGTCGATGCCCGCGACAGAATGTACGGGGCCGACTCCGGGCTCGTCAGCCGTGCATCCCCCGGCCGCAGCAGTTGTGCCAGCAGCACCCCCTGAGCCCCCAGCTTCGTGACGATGCATGGGATAAATGGAAGCAGCTGAATGCTTTGCTGCGGAATCCCCTGGTCCACCAGCGTCGCCGATGTCATCGCCACGAGCCGCTCCCGCGAGCCCGATGCCGACATCCCCATCGCGTCGATGATGTGCCACCACCCCTCCGAGTCAAAGAGCCCGCCCTCCCGCGCGGCCGCGTACATCGTTGCCAGCTCGAGCTGGTTCGGCGCCGCCAGGTTGACGCGGTGGTTGGGGACACAGTCCGACGGCCCGATGGCCGACTGAAAAAGACGCCTGCTTTTCGCGGTCGAGACCGGCTCGAAAGCCACCCGGGCACCGTGCTTCTTGGCCAGAGCCACCCACTTGTCCAGGACCTCCGCATTCCAGTTGGCGTCCACCACCGCCCACTGGGGTTGCGCGCGGGACATCATCGGCTCCCAGAACCCCTCAAAGTCCAGTGTCTGCTCGGGCAGCTCCATGATCCCCATGTCGGCCATGGCCACTACCAGGTCTTTCTTCGCATCGTTGACCGCCACATACTGGGCTGTACGCGCCCCAGACGATGCTGGGAGCACCTTGATGCCGCTCGTGGAGAGACCCTCTTGCCGAAGACTGGTCAGCGCGGTCTGGCCACTCAGGTCGTCGCCAACGACGCTGCAGAACAGAACAGCGCTGTCGAGATATTTCGCCGCAATGGCCACATTGTGTCCCACTCCTCCCAGGCTCTGTCCGATGACGGCGCGATTCGACGTTTGCGGAGCGGGCGTGATGCTGTTTGCCGCCGCAGGGGCAAAGTCGCAAGAAAGATCGATTGCCAAAGAGCCAGCCACAAGGACGTCAGCCTTCGCGACGTGCTTGAGCGGATCCTTACTGGGTGAATGCTCCAGCTCTGTTTCTGAAGTCGCTTGGTCAGCCCTGCTGGTCCCGGAGATAGCTGGCATATGTCTGCGCAGACCATCTTACAATTAGGATATCCCTGACTGCGACGTACGAGGGCAGCTCACCGTTCATTGAGCGACCCCTCAGACCGCTCCAGTTTGGAGAGTTCCACGGCCACCTTGGTTGCCCGCTTCACGTTTGCCTCCACTAGAGCTCGGTTGGCGATCACACTCTTGCCACCGCTGAGTTCCTTGATCTTGGACAGCACAAAAGGCGTGTTGTCACTTCCATGGTAGCCTTCAACCTCGGCGAGGCGAAGGGCTTCGTCGATGATATCATCCATCTCATGCTTAGGAACAGAATGCTCAAGAGGCACAGGATTGGCGAGAAGAATTCCCGACGAAACAGGAATTTGCGACTGGGCGTCTGCAGCATGGTTAATCACCAGAACCATTCCATTCATGCATTCCCTGTGCTTTGTAGAAGCTCATCACGGAAAAGTATCTGCCACAGGAGGTATCACTTACAAACAATAGCCGCTGCTTCGGCCTCGTTTTGGATGACCTTTGGGCTCTTGAGCCCGCTGTCCCGCGTGTAGAAAGCAGGGAAATCCACCGATCCTTGACGGCCATCTGCAAATGTTCCCACGCAGACACCTTCCGTTTCAAGGTATTCAAGCGTACGCGGGATGTCCAGGAAGCTCTTGCATCCCGAGCTAACAACCGCCACCGGCGTGCGTCCCAGTTCGGTGAGATCAGCTGTTACGGTTAGTTGAGACCCATGCTGGCTCTAACTCTACGTACCCGAGATGTCCATGGAGTTTTCGCCCCCGCGATGTACACCACCTGTGACCGATCAGCACCAATAAGTCTGGCAAGAGCTGAAGCACCCACCTAATCCACCGGTCCCAAATACCTTGATACCGGCCAAGTGTGCAAGTACCATTGTCCCAGACACAGTTGTACCACCATGAAGGCGCTTTCCGGCCAGTCCCTACTACTGTCAGACGTGTATCCGTACGAAGTGCGGGACAGCCACCCACCAGGCCACAGATGTAACCGAGGTCTCGCCGGGAAACTTTCAGCGCATTCTTCGTCTCCGCGGTGGATGCCAGCTCGACGAGCTCCTCTGTACTTAATCCGACGCGGGCCTTACCACCGAGGATCCCAATCGTAGCAGGCACGGCGCCATTGGCCCGTACGACCGACTCTAGTAACGATGCAAGAGCGACGCTCTCGGGATAGGGAAAACCTGACCTTGTCAGCTAGAGCTGGCCAGACCTTGTCAGGCCGGTGGACGATCGTACCATGAGTGTAGATGGTCGACTCAAGAGCCACGACGGGCTTCCCCGTGGCCACGGCATCGCGGACTTCCTCGGATACCTTGAAGAGCCTGCTCTGAGCGAGACCGTGATAACGGCGGAATGCTGCTGGGGCTCTAGCTGATCTGCAGCATGATCGAGCTGCTGCTCGAGACGCGAGCATGGAAGGCCACGATGAGTTGCGAACCGTACAATCTTGGAATCGAGGGGTTGCGGGTTGTGTAGCTTGGTAGAGGAGGGCAGAGAGGAGTGGAAGATGAGGAGGAGAAGCAGTTATCGGCGATAAGCCAGCCAGGAACCGAGCAACTTTTGGCCGCGGCGGTCGCCGTACGTAATCCCCCAGTCGGGACACCTCAGCATCTCCGCGCGTCCTTCCCCCTCGCAATTCCTCCACCTCCCCCCATCCTTTCACTTTTGGCTTCTTCTTAGGACTATCTCCTGGCGAGCATAACTGGTCCTAGGCGCGGTCGTTGAAAGACCGCCCATCGCCCATCATGAGGCCGTTTACCGCACTCACTGCCCTGTGCGGGCTGTTTCTGTCCAGCACCAGCTTGGTCAATGCCGAGTCGACAGCGTCTAGCTCGCGAGTGGCTCTCCCTCGCGATTTCAAGCCCCCTCAGGTGTTCAAAAACGTAAATCTCGTTCGGAACACCAATCTGGAGAAGGGATATCTTCGTGAGACCGTCAATGTGGTGGTTGAGAACGTGGACAAGCAACCGCAGAGCGACTACTACTTGTCCTTCCCATCCGACCTCTACGACAAGGTCGGAGCGCTGGAAGTCCGCGACAAGTCGGCCCCGGAGCAGGGAAGATTTGATGTGGAAGCTACGGAGTTTGATTCGAACAGGTATGTCGTCCTCAATGGCGGCTAATGGCTGGTTGGTGAGGCCGAAGCCACGGTTGCTTGATCCGGACCGTCGCTGATCTTCTGTCTTCGCAAATTCGCAGTGACTTCCAGTACTATGTCGTTCATTTCCCCCAACCTCTGGCCCCTTCGTCGCAGATCACTCTCGGGATCTCCTACTCCGCCCTCAACAGCCTGAGCCCGCGTCCTGCAACCATCAGCCAGACTGATCGCCAGTTCCTCGCCTACTCTTTCTCCGCCTATGCCCCCTCGGCATATACGACGGTGAGCCAAAAGACCAAGCTCAAGTTCCCCAGCACAAACGTTCCCGATTACACAACCACGGACCTGACTTCGGGCACGGACCCGGAGCGCCAGGGTACCAGCTACACGTACGGGCCCTACGACACGGCCAATGTCGCTCCCGGAACGACCTACCCGGTCAGTGTCCGCTACGAGTTCACCAAGCCCGTGATCACGGCATCTTTGCTGGAGCGGGACCTGGAAGTGTCCCACTGGGGCGGCAACCTGGCGACGGAAGAGCGCTACTGGCTGCGCAACAACGGCTCCCAACTCGCGAATAACTTCAACCGGGTGGAGTGGACCCTTAGCACCTACCAGCAGTTGCCATCCTCCGCTATTCGCGAACTTAAGTACCCGCTGAAGCCCGGCTCTGTGGACCCGTACTTCACCGACGACATTGGCAATGTTTCCACGAGCCGTTATCGTCCCGGAAAAATCCCGAACCGCGAGGGATCCTTGGAGCTTCGCCCCCGGTACCCGATTTTCGGAGGATGGAACTACAGCTTCCGTATCGGGTGGAACAACGAGCTTTCTGCGTTCCTTCGCCGGGCTGTGGCGGGCGCCGATTCGTACGTGCTGAAGGTTCCTTTCATTGAGGGACCCAAGGTTTCCGAGGGAATTCAGTACGAGAAGGTCGTCGTGCGGGTGGTTCTCCCCGAAGGCGCCCGGAACGTCCGCTATGAGCTCGTCGAGAAGGCCTCTAGCAATGGCCTTCCCAGTGCCAGTCAGATCGAGTCCCAACTGTCCAGCCATAAGACTTTCATGGACACCCTGGGCCGCACGGCGCTGACATTGACCGTGGAGGATCTCACGGACGAGGCTCGTGATTCTCAATTAGTGGTAAGCAAGAATCCACCCCGGATCGATTGCGTGATACTCACCATTGGACGCAGATCACATATGACTACTCTTTGTGGGATGGCCTGCGCAAGCCGGTGACCATCACGGCTGGCCTGTTTACCGTGTTCGTTGCCGCGTGGGCGATTGGAAACATCGACGTGAGTATCAGGAAGCGGTAGTGGGAATGGATGTATCATATGTTTCAGTTATACCACCCAAGGCTTGACTAGGAGCTGTTTGCGACCTGATTCGAGCTACGTAGAAATTCCCTCGATATAAAAACATAAGTTATACCTTAGCTGATCTTGCCTTCTGTTCTCCTAAACACCGTGTAAACAAACGCTGCACATGTCACCTGACAAGAACTAGCGGAAGGAGGATTGGCTTCTGTCTCTTATCTATAGCAGACTTTCCTATCGGTTATATCGTGGCTTGCTAATGATAGCAAGGCCAATAAACTACGACTACCGATCACATGCACACTGTTGGGTCCTGTACCCCTTGCATTCTAGCGTAAGTATATCTTAAACAGGCTCTCCAGAAGGTCAGAGCTGAGAGTTAGTGAAGAGGTGCAAGAAGTCCAACAGTGGTTGCGGGACAGATGCGCACTTCTGGCTTTCCTAGATGCTCTACGGAGTACAGCGGAATCAAGAATCTACAATACCAAAGACCGTCCACTGCACTGTTGCCTGAATCTGTAACACGCCTTGCAGGACGAGGGCGTGCTCGAACATCACGTGCTTCTATTCCACAGCGCAAGTGATATCTATACCAATTAGCTGCGAGGCTCATGTAATTCTTCTCAATTGGAAGCCTCGACGAGCACCTATTGGGTGGAATCACCCGATGCAAACAATAGACAGCTGAGCAGCATCCGATTCCGTAGACCTGATCGGAATACCTGTTCAATACCATTGGGAGCAGGGTTCATGGTTCTATAGCCGACTCTGTTGCAGCTTACACCTATGCAAGCGAGAGCAAGCCGAGCGGAAGCCGATCAGCGGGTTTGCATGCAGATGCTGCAGACTGTAAATGATACATGGCGACGGCTTATCGATTATGATGCACTGCTTTCTTGTGCACGAGGCCACTCGCATCCAGTAGTCTCGCCGGGGACATACTATTCAGCTACGTTGCCATCCTCCGCGCTTTGCTAGTCGGAGTCACTGAGTGAATCGGACCTCCTGGATTCCTGGTCTGCAGGTGACAGAGTCGACGTTGGGATGTGACCTGTCGGAATCGGACTCTTATCAAGAGAAATGCCGCCGAGATTAAATTTTCCTAGCAGCTGCCGTATCTTCATGCAAAGCTGTCCGAGACACTATCCAGCTGAGCTCCCTTGATACGAGTCTAAACGCCAACCGCCTATCAGGTCCAGGCAGCCGAGCCTGAGCCAATAACCCCTGTCTCCTACGATAGCGAATGCGGTGAATAGAAAGTCACAAGATGCATGATGCGCGACACCGCTCGTGCCTTTGGATGTTGCCTTGCCTCGATTAGTCTTGCGGTGCATGGCATGGCAGCAATGGCCGGTGTACGTCATCGCGTCCAGGAATCACGGCAACCGAATGAAGTGGACTGGGGCGAATGGGAGCGATCAGGGCCCGGGCATGGCGCGGAAGTATTGCGATGAGTTCCCATTACTTCATATGGACCCTTCGAGACGGCCAGGGAGTGGAGCCCCCTGGTGGGTTGGAGCAAAACCACGCACGCCTGAAACTCAGAGTCCGCGCACCCCATCCGTTCCATGCCCAAGAAAAGGATGACTGATCCACCCCCGCCTCGGACGAGAGAGGGGGAAATGGAATGTTTGGAACTTTGGGGGAAAAGAAAAAGGGGGCGCGGTTCCGGATCGACATTCTATGGGGTAATAGCACGGGGCAGGCGTGAGCCATTTTAATAATGGAAATTCCCGGCAGGTGCTTCCGGCGCACCTCATTTGACTGTCCGTTGCAGACTAGGCGGATTCCTCAACCCCCGCAAGTCACTAGGAATGGATTGAGGATAGCGACGGGCCATCAGCCAGGTACCGATCGGCCACCCCCGCAGTCTAGACGCGTGAGGAAGATTCGGCAGAGATGACTTCATTCGAGAATGGAGGCCCGAACCAGAAACCGGTACTGTGTATACTGTATACTGTATACCCCATCTGGCGGTGTGTGTGTGTGTGGGCGTGATCCCTGGCCGCGAGCTTTAGGTTTTATCCGCCGGGGGGTTATCAGGCGGTCCCTGAGCAGTCCTGGACTCCTGGCAAGAGCCCAATGATTCCGCGCCAAGTTGATAGATCGCCCGGCACGTATCGTCGTCCCGCGAGGGTCTCGAGAACCTCCTACATCCAACACAGCAGAAGAAATGTGTCAATCCCCATCAACCATTAGTACTGCTATCTACATCCCAGTGATAAGAACCGCCCCGGCTGATAAGACCGGGACCAAAAATGCGGCATTTTTCTATCGCGATGCCCGCCATTACGCAGAGAAAACCTGCAAATCTGTCGCGAGACGGCATCGCCGGCGATGATTTGCAGGTCACTAGCCACCATGACACACCAAAACCCCCCCTTCAAAACCTACAGCCCTACTAAGTGGAGAGAGCCCAGCCGGTCCGGTCAGCTGACTAAACCAGGAATCTGGCTGCTTTCTTAGTGGGTTGGTTCCCGTACGGTATCGTCCCCGTACGGAGTAGAACTATGTACCTTGTACCTTGTACCTTCAGGTTAAATACTGTCTGACGGGCCTGCCACAAGCCTGTGACACCAGGTACCGTGGGAATAGTCCTGCGTTAGACACACTATCTACCTATAGTGGGCAATAGACCCCAGGAGGCTCAGTGGCTCTGCTCCGTGTCAGTCTCACGCGATGTCTTTCTCTGTTCTAAATTTGTCCAGCTGAAGGGCACCCGAGGGACCTTGTATAACCGGCAACTAGCCACAGCGACTCCAGCTCCCGTGACCAGGCATTGAGGCAATTATTCCAATTTTAGCCCCCGGCCACCAATCACGTCGTTCTGCTGCGGTATTTTTCGCTCTTGCCTCATTCGCGCTATTATTACCAGCGATGCCTAAACTGGAAGCCGGGACCCACTCCCTTGGCATCGAGGTTCGAGTCATCCACCGGGGAACCGTTGCTCAACCATCAGGGAGGCATGGGGAAAGGCAACGGCCAGGCAGGTCCAGAGAGTGGCCTACTTGGGGACATTTGTCAGAGATGGAGGCATACGTCTCGTCCTTGGGACAGATGCAGGGCAGGTCGAGGAGCCCTTCTTAGTCGGTCCTACCCTGAGCATCAGCGAGCAGCATCAATTATCTGACAGTTGGGAACAACGTGGAGACCCATGCACAAGGGCGGGCCAGCAATGATCCTCAGGCAGGACCAGGCCGTCCAACGACTGCCCCGGACCGGGCCCCGTTCCTGGCCGATCGCATAGCACCGGCTATCTGGATTCTGGTTATCCTGCGCCGCGCTGGCAGGCCGGCTGGCACCACAGGTATGACTTAATGATGGCAATAACCGGACTATTAAAAATTCATCCTCATTTGATTATTATTCCCGATTATTAAATTCCCATTTCAGAATGGTTCTGGACATTTCGAGGAAGCGCTTCCTCGTTTGGCTTCAGGTCCAATTGTTATAAAGAGTCAAGTGCCTGCCAATTCCTGACGCCTGGCATTGCTTTGTTCTACTCATCCCATTCTTAACACCGTTGCTTCATCCCCATCCTCTCTGTTCCCTCCGCCCCCTTTCCATCTGGAAGTCTTTTTCTTCTCCCTCCTTCCCTCCCTCCCTCCCTCCCTCCCCAGCGCATTGTTGGTGACGTGTCGGTGAATGGCTGGTACCGACAACTAAACCCGTCCGTTACTTGCTCTCCCCGATAAGCTTCGAGCTTTCGTCATTGCCCTGGCCATCGCAACCGCAAACTTCAAAAACCATATCACCAATTCTCTCCCTCATCTTTGGACGCTCCCATCGAGGTAGGTTTGTCGCCTGCGGTCTAGAACCCCCATCCTTTCGCTTGTGTTCTTTTTGTGCTTTCTATATCTACCGTCCTGGATCCGCATATCTGCCCTTATCTTTCCCAGCTTCTCAAGAAAATTCCCGACTCCCTCAGCTTCCTCCTTCTTACGCATCAAGCTCTGCTCCTGCCTTGTTATTCGTGCATGACTTACCAGGAGACAGCGATAAACCTCCTAGTACCTCCTCACTCTCGCGTTCAATTGACCTTCCGAACCTGACCTGCCCACCCTCCTCTAATCATGGTCTCTCCCGCCCCCTCTTCGTCGCCGCTTTCAGACGGCCACATCAATGGCAACAACACCCTTCCCATGCGGACAGGCCCTAAGCTCTATGGTAGCAATGATGGTTCCCAGTCAGGAGCTGGCACTCCCATTGGCTTCCAAAGACACCCACACAACAAGTTCTTTGACAATGTAGCGGGATCCAGTGTGCGTCAACCTTCGCCGCAGCCCACTCATCTGGGGATCCCCGGAGGTGGTCAGCATCGCATTTTGTCAGAAGAAGACCCTGGCTACGTGGCAGCAAAGTTTGAAGGGAAGGAAAAACAAATGGAGCAAGGTGAGGATTCCGGTACTGCCTCGATTTGTCAGTGGTCATCATTCTGACGCTTTCTCGTTGCTAGTCATGGATCAGCTGGAGAAGAAAGGCTTCATCCCCGTTGAGTTTGTCATTGGAGAAACGGAGTGGTTCTACAACCAGCTCGGAATTGACGACACATACTTCCAGACGGAGTCCGTCGACGCCATCGTCACCCAGATTCTCTCCCTATATGCTGCCAAGGTCGCAGCGTATGCTCGTGATGACAAGAAGCTTGAGATCCGGCTGGACAAGGAAGCAGAAGATCATGCTGTCTACATCGATACCAGCAAGCCCGGCGTGTCGACAGTCGAAGGTCCTGGGTACGAGCAACGGATTGATAAGAAATATATCAACAGCTCCACCCACGATAACAGCTACCGCGTCGAGACCTTCCGTTCGCCAACACCAATCCCCGGCGATGATGGGCAACAGCTCCGCTGTTATTTCGTGTACAAATGCCAGTTTGCCAACCCTAACCCGGACCCGAACGAGACCAACATCGATATCATCGGCGAAAAAAGATTCCTGCAGAAAGCCACGGCTAACACGAAAGCCATCTACCAAGAAATCATCAGCAATGCGGTCAGCCGATCCGGCCCGGTCATCGAGATGTTTGAGATTGAGAAGAGCCGCGAAAAGAGACTAGTCATCGCCTATCGTCAAGGCTCTGCAATGGGACTGTTCAGCGCGCTTTCTGATCTCTACCACTACTACCGTCTGACTAGCTCGCGAAAGTACCTGGAGAACTTCTCCAACGGTATCTCGGTGATTTCGCTTTATCTGCGTCCGCTGCCAAATAAGGAGATTGTCCAAAAATATCCCCCGATCGAGGCCGCCATTCACCAGATCATCAAGGAAGTCTCCCTTTTGTACTGCATTCCTCAGAACAGATTCCAGCACCATTTCGCCAGCGGGCGCCTCAGCTTGCAGGAGACGATCTATGCCCATTGCGCCTGGGTGTTTGTTCAGCAGTTTCTGAACAGATTGGGCTCCGAATATACCTCCCTGACTGATCTTTTGGACTCGAACAACAGCGTTCACGCGGAACTGTTGGCGAAGATCAAGAAGAGATTGCGTACCGAGACGTTCACATCTGACTACATCTCAGAGATTGTCAACAAGTACCCAGAGCTCATCCACAAGCTCTACCTGGACTTTGCCAACACGCATTACGTGCAGACGCGTGGCCCTGCTGAGGATGACTTTCTTCCAACGCTGAGTTACTTGCGCCTGCAGGTCGACGAGGTCTTGGACGGCCCCAAGTTGAAACAGCTCATCTCGAGTAGCGCGGCCAATGAGCATGACGAGATGGTCATGAGCGCCTTCCGTGTGTTCAATGCCTCGATCCTCAAGACCAACTTCTTCACGCCGACCAAGGTTGCACTTAGTTTCCGGCTCAATCCCGACTTCCTTCCGGAGCACGAATATCCCCAGCGCCTCTATGGCATGTTCTTGGTGATCAGCTCCGAGTTCCGTGGATTCCATCTGCGATTCCGGGATATTGCTCGCGGAGGCATTCGCATTGTCAAGAGCCGAAACAAGGAGGCCTATAGTATCAACGCGCGCTCACTGTTCGATGAGAATTACAATCTCGCCAACACGCAGCAGCGCAAGAACAAGGACATTCCCGAAGGTGGTGCAAAGGGTGTGATCCTTCTTGATGTCAATCACCAGGACAAAGCTCGCGTGGCTTTCGAGAAGTACATTGACAGTATCTTGGACCTGTTGCTGCCTCCCGTGAGCCCGGGTATCAAGGACCCAATCGTGGACTTGCATGGCAAGGATGAGATTCTTTTCATGGGTCCCGATGAGAACACAGCCGAGCTGGTCGACTGGGCTACGGAGCATGCCAGGAACCGGGGTGCCCCTTGGTGGAAGTCGTTCTTCACTGGTAAGAGCCCCAGACTGGGCGGCATCCCCCACGATACCTACGGCATGACAACCCTGTCTGTACGCCAGTATGTGCTTGGTATCTACCGCAAGCTGAAGATCGACCCGAGCACAATTCGTAAGCTGCAGACTGGTGGGCCCGACGGTGACCTGGGCTCTAATGAAATCCTCCTCGCCAACGAGAAGTATACGGCCATCGTCGATGGCTCCGGCGTGATCGTTGATCCCCAAGGTCTGGATCAGGCGGAGCTTGTTCGACTCGCCAAGAAGCGGGCGACCATTTCTGAATTCGAGCTGTCGAAGCTTTCGCCCCAGGGCTACCGGGTTCTGGTGGATGAGAGCAACATTCATCTGCCAAGCGGCGAGCTGGTCCACAATGGTATGATCTTCCGCAACCTGTTCCACCTGCGCCGCGATCAGCAGTACGATACGTTTGTGCCTTGCGGTGGACGACCGGAGTCCATTGATCTCTCCACTGTTGGGAAGCTGATCCAGAATGGAAAAGCCACCATCCCGTATATTGTTGAGGGAGCCAACCTCTTCATCACGCAAGACAGCAAGCTCCGTCTTGAGCGGGCTGGTTGCATCCTGTTCAAGGATGCGTCTGCTAACAAAGGAGGCGTGACGTCCTCGTCGTTGGAGGTTCTGGCATCCCTGTCTTTCAATGACGAAGAGTTTGTGGAAAACATGTGCATCCGCGAGGATGGCACTGTGCCGACGTTCTACGCAGAATATGTCAAGCAAGTGCAGGAGGTCATCAAGCACAATGCTACCCTGGAATTTGAAGCCATCTGGCGGGAACATGAGCAAACAGGGCTGCTCCGCAGCGTCCTGAGTGATCGTCTTAGTGTTGCTATCACCAAGCTGGACGAGGAGCTTCAGAAGACCGAGCTGTGGGATAACGTTGAGCTTCGCCGCTCAGTGCTCCATGATGCTCTGCCGAAACTCCTTCTGGAAAAGATTGGTCTCGACACTATCCTTCAGCGGGTCAGTATTAACAGCTCGATTGGTTTAATAGCCTGAGACTAACATTGAACTAGGTGCCCGAGAACTATCTGCGAGCCATCTTTGGCAGCTACCTAGCGAGCCGGTTTGTGTACCAGTATGGTAGCAGCCCAAGCCAATTTTCCTTCTTCAACTTGTAAGTGATCCACCCTGACTTAGCAATTGCAGTGCCCCCTCTAACGTCGACTCTAGCATGACCAAGCGACTTGCGCAGCTCGAGGCGACTCACGACTCTTAGACGGATATACCTGTTTTCATCATTCTTCGAGATATGCATTTTCCGGGTAATACCTACTGCACATAAGCAGTGTTACGGATATATTAATTACGACCGATGTCCATTGCATGGGATACAAAAAAAGACATGAGTACTACAGACCTAATACAGCTTTTTTTTCCTTTTCCTTCTGGCCTGAGGGATTTGACCAGTTCATGTCTGCTTTGCGTTCAATTCCACCTAGAATTTGTCTGGCTGCATCATTGTAATGCCTTCGTAGCTCGGTAGCCTTTGACCTGGGATGGCAGCCACTCTCATCCATAGTTTACAAAGAATGGATGCATTTGAGGGGAGAGATGGACGTTCATTGCGAAACGAGGCTTACGATTGTGTATGTAATCTGCTTGCAGGCTATGTTCGCTGAAGAAAGGACGTTGTGGAGGTTTGTTTATACTAGTTGGTACAATCAGGTATTTACAAGTACATGGTCGACTAGACAATGATTTCGTTGTCTTTGATGTTGAACTTCGGCCCCTCTTCGTACTCGGTGCGTTCGATCTGTTCCAGCTGTGCCCACTGCTCCGGGTATTTGGCCTTAGCCCATTTTTCGACTTCGTCTTTCCAGTATTGGTAGGGGATGGCGTTGTAGAGTAATCCGATACTGGGAGTCTGTGTTAGTGATGTACGACCGGGGTGGGTAATAGGACGAGGGGACGTACGAGTTGCGGGTTACTTGGAAGCCGGTTTCGCTAGGCATCTTGTCCAGCGCTTCAGTGGCGAGGTCAAACTCGCACTGCCCGGCTAGAGCCTCGACGTAGGCCATGTATAATTGACGATCGACGCTGATCTCGAGACGCTTGACCTTGCTCATCATTTTGATCGCCTCCTGGACCCCGTTGTGGTGTTTCTCGCACGCCTTGAAGAAGATGGCAATGGTTTTCTGCGACGGGCCTTCGTCCGACTGGAGAATGTCGCGGAAGACGTCCAATGCTTTCTCCGGCATATCACAGGCTGCGTACGCGAGCATGAGCCCGTTCAGCAAGCGCGTGTTGAGGTCGACCTCCACGTCGAGCTTGAGCATGTTGTGGACTAGCTCCACGTTTTTGGCGTCCTGGGTCCGGGCGAGGCCCTGGAAACACCGGGCGTACGTGTTGGGCTTCGGCCGCCGCGCAAAATCCTCCGCCTGTCGCATGTGTCCGAAGACCAAGAAGGCCAAGTCACTTCGGTTCCGCTTGAAGAACGACGTCATGATCTCGGTTCGCAGACTCACTCCGGCTTCGGGGAAGGCCAGTTGGAGCAGGTTGTACATTTCCCAGACATCATCGCTCTCCTGGCTCAGGTCGGTAATGAAATCAGTAAGAGCATTGCGGATCTTTATCCGTTCTTCCGAGTCATAGGTGCCTAGGCGGGGACGAAGTAGCTCGGAGACGCCCTCCCAGTCATGACGGTACAATAGCATGTGCGTCAACGCTGCTAAGGTATCGGCTTCTAACCGAACATTGTTTTCGAATAAAGGATCAAGAAGCGAGGTCACTTGTTCCATCACGGCATCCTCCTGGCTTGACAAGCAGAGCACCGTAATCAGCTTGTTCATCAACGGCATGTTCTCCATCATGATCGTTTCTGGGTCTTGCATGTCGTGAATGAAACCTAATGCCGCCTTCACATCACCTGCCTGAATATAGGATTCCAGTCGCAATAGGTGCGTCTGCATATCCGGCTGCAGGCCCCACTGGGAAGCCAGAGAAGCAAGATCGGCGGCCAATTCGGGATTCTTGACGGAATTCGCGTACTCGATCATATCGTTCACACATGCAATGCTCAATGAGTCTCTTGCATCTTGATTTCCAGCCGTCAATATTTTGGCCTTCTCCAAGACGGCAGCAGCACTGTTAGTTTGAACTGCTTCCCAGAGCAGCGTCACACCTATGGTCTCGGTAACCTGGGACTGCGGAAGTGACTTATAGATAGACGCTGCCCAAACAGTCTCACCTTTCAGGATCGCGTATCGGATCACAGTTGCTTTTGCCTTGATAGAGGGTTCCTGCCCATAAGGTGCAAGACACTCATAAACCGTTTCCACGGCTGCATATAGGTCTTGCTCGACAAGGAGATTGAGCAATTCTTCATGGGCGTGTTCGTCAAACTCGACGCCATGTTCGTGAAGCCTTTCCGTGGTGCGTCTCAGTTCAGACCTGTCATTGATGATAGCAAACCCTCTCATGACTGTAAGCCAAGGGGAAGGGCTGGTCTTGCTCAGTCTATCCCAGAAATTCTCGACCACATGCCGGGCTTCCTGCGGATTACCAAGCATTGCCTGGACGTAAATATATGAAAGGAGCGCAGGCCGACTGATGTGGTTGTGCCCAAATCCATGATCGTCACACAGCTCCAAGAAAGCCAGACGGGCCATTTTCCGCACGACTTCGTGCGACTCGGGCAGGCATTTCGCTTCGGCCAGGACGTAGAGAACGTTTTCGAGATTTTCAGTTGAGAAGACCTTCTGCCACTCCTCGGGCTCCAACTCTTCCTCGCGAGCTCGTAGGTATTTCCAGGTGGTAACCAGCAGCTTCGCATGGAAGCTCGTAATGACCCCGGGGGCTTCCGCGCGCGCAACGATAAAGTCCTGGAAAGCCTTTGCCAAAATTCCATTGGCGGGGCCTCTGCTTTGGTCACTCAGGGACCTCAACAAGTCCCTCATTGGCTTCAGGCCAGTTTCGGACGGCAGGATTGCAGTTTGAGGACCGGCATTGGGGACCGCGTTAAAGGCGAAAAGCCCGCGTCGCTGGACATGGTACGGACCCAGAGGGCCTAGCTTCCGGGATCGATGGCTACGAGCGGTATGCAGGAAGCGATAGTGACAGCGCGACGAGGGAAGGGGCTCGTTATTCAGGATGGCCCGAAAGACCCTCCTGGTAAGGTGGGATTGCATGTTGTTGGGTCGCGGGGAGGAGAAAGAGGCGTGTTCAATCCCCCACAGCAACGATGTAGAACGGGATTAGACAATAGACGATAGACAATTGGCTGCCAGCCGAAGCCTAATTGACGGCACGTCACCGAGGGGAGAGGATGATGATGGAGCAAGACGGAGTTGCGGGCGGAAGTCCAGGCGGCTCTTGGCGCGTGCCGAAAAAGAAATCGACCGCATCGCCGGCCCAGCTTCATTCCTGACCTGATCTTTCCTCCCCTTCCCCTCCCACTTGGCCAGATCGTTGTTGACTCACGATGGCACTCCACCTCTTCTCGTGGTCGCCTTTGCGCACCGTTGGCTCGACTTTCGGGTCGGTGTCTGCCGTTGCTACTGCTGCTTGTCGCTGGAATTCAACGGCTGCCCCGAATGCCGCCGCTTCTCGTCCCCTCCGGTCTCAGGGTAGGTGATGGGTTGACTCTTTTCGCCTGACCTCCTAGATACTCGTCTAGGGTCGGTGCGGGCTGGGGACTTTCCCCTCTCCCTTTCCGTCGTTCGACCGTTCGCTGACTGTTTATTTGATACAGTGCCCAGAACGGTCACCCGTCGTCGCCCAAACCGTCAGAAGTTCCTCGAGGACCAGAGGGTTCAGAACGAAAGCAGAGCCTTGGAGAGGTTCCAGACGCGTGAATGGAGAGCGGGTGACGTCTACTCCCCTCATGATCTCAGCCCGTCGGAGATGAGGAAATGGAGGAAGCGCAACAGCCCATCTAGCGATGCGTTCGATGCTCTGAACGTGAACCCTCTGCACATGTATAAGGTCTGTTGACGCATGATGGCTCCAGCAAATGATGATGTGCCTCGAGAGTTGCTGATGATTTGCGATTGATATCTCACAGAACTTCTCCATCATGTCGGAATACGTCACTTCAATGGGACGGATAAAGACTAGAAACCTGACTGGTCTGCGACCGGTCAACCAGCGCAAGATTTCCAAGGCAATTCGGAGGGCCATTGGCCTTGGTCTCATGCCCAGTGTTCACCGACACCCGGAAATTCTGGCGGCCGAGGCAAAGGCAAGGATGGAAGGAGGAGGTAGTTTTTGAATAGAGTTCCCTGTATAACAATTGGTGTCGATCACGGTCTGGACTCGGTTTGCTTTGATATGATTTTTTCCCCAGCCTTCGAATTCTCTTGGTGTGTTTTTCCTTGTCTTTATTGTTAGCCAGACGACCTTTTGACGGGATGGGCTATGTACAACTACGATTATTACCACCACCACCACCGCCGCCAATACCTTTTATCATTTCAATCCTCTATACATTGTATGTACACAGTGCGACGATTGCACGACATCGGATGGGCTTTGCATCTACTCCGTAATGCGACCCGGATAAGCGCTTGTCGGGGTCGACCACGGCAGCATCCGTGGCCCCCCCACCCATACGTCAACAGCCCAAACATCGGCTGGCTGCTATCGACCTTCCCCTGTTTCCTTCCCCTTGGCTTCGGATGAAGTCTTCTTGTTTCTGTTTCTGTTTCGCGAATAAGCCTTGCATATAGAGCCAGCCATGTCGATTGTAAATGGTATTGCCCCGCTACCTCTCCTGCTGTTCCCAGGCGATCAGTGCTAACTGGCCACCGATAGAATCCATCTGGGCCGCCAGCCCCTCCACCACCAGGGGTCAGCCCACCCAGCTTTCCTCAGACGCCAAAGGTGAACGACTCGCGTATGCGGTATGGCATTAATGCTCTTTCGATTTTTCTATGAAGAGAGAGTTGCTAATTTTTGCTTCCTGGTCTTCTATGCAATGTATAGGCAAACAAATCGATCTTCCTCCGCTCGATCGACAACCCCGCCATCGCTAGGCAGTACACCGAGCACAAGACGCAGACCACAGTTGCCCGCTTCTCGCCCTCGGGTTTCTATGTTGCCAGTGGCGATGCCAGCGGTATAGTCAGAGTCTGGGACTGTGTTGGTGAGGGTCTCACCAAGGGCGAATACAGCATCGTGAATGGCCGGATCAATGATCTTGCTTGGGACGGTGATTCTCAGCGCATCATCGCCGTTGGCGACGGAAAACAACGCTATGGTCACTGCATAACCTGGGACAGCGGTAACACGGTCGGAGAGATCTATGGCCACACGCAACAAATCAATTCCGTTTCCATCAGGCAGCAGCGGCCTCTGCGGGCAGCGGCCGCCGGTGACGACAAGAACCTAGTCTTCTACCACGGCGCGCCGTTCAAGTTCAACACCGGAATTCGTGATAAGCATACCAACTATATCTACGGCGTCGGCTTCAGCCCGGATGGGTCCACATTGGTCAGTGTTGGCGCGGATCGCAAGATCTGGCTGTACGATGGCAAGACAGGAGAAACCAGAGGCCAGATCGGCGAAGGAGAGCACAACGGCAGTATCTTCGGCCTTTCTTGGTCCAGGGACTCGCGCAAATTCGCGACGGCAAGTGCAGACAGAACCGTGAAGATCTGGGACGCGGAAGCGGGCAAGGTCACCCAGAGTTGGGACCTGGGAGAGGAAGGGGCTGCGAATGTTAGAGACCAGCAAGTTGGAGTGGTCTGGCCTCAGGGTAGAAGCGACGGCCTGCTGATCAGTCTTTCGTTGAGCGGCGACCTGAATTATCTAGTCGAAGGCACTCCCAAACCCAGACAGGTTATCCAGGGACACCAAAAGAATATCACTTCTTTGACCCAGTCTCGCTCTGGCAGCGACACTGAGACTCTGTGGACCGGAAGCTTTGATGGCCGGGTCTGCAGCTGGGATGTTCCAACGGGGGCTGCGGAGGAAGTGGAAGGCGACTGCCACGCCACCTATATTGCCGGGCTCGCGCCCTCCCAGGAAGGGAACGGCAGAATTTACAGTGTCGCCTGGGATGACACTATTCGTTCCGTGGACATTGGCGCGAAGACGTACACTGGAGTCTCCTCTAAGCTGCCCGGACAGCCGAAGGGCGTCGCAGCCGCGAATGGCCTGGTGTTGGTGGGAACGTCGGAGAGCGTCGAGATCTACAAAGACGGACAAAAGACTGGCGACTTCAAGCCCAAGTTCCCGGTCACTGCGGTTGCAGCCCATGCCAACCTCGCGGCTCTTGGAGGGGAGGATTCGTCCGTTCAAATCTTGGACATTGCAGGGTCGAGCCTCTCTCCCAAGGCGGACATTAAGGCTACGCGGAATGCGGTGTCTGCCTTGGCCTTCTCCTCCGATGGTTCGTACCTGGCGGTGGGCGACTCTCGGGGTCGTGTGCTGGTCTACAAGGTCGCCGATGGTAGCCTAGTGACCGACCGATGGACGGCTCACACCTCTCGAATTACTTCGCTTGCCTGGAACGAAGACAATGCCCACTTGAGCAGCGGGTCGTTGGATACCAATATCTTCGTGTGGAGCTTGACCAACCCAGGGGACTGGCTGCAGGTGTCGAATGCTCATAAAGAAGGCGTGAACAGCGTTGCCTGGATAGCTGGCGGATCTAAGATTGCCTCAGCTGGTGCTGATGCGGCGGTCAAAGTGTGGAAGGTGGAAGGACTCCAGTAGAGGACGATGGCATGTCCATCATGTACTTGGGACTTAGTGGAATTCAGTTGTAGATACCACGGAGTAGATATCCGTCCGTACCTAGATATGATATCTATCTACAGAGTGGCGTTTGCCCTGGTGTGGTGATGGATGACGCGGGCGCGTCCCGTGCGTGGTGTTAAGAGAATCCACTCGCATTGGTCACCAGACCATCCAAGCTCCGAGGGATTCTCGCACTCGTGGAAACAGGTTCGCGGCCTTTTTTTTTTTACGGACGAACTTCCTTACCCACCGCGAGGAGACAGGGAGGGAAAATGAGGTGAAAACATGTCTCTGTCGGGGGACTCATCCAGCAGCCATTCCCCGCGCTTTTTGCGCCCGAAGAAGGTAAGCCCCATCGCGCTCTCGAGTCTCTTCTGCCTCGGGACTATCTATGATCTAGATAGATGGATACTAGATAGGACCCTGGCCTAGTGTTGCTTTTCTAGGTCCCTTGCCTCCCTCCCCCCTTCTTTCCCCCGCCAACCTACCAATGAAAACCTCCCCAGCCCGGAACAGCCCGGAGAGAGCAGCGCCTGCTACCTAGATATACCGAGTTGCTGATTCTCTTTCTCTTCGTCGCAGTTACGGTACGCAACTTTCGTCCTACCGAGAACGGGTCAGCGGCTCAAAGGCCTCGTGAACCTACGAACCCCATATCCCGACCCGCGTGGGAATAACAATGATGACGACGAGCGACGAGCCCTGCTCACCGGGGAAGTCGAGAGCACCCCCACGAGCCTTCCGTCATGGCTTTGGTATAGAGCCAAAAATACATGGCCTTGGATGCATCAGTTCATCGCGTCAGAGCTAGGAATAGGCGTTTTGAAATGCAGTCTAGCCTACCTCCTCGGCTCCCTCGCAACCTTCGTTCCTGCCATTGCGTCGTTTTTGGGCCATCAAGATGGCAAGCATATGGTGGCCACCGTCACGGTTTACTTCCATCCGGCAAGATCGCAGGGCGGCATGTACAAAGCGTTGATTTGTGCACTTCTCGCCTTCCTCTATGCCGCGTTCGTCTCCGTCACCAGCATGTGTGTCTCGAGGTTCTTCCAAGATACCTTGCATCTGCTCCCCGTGGGGCATGCCCTTGTGCTCATTGTGTTCTGTGGTGGTGGGCTAGGCTTCATTGGATGGACGAAGCAGAGACTCGGCGACCCGCTTGTCAACGTCGCATGCTCCCTGGCTTCACTGGCAACGATCACAGTCTTGACAAAGGAGGGCGCAGTGCAAAGTGGGGATCTATCGTTTGCGAAAATCTCCCAGGTCTTGAAAATGGTTGTTATGGGTGTAACCATCACCATGGCCGTGTCTTTCCTGATTTTCCCTATCTCTGCGCGCAAGCAGCTTCGGTCGAATCTGACCACCGTCACCGAAAGTTTGGCGACCATGTTGGCTCTGATCACCGAAAGCTTCCTGAGTGGCTCCGAAGAGGAACTGCAAACTGCAGAGTTCATCGACACGGCTGCGCGCCATAAGAAAGCGTATGGGCAGTTGGACAAGCTGGTGAAAGAAGCCAAACTGGAGCATTTTGTGGCAGGCACGGAAAAGGAGTACCGGCTGGAGAAGAAGCTGGCTCGTTGGGTGCAAGACATTACTCATAATATGGGAGGGTTACGCAGTGCTGCTCATTTACAATTCCAGCTGCTTAAGCAGACGAAGCTTGCCCAATTACAGAGCCATGGCTCGGAACCTGCCGCGGTACCGTTGCCCAGCCCTTGGTCACTACATGAAGACTCGCCGTTCTTGGAGCGGATAGACGAGCAACCAGACGAAGAGGAGAGGCTGGAAGCTAACAATGTTGGCCCGGGAAATGGCCCCGGAATGGTGTCGGACCATCCTCTTCACCCGGCAGATATCTTTGCGCTCTTTATCAGCCATCTAGGACCGTCTATGGTGAGTGGTTCAAGCAGGAAGCCCGGCTGGGGATTGGTGCTAATGGTCAGCAGCGCTCGCTGGCGTTCACACTTAAAGAAATATTCAGGGACATCCCTTTCAAACCGGCGCCTGATCTCAGAGTTTCCGTCAACAGCAGGTACCGCACGAGTCTTGATCGGGCGCTTGAGCTTTACCGGGATTCGCGTGAAGAAGCGCTCAAGACTATCTATCGACAGCGTGAGGTTATGGGGGTGCAAACGTTGGAAGTTGAAGCCGATCTTGAGGAGGTGTCTGCTAGCTGTGGACACTTCAGTTTCTCCTTGCTCGAGTTTGGGGAGCAGCTGAAAGAGCTTCTGACCATCTTGGATGAACTACAGCTTGAAAGCGAGGAAAGACCGGCGGGGAGATCCTGGGGCTGGCTTAAGATATGGCGCTGGGGAACCGTTGAAACAGGGAAGAGTATTGCCCCCGACACAGAGCAGCCGTTGGTTGAGCCCACTGGCACGGTATACCAGCGGGATATACCCAGCCCGCCGGAGTCACATCTCAGCCCTTCTTTGACCAAGACTAAAGAAGATACCCCTGCAGAACAGCGGCTGGGCTATCGTCTTTGGAGATCACTCGGATTTTTCCGCCGCGATGACACCAAGTTCGCTATCAAAGTCGGGGCCGGCGCTGCGATATATGCTCTGCCCTCATTTCTCCAGGCAACCCGACCTTTCTATTCTCATTGGCGAGGTGAGTGGGGGCTTTTATCCTACATGTTGGTCTGTTCCATGACCATTGGGGCCTCGAACACTACCGGATATGCTCGATTTCTCGGTACCTGTTTAGGAGCCCTCTGTGCCATCCTCGCGTGGTACGTGAGCGCAGGAAACGTGTTCGCCCTCGCATTTCTAGGCTTACTCATGGCAACTTGGAACTTCTACCTCATTATTGCCCGAGGGCAAGGTCCAATGGGCCGGTTCATCATGCTCACATACAACCTGTCGGTGCTGTACGCCTACTCACTTACCCAGAAGGAAGGCAGGGACGATCAAGATGAGGGGGGCGATAGTCCAATAATTACCGAGATTGCCCTTCATCGAGTGGCTGCCGTCTTGTCCGGCTGTGTTTGGGGCATCATCATCACGCGAATCATTTGGCCGATCAGCGCCAGGGAACGACTGAAAGACGGCTTGAGCCTGTTATGGCTCCGGATGAGTTTGATCTGGAAGCGTGGCCCCCTGTCCACGATGTCCTTCCCTCAAGAGTCTGCAGGCTTCATGAGTCCCCGGGAGAAGTTGGAGGTTGAGCGATTTCTGTCGCAACTGGAGTCTCTTCAAGCATCTGCGCGGTCTGAGTTCGAGTTGAAGAGTGCGTTTCCCGATGCCAGCTACGGTAACATCCTCCGTCGCACTAGGAGCATGGTGGATGCTTTCGTTGCCATCAATTTGGAGCTGGTTAAGAATATGACCGCGTCCGAAGGAGAACTGGCTATCCTTCGATACACGGTGAAGGAAAGGCAGCAGCTATCTTCCCGCATCAGCCACCTCTTATCTGGTGAGTTTCTCTTTCGACCCGTATAATCCTATTGGCCTTGCGTAGCTGACCCGGGGGACAGTCATGGCCTCCTCGATGAAGCTGGAGTATCCGTTGAGTGACGTTCTCCCCAGCGTGGAGCATGCCCGGGACCGACTTCTCGCTCGACTCTTCCACTATCGCAAGGATCCCGAGGTATCTCGGTCCTCGACGGACGAGGATTATGCCCTGCTGTATGCATATAGTACGTGAAGACCCCACTGATTTGGTGAAAAAAGGCAATGAATGAAAGCATGGCTAACCGCGGACGTGATCCAGTTCTGGTGACGGGGCAATTGTCGGTCGAGATTGAAGCGATCATTAGCGAGATCGGTCGACTCTTCGGCGTGCTGGATGAGGATGCCGTGAAGCTATATGCGTAGCGGGTGGGGGTGGATCGTTGGATGCGCTTGCCTGTACGGAGTATCTAGCTGTAAAGTAGGTCGTGAATTCTGGTGGTATTCGATAGAGCTCTTGCCGGGGCCCGGCTGAGCCCGACCGTAGCTGGAACGTGACATGGAGCCTGTAGAAGCGAAAGAAAGAAAGCGACCGAACGCGGTGCAACAAGTCGGGGAGACCCAGCGGGCGGAACCCGGAGAGAGCAAGTGGGTTTAGTTTCGTACTTATCTAGTAGATGGTTGGCGGGGGAGAAGGAACGCGAGGCAGGCAGGCGACCGTCGGTCGAGTCGACGTGGATGATGGACGGATTCATTCACTTCCACCACTTCCACCTCCTGCTCTCCGACTCTCCTGCTCCGCCGCCGCCCATCAACTCGCCGCGTTCCACCCCATCGCGCATTGCTCTCCCTCTCGGCTGCTTCCATCGTCTGTTACGCCTGCTCCGACCGTCTGACTCCTTGAATTGGCATGACTCCGCGCTTCATGAAGGCCTAGTTCTCCCCACCCCCGGCTTCGCGCAGCCCGTCGCGCTTCCGCGAGCCTCGCAACCATGCAGATCGATCCGGCGGCTCTGAGTCGGACAGACTCGGCGTCGACCGCTATAACCTCGTCCAAAGGCACAGCTTCTAGTGCTCCGCCAACCCAGAAATCCACCAAAGCCCTCATTTCCGTACCGCGCCTGGATCTCGAGCCCATCTACACGGAGCTGAAGGCCGCCATCGGCGACAACTGGGCCGAGTACAAGGAAGCCACCACCCTCTTCCTGTTAGGTACGTATGCTTTCCCGGGTCACCTGGAGACTCGTCTTCCTGTCCGGATTGCTACCTCGTTCCGTCTTACGTGCCCCAGCTTCCACTCGACCCGAATCGTACGCTGATGCCCTTCCCCTACGATAGGACAACTGAACCAGAGCGAACTTACGTCGCGGGTCGATCATATAATATGCGCCGATCAGAAAACCGAGCATCTGCATAACAATTTCATATGCGCGATCATCGGGAACCTCACCAGGGACCTTCCGGATCATGGAGTCGCAAGTTGGGTATCGGCGAACGATAAACCGTCGGTGGTGTCAAAACCAACCTCGGGCGATGCAGCAGAACAGCGGCTGAAGACAGAGGTCATGCAACTCCCTCCCAGGGATCGTCGAAGGATCAAGGCCATTCCAGAGGTATGCTACCTGCTACCGGGGTGCGGTACATCCCATGGTTATGCAGACAAGACTAACAGCAGACTTCTGACCAGCGTGACCCCAACGAACTTGCGCCGAATGAACTGGAGGAATACAATTTGGCGAAGCAGATCAAGTTGCCCAGTCAGGTACCAGCCAGTGCGGGCGGGTTGAATAAGACAAGTAGGTTCATGCCTGGCATTCTTCCTTTTTGTGTTTCTTCTCCGCCGAATGATGCTGACCACCTGGGCTTGCGGTAGACTGGGAATTGGAGATCCGGAAACGTTATGCGCAACCCCTGGCGTCGGAGACCGGCGAGTTTCCCGATGCCGAATCCATTCACGCACGCATGGTCCCCATATGTTACGAGGAGTCTATTGTCAGCGGTGCTAGCCTTCCCTGTGCCGAGTTCATGGCGATCGCCACCGAGACCTTTGTGAAAGAAGTTCTGTCCGTGGTCTTCTCTCGGACCAGGTCGAATGGGCCCTCGGGAACTATCAATGGCATGATGATGCGGAAGTATCGACAACAGCTCGAGAGTGAAGAACTGGCCTTTACGCGAGGAGAGATCGTTAAAGATAGCGCGACCGGTCTGCTCCCTATCGAGGCTAAGGAGGCGAGCACCCGGAAACCCTTGGGTGTTCGGGACCTTCGACTATCTTTGGAGCTCGGTGGCGGAGTCCTCAGTCATATGCCCTTACTTGTGGATCAAATCATGGGCGGCTATCTCGAGGACGAATTGGAAACGGACAAGCAAGACCGCGTGGAGGAGGTGGTGGAGATCAGCCACGCGGGAACAAAGCCCGACAGTTTCGTGGACGAAATGGAAGTGGACGATGCGGACTTGGACTGGGAAGGGGGCACAGTTGCCGATCGAGAGCAACTGGGTGCCCTGTTGGATGAGTGCCTGTCAATGGCCTCATGAGCACCTCCCGCTCTTCTACGGCCCTGGGTGGCTCTTATCTTTGCAAGCATCTGTCCTTCTCCTGTTGTTTATGTTCCCCTCCCCTGTTTTCGAGGACATGCTTTTGGACCCGCTTAGGGCCAGAGGTTGCAACATGTCGGTGTGGCAGAGAAGGTGAGCCGGCGTCTTGGGAGTCATCGGGAAAGCCATCATTGGCGTGACATCGTCATTTTGCATCTGGCGCGGAGTTCGAAGAGTTGATTATCTGTTGAATGTTTCATGAGGTTCCTTTTCCCCTGCCTTGCGCTTATTTCCTTTCTGTCCGATTATATTCCCCTTATTGTTCGCATGTTTTTCCAGACGGTCGCCTATGTGGCCATTCTCTGACCAGCCCCCAGGACGTGAAGGACACACGCCCGGAGCTGACTCTTTACAATTCGCCTCAAGGAGCCCAATGGTATGGGATCCCTAACGCACACGATTGATCTGTGGACGGAGAGAGAATCCCTAGGGGAAGAGAACGACGACACAAATTTCCATAAAGAACACGAGCCGAACAATTTCTATCGATATCCATGGCTCGATGTGACCGATTGACGGTTCGTTGGGCTATCTACTCGCGTACTGAAGGACAATATCACCAGGATACGGCGTGAGGGTGACCCACGCAATCATTGCGATCTATATACTATGTTGAATGTGCAAGCGCTAGTGATTACCCGGTGGCTCGTTTTGGTCGGAGACGATGGGATTCTCGTTGTGCTATGATACGCTATGTACTGTACATTATTTTTCCATTCTGGGCATATCCTTGGTGGACCGTTTCACGGGCGGATCCTGATAGAGAGACATCCTGAGACAGAGGATCGATCCTCTGTTCTTGCAGGATCAATTCCAATGGTAATCTGTGACCCGCTTCATGCCAAGGCCAAGGTGAAGGCCAATTAAACTGTATGCATTCTGGTTGCTGGTGGTATAATGCAACCAACCTCCCTCTACTTCGCCCGAACGCCAACCCCCGGTCTCTCGAGACCGGATATCGTAAGTACGTGATGTCGAAAGGGTGCCAGGATCCCTCGTCTCCATCAGGTCAGACGGTCGGCAACCATCTTGAGTATCTCTTCGGTCGACTTGCGCGCGTTGGCGGGGTCTTTAGCGACGGATTGCCAGATCTCGCCGTGTTTGGGCTCGGTCGCAATGCACTTGGCCACCACATCCGCACGTTTTTCCTGTGTAGAATCAATCGTTAGTCTCTGTACGTCTGATCTGGACATATCCAATGGGTGGAAGGGCTTCAAACATACTTCGGTGCCATGCTGCAACAAGAACTTGTAGTACCAAGCCCAGCCGTCGCCCAAATCGCTGTTCGAGACAATGGCCTTCTCGAACCAAGTAAGTGCTTTTTCCAATCGGCGCTCGCCCCAGAAGATACGAGCGACGGTGATGAAGAGCACGGGATCGTTGTCGGCCTTCTTGATCGCTTCCAAGCTGCGAGCCTTCCGTTGCGCTCGTGGCTCCAGGTGCCAAATGCTTTCACTCCATAACAACCCGGACGTGGGAACTTCTTGCAGAGCCCGGGCCATCAGGACCTTGGCCTGGGCAATGTTGTTCGCCCGGCGTTCCACGCGCACACTTTCGGTCCACAGTTCCGGGCTCTTGGGCACCGCGAGCCGAGCTCGGTCAAGCACGGAGCGAGCTTTGACGACAGCGCCGGCCTTTTCTTCCAACCTCGAGGCCAGGAGCCAGAGCGGGACGGATTTGGTGCAAGCTCTGGTTCCAGTTCCGTAGGCTTCCCGAGCCTGTGGGTACTTGTTTTGGATCTCGTAGATTTGCCCCTTCATCATCCAGAGCTTATCGGCCTTGGGATAGAGCTGAAGTCCTTGGTTGACCAGGTCGAGCGCCTCGTCAGTGTTGCCGAGTTGTCGCTCGAACGCAACGCTCTTGATCCACACCCGATCGGTGCCCGCTTCGCGCCGAGCAGTTGCGAGAAGTTCTCGGGCCTGGTCCGTCTGGTCCGCATCGGCCTCCAGCTTGACGGCAGCCAGCCAAATATCCTCGTTGTTGGGGTTCTGGTTGAAGGCACGACCGAGCACTCTCCGAGCATCATCGATCTCCCCGGACTGCCACTTTTCCTTTGCGAGCTGCAACCAAAGCTCTTCACTTTGCGGGCAAGCTTCCACGGCCTTTTCGAGGACTTGCCACAGCGCTTCTTTGCCCCCGTGGTTACGCTCCAGCTCAGCTGCCGCGAGCCAGATTGACCGACGGTTAACGAAAACGCGCAGCGCGTAGGCGTAGATCGCTCTCGCGGTCTCATACTTGCCTCTCGCAATGCTGGCCTTCGCATCGTCCATCCATATATCCTTGCGGTCATCATCCTCGTCCAAGCCCCATCCCAGAGTCTCGCGAATGATTGCACCGCAAGTGAGGATAGCACCCTCTTCTTCGCACTTTTCTGCCTCTGCTATCCACTCCTCCCTCTTGAGCATAGCATTCTCACGCGCGAGGGATTGGACGGCTCTCTTCATCACATTGACCTTCTCGAAGGTACCCATCTGCTCTTGGAGTCGTGCAGCTGCAACCCAGATTTCATGACTGGTGGGAACCGCTTTGCGGGCGGCATTAAGAACCTTCTGGGCGTTCTCAGGAGACTCTAGGCGCGCCAGAGCCAACCAGAGCTCGACGGACAAGGGGATCATCTCGACCGCCTTTGCCAGGAGCAGGCGTGCATCTGCAGGGTCATCCTCCAAGTTGACGGCTTCTTTCCAGATGGTGACAGACTGAGGGATATGAAGAATGGCCTGTCTAAGGACATTTTTCTTTGCTCGAGGTTCCGACTCTAACCTCATCGCTTCAATCCAGAGCCTCGTAGACCGATCGTTGTTCTTGATGGCATTGGCGGCGATAACCTTGGCATTGTGGCCCTCGTTCAGCCGGATGTTTTCGAGCCAGGCGTCTTCACTCTTCGGACACAGCTCGCAACCCTTGGCGATTACATTCCTGGCGGTCACAATTTTACCGGCTAATTCTTCTAAACGCGCCAGCGCAATCCACCCAGGAGCGTGTTTTGGATTCGTTTTCGTCACCGACTCCAACAGAACCCGAACGCGCTTGATGTCTCCAATCTCTACTTCTCCAGCCTTAAGCTCTGATTGCGTTAGGCTCGTAAGATACCCCTTGGGATCAATGTTGGTAGCGCTCCCGGACGCCGAATCCCCGGACGATCCCATCGCCGCCTGGTCCAGCCGAACTTTGAGAACCTTATCACGGGCAGCACTGATGTCAGCAAAGTTGGTGATTGTCCCATCCGCCCCCTCCGCTCCGTCGACTGCGGTCTGGGTACCGTCATCTGCAATGGTGGTTTCAAACTGGGTGGAATCTCTTGCGCTAGCAATCACGCTGTCCGGGACTGCGTAGAATCGCTGCCGGAGGTTCTGCTTCGCCCGTCGGTTCTTGCCTGTAAGGTCTCCCACCTCCGGGAGGTTAGCCCAGTCATCCTCGGAGACCGAGGCCAAGGATCGTTTCAAGTCGGCGAATTGCTGCTGGATCTTGGGGTTTTTGCGCTCGTAATCTTCTCGTTCTTGCCGCTCGCGAGCTTCCCTGTGAGTGGTGGCATTACGTCGGCAATCTGTCCAAAACAACCGGATACGAAGGGGATGAACAAATCGCCTCATAGAAACAAAGAGAGGGGAAGCATAGGGTAAGGGGACTAACCTTCTCATCTTGCGGCGTTTGTCCATTTTTTCATCCACCTCTCTATAAATGCGGTCTGCTTCGTCATCTTCTTGGTCGAACTGTCCGTATGCGAACAGCCCGACTTCATTGTCGGGGTCCTGGAACCGCTCGTCATCCTCCTCCTCGTCTGCTTTTTCATCCTTGCCGCCCTTCTCACGCCCTGCGCCGTAAGCTGTGGGAGGTGCCGCTCCAAGAAGCTGGGCGCGCTTTGCAAGTGCGGCCTGAATCTGTTCTGGCGTGGGGCCTTCTCGCGCGGGTCCGAGATCTGAACGGGTGGTAAAACCAGTCGCACCTCGACCAAGACCGGCGACATAATTCTCGGGCGCCTGCTGGCTTAGAAAGTCCTTGCGCCCGGAAGCCATGGTGATCGAGGTGTACCGTCGAGAGGGAGCGAGAGGAGCTGGGAAGCCGTCGCAAGCGACGCAGATGGCGGCGAGACAGGCGGATTGTTTGCGAGCATCAGCGACGCCGGGCCCCGCAGAAACCTAGTTCCGGCCCGGTAATCTTATCAGAAACCCTCCGCACTTTTTTTTGCCCGTTTCACGATCGGGCCCAAGACGTCGGATTCCCTGTCTTTTTTCCTCGCCTTCACGCTCGAGGACGTTGTCGGTTGCAGTCGAACTGGTCATCCCCGTCCGGTCCCGCCACGATGCCCAAAGTCAGGCAGCAGAAGCGCAATAGCGCTTCCAAGGCAAGTCCCTATGCCGATGCGGCGGCGAAGACCAAGGCCGCCAACAGCATCTTCAAAATGAACACCGATCTCGGTCAGCACATCCTCAAGAACCCGGGCGTGGCACAACGGATTGTCGACAAGGCCGAGTTGAAGCAGAGCGACGTGCGTCGTCCCCATCCCTATGACTCCCCTTGCGCTGTAGCCTGTCTAACCTGGTCGGCGGGGTTCTCTTCTGGTATAGGTCGTGCTGGAAATCGGTCCCGGTACCGGAAACCTTACGGTGAAAATCCTCGAGAAGGCGAAGAAGGTCATCGCCGTGGAGCTGGACCCTCGAATGGCGGCCGAGGTCACCAAGCGTGTTCAAGGCACCCCCGCCCAGAAACGCCTCGACGTGATACTTGGAGACGTGATTAAGACAGAACTCCCATATTTCGACGTTTGCATTAGCAACACTCCGTACCAGGTACGCTCTATATCTATCTATCTCTTCGCAGGGGAGAGAAACCTAATCCGTCGCCTGCTAGATCTCCTCTCCTCTTACATTCAAACTTCTTGCGACCTCACCGGCACCCCGAGTGTGTATTCTCATGTTTCAACGAGAGTTTGCTCTGAGACTCTTTGCGAAACCCGGCGATAAGCTCTATAGCAGACTCTCCGTCAATGCCCAGATGTGGGCCAAAATCGATCACATCATGAAGGTGGGGAAGAACAATTTCAAGCCGCCTCCGTTGGTCGAGTCCAGCGTTGTCCGACTAGTACCCAAGAATCCAAGGCCACAAATCAACTACGACGAGTGGGATGGGCTCTTGCGAATCTTGTTTGTGCGCAAGAACAAAACCATTCGGTCGAGTTTCCTTGGCAAGTCCACCGTCATGGATATGTTGGAAGCCAACTATCGAACATGGTGTGCGCAGAATGATATTCCAGTTGAAGATGGCCCCGCGGACGATGCTGAACCTGACGCGATGGACATGGGCAACGCACAAGACGATGATGAAGATGACGGCGAAGACGGGCCTGATGAGGGCATGGAGGTGGATGATGAAGATGACGTGCCAGACTTTTTCAAGGAACAGACGAACGCTCGTATCCAAGAAGCTCTCAAGAGCCGGCCCAATCGTAAGAAGAGAGGAAAGGTAGCAGAGCTCGTTCGGGAGAAAGTACGGCAGGTGTTGGAGGATGATACGGGTCTCGCAGATAAACGTGCAAGAATGTGCGATGAGAACGATTTCCTGAAGTTATTGTGGGCCTTCAACCAGAAGGGCTTCCATTTCAGCTGAGGCTGGCAGCATGGGGGTCAGAGGCGGCTATGCCCCTCCTTCAGAACGCCATATACTAATGAAACAGGTGCTATTATTAATGAATCATGACCGTCGTCACTGCAAGTCATTCTCTGGAGATCGGTCTCCAGCCGGACGGAGATGAGCCCGAGAGTCCTGGAATAGACTTTGCCAGATGAATGCTTCGCTCAGCAAGAGTTCGACATCCTTATCTGTCCAATCCTTCGTGGGAAGAGCTTGCAGAAACATCATTACCTCCTATTGTCATTTAGCATATACTGTACGGTGTCCAGAATTAGTCAGGAGTATACCCACCTGGAAATCCATCTTCACCAATTGGTCCGACCATTTCACGAGAAAGGCTGCACAGACATATAAATGAAATCGCGAGAAACCCTGCTCCTCTGCCTAAGAACTGGTCAGTGTACCCTAATCTATATCTGCCACCACAGAGAAACCTGGCTTGCCTTACCATATATGTGTCCCACATCCGTATGGTATTCTGTACACTCATTTCCCGCATGAGGAGGCAGTTCATCCATCGAAAACTGAACTGCATGAACTCTACTCCCTCTTGCTCCAAATGCTTAGCAAGCGTAGAATCAATGCGCATGGTCAAATCGCGTAGGGCCCTGACTTGTCGGTGAATCCCCGGTTGAGCATAGATATAATTGTCCTGGATACCATCAAGTAACTTGGTAAGGCACCAGAATGTATCCGCTTCAACAGCATCCAGCACGCTCCTAGGCAACTGGCCAGGATCCATACCCCTCTCGACATTGAGATCGGTTACGTAAGTACCCAGGAATACCTGCCAGAAGGGTGTCACGAGGTCATTGATACCTTGTACATATCCGCTGGCAGGATGCCGAATCGCCCAAACGTAGAGAATCTTCTCCAAGGACCGTTGAGTAGCCTCATAACTGTAGAGCTGAATATGAGGGCTAGTCCGGGGGACATCAATGCTAATCTGATGCCATACCGCCTCGTCCAGGCCTCTGCCACGCCCGGCGCCGGACGAAGGTGCATTTCCAGAACTTGTGGCACTCCCGCGCTCAAAGGCTTGTCGAACCCCGTCCAAATATTCCTTGCGCTTTCTTTCGAGCGTCGGAATACGCCTTTCACTATTTGTAGGGAGATAACCGAGGAGCAATTGCCATGTCATTGCACGGACTTCATCGGGCACTCCTGACCAAGCCAGGTTTCTCAGTTCTGGCAGAGGAACGGTGCTTGTTTGTAGAAGGCGTTTGAATTTGTTAATTCGTGAGATGCGACTGGAATACATGTCCATCTCCTTTGGAGAGGCATTCTTGGGAGGTAGTGCGTGGTTTATGAGATTCAAGGCGTTGGCAGGGTCTTGAAGGAAGATATCAGCATATTCCAACGTTAGGAGGTGTAATTCATACCTTTCAGGATTTCTTTATACTGAGGTCGCAGTATCTTGCCCTCTCCGGTTCCAGCCGTCGGATACATAGGAACACCTCGTTCTTCAGCAATATCCGAGCTATTTGCGCGTTGCCGATTGTTTCCCAGGCTAACACCGAGCGTTGAGGCGTTGCTAGCAAACCCTCCGCCCGGGTCAACAGGCTTGAGCTGGGACGTGACAACACTCTGTAACTGCTTTTTGCGCATGCTAGTAATACTGGGGAGTCCAAACTCGTCCTCGTCGTCATCGTAGACAATGTCCTCTTCTTCCTCATCGTCCTCGTCCTCCCCCTCGTCATCTTCTCCCAAGCGATCAGGACCCCATGATTCAATCCCGCGGTTCATGATATCAGAGTACGTAGTATGAGGAGATGTGGACCATCCACTTGATCTATGGGGCGACAAAGACGTGCGTTGAGCATTGGTAGACGATGACCGAGGCGGGGTACGCGGGCGCGCATGCTGCTGTGAGATCCCTCTGTTGCAGGCACGAATAGGTCAGTCAATTAGATCATCTCAGCTTGATTTCGATAATGGACCCCATAGGCGCGATATACTAACTTCAGGATGTCAGCGTGAGAGTATGAGGCACCAACAACCGTGCTTTGGTCATGTTGTGCAGAAGTCACTTGATTCTGGGATACCGATCTACCCTTCCAGAACGGCGAATTCACCCGCCTTCCAAGGGAATTAGCGCGAGGAATTCGAAACAAGCAGATGTGTGGATTCTTCGAGGGTCCGAGAAAACGAGATTAATGGTTTTAGGACAAAACATACTCAGCACGGTCTGTCCATTGGATGTGGGGGAGGTATATCAGCCACTGTATCTGGAACCCAGAAAGACGGGGTGGTAGAGGTACGAACCAACCTGGACCATCTCCTTAAGGATTTCGGCAAGAGATTGAATTAGCTGCCGATTACATATGAAGGAGCAATATTGGAGTTGAAGTTAAACGGGGTCAAGACTCACCTGTTGGCCCTTCCTCGCGGCCATTGCGTCAAGGTACTGCGGAGGCAACGATAGGATCAATCGAACAGGTCATCGGGATCGAATAGCATGGAGAGAACAGAAGCCCGAGTGCGGGGAGAAGAAGGGTGGCACGTGGGTTCGGTGCTCCGTCTGGAGCAACTAGATCGGCGGTTCCTAACAACGACCACGCACGAACAGTCTCAAGAGCTGATCGACTTTGAATAGAGACGAGGGTCCTATTGAACGAGTCTCTTGGGGCGGCGTGGGAAAGCAGGGTAATTGAGTTGGAGGTGGTGGCTTGTCATGCCATGGTATCCCTCTCATACTGACTTACGGAGTACTCGATAAGGGAATGCGTATGCGCCGTACGACTGGTCCCATCCCATCTACCGGTGGTACTATGGAGTGAGCCTGATCCTTACGTATGATACTAACCCACCTGCTTTTGGTACTTACCAGGTTGTACCATACCTTGGGAGGAGATATGTAGTACTCCATAGGGGCTCGGTAGGCATTGAATTCATTAGACTCATGTATATTTCCCCTGATTCTACGATGGACAGTGTATATACGGCTAGATACATGCCTTACTGTTCACAACCCACAGATGATGATCCGCTATCTACTTACTTGCAGGCCTCCTTACCGTCAGCCAGTGTGGGGGTACCGTACCGTACCAACCGGATCCATACATGATACCGTATTCTTGTCGGCCCGCCAGTCACTCGCAGTCTCACTGCCAGTCGTTCTCGCCTCAAACCTTCGCCGTGCAGCTGCTCTCCTCCTCCTTCTCTCCTTCTTCCTCCATCCTGGTCTCAGTCTCTTTTCCCATTTCCTTCCCCCCACTTCACTCTTACCCCTGTTGGTCCATTTCCTCCCCTTTCTTCCTCTCTTCACCCCTTCTGACCATTTCGACCGGAGGCAATATCTGGTGCTAGTGCCTCGCCATCAGTTGGTTGATACTAACCTGGTTTGCTTCCTCCTCGGATTGATCACTCTGGTCACAACAATTTCCCTGGTTCACAACACGTCTTTCTTGTTTCTTATTTTGGCCCTTTTAGCTATTGAATCGTCATGGCTGAACCTGAGGATGTTGAGGAAGACCTTTTCGCGGATCTGTACGATGCTCGTTCACCGGAATTGACTAGACAACTTCTAAACTTCATGTGCTCCTTCTAGGTACGATGCCGACGATAATACAACTCATACTTTATCCAGTGCTGAAGCTCCAAAATTTGCCGATTCGGCTGTGCCAACTGCATCTGTCCACCCTACGCAGATCCCTATCCAATCTGTTGAAACTGGACCGATCGAGATGGATGCGGGAGCTGCATACCCTTACTCACACGAAGGAATTCACCAGAACGGTGCGGACAATGTAGGTATCGGACGTGCACACCATGCTGTTGTGCCTGGTGGCGAGTCTGAGCCTCAGGGCACCGGTATCAAAGAAGACGGGTAAGTGCTGCTTCCATTGGCGTCTTGATGCGTTTCTCTCCTCTGTACTTGGTTACGACTGGACGCATGGGTGTCTATGCGCAGTCCATACCGCCACCGTTCCACAAGAAATTTGTGGTTCCCTCAATATCCCGAGTGAATTTCTTTTTCGGGATCCTCTGGAGGGATGGTTCTTGTTGGGTTGGAGATGTCCGCTCATGGTTCCATTTCTGTGCACTGTGAACGTAACTAGTGAGTTGGTACTGGGAGCTGCGCAACGACATCTTCTGCGGCCGAACTGATGGTTCATGGGATGGACTCTATTAAGATACACGGGCTTGGCGTCATGGGCAGAAGGATAAAGTTCTATTATCTAAGTCGAGGTCTTATCCGGTTGGGTCATCGTTGTTACTAGATGGACGAATTCTCGGACAGCCTTGAACACACGGCTTTCAGGCTCTTTCTTGGGTTTGAATGTCAAGAGGCGTCGGGCGAAGGCAAATCCACCTCAAGCCGTACAAAGCTCGAATGATTTATGTCAGCGATCCACCTTCGGTATGACTTTTGCGGTGAGACATTCCGGATTCCTGACACTGCGGACCCTTGTCGCGAGCGACTATAGTACAGCCGATACTATATAGCTTCTTGTCGATATAGCTTGATAGAGCACAGCAAGGAGTAACAGCCTTGGCTGTCTGGTTGGGCAATGTCGATCAGATTACCTAGCTTCGGACATGATTAGACAGACAGGCAAAGGATCCTTGATCCAGGGAAACAAGAAAACAAAAGAAAGTTGACTTAATCCGCCGGGCATGCTCCAACTCGTGGTCATATGTCACCACGCGCAAACCTTCTGTCGTGGGATTTATCTCGCCTGGCCTTTATTTCCACTGGGTCGCCCTGTAAACCAGTGGTTGTCTGACTAGAGACATGTCTGTTCTCGTGAGCAAGAAGCCGCCCACTGGCCGTCCCTGTCGATGTATACATGGCACAGAAACTGGCCCCTTGGAAGAGACCCGGGGCTCACTGGATGACCCGCCACCACGATCATTCGACGATCAGCCATGATCAAAGGGCAGTCTATGCTTTTCGCGCCGCGGTCATTGCTGGCTCAGGGCAGGGGAAATAGATACCGTCATGTCCAAGTGACCCGCGCTACAGAATCAACCTAAACCCACTCGCAAATAGCAGCCCAAACCAAATGCCTGTCACTACAATGTCATGGACCATCAGCGCTCAGCTCCCAGCCGCGAAGATTCAAAGCCTGTCTATTTCGCCTCCAAGCCTCCATCTTTTCCTCTTTTGGTGTTTATCTTGTATTTTCTGGTTCTTTGCGGTTTCTTGTGTTTGCCTGCTGCTATTTTTCGCCCCTCGTGAACTGGCCTCTTTTGCTGATTGAACTGCGGGATAGGAAAATGTTCATCGGGGGGTTGAACTGGGAAACCACAGATCGTATGTATATCCCAGGCAGGCCTGTCCAACGTCAAGCGCAGCTTGTCTAACCAAATGAATTAGAATCCTTGAAGGACTACTTCTCTCAGTTTGGAGAGGTGCAGGAATGTACCGTAATGCGAGACAGTGCTACAGGTCGCTCCAGGGGTTTCGGCTTCTTGACTTTCAGAGACCCTAAGACTGTGAACACGGTGATGGTCAAAGAGCACTATCTAGATGGGAAGATCGTAAGAAGCCCTTCCATGCTTGTCCCCATTAGCCCATACCACTAGCAAGACATACGCTTACGGCATATTGCAAGATCGACCCCAAGCGTGCGATCCCGCGTGATGAGCAGGAGAAGACCAGCAAAATCTTCGTTGGTGGTGTCAGTCAAGAAGCAAACGAGCATCAATTCAAAGACTTCTTCACCCAGTTCGGTCGAGTGATTGATGCTACCCTAATGATCGACAAGGATACTGGTCGACCCCGTGGTTTTGGTTTCGTGACCTTTGATAGTGAAGCCGCTGTGGAGGCCGCTCTCTCGCGCCCTTTGGAAATTCTCGGCAAGCCCATCGAAGTCAAAAAGGCTCAACCTAGAGGCAATCTGCGTGATGAGGAAGACCGCAGGTACCGCCGCGGCAGGGACTCTTTCCGAGAAGGAGGCCAGATGGGTAGCGATGGATCCCAGCAGCAAGCGGGTGCCCAGGGACAAGCCAACATGGCTAGTGGTCTGACACCGCAAATGATGGCGCAGTATTGGCAGAGAATGCAGCAGTACTTTGCCCTGATGCAACAGCAGATGGCTGTCGCCGCCGCTCAAGGTCAAGGGATGGGCGGCATGGGAATGGGTGGAATGAGCCCTGCCATGATGCAGCAAATGCAAATGAAACAGATGCAACAGATGCAGATGGGTAATAACCAGCCGCAAGGAAGTCTCAGTCCCCCTTCGCAGAGCGCAACTCCCCAGGCAATGCCGAACATGATGAATCCCGCGATGATGCAGCAAATGCAACAGATGCAGCAGATGCAGAGCCAAGGGCAGGGCAACAATGTTGGAGGCATGCCGGCTCAAATGGGGAATTCCATTGGGGGGGCAGCAGCAGCAGCAGCAGCAGCAGCAGCAGGCGGGACTAGACCTGGCTATAACGCCCAAGAACAGATTGCCTTTGAACAACAAAAGTATGAGCAGCAGCAGGTGCGCCGAGCGATGGAAAACCGGGCCTTCTCTCCATATCAACAGGGCGGGCCAACATCATGGGAAGGCATGTATGATGAAGTACCTCAGCCTAACATCCCCACGGGTCCCCAGGCCATGAACCGTGCCGGGAGCATGGGACGTGGTATGTATATCGAACTCCTCTGTGCCCCTTCCTTATTGCCTTTGCCCTCCAGCTGACTTTCGTTCAGGACCTACACCACAGCCTCAAAGTGCCGCCCCAGCGAATGCTCCAACCGGGCCAAAGAACGCTGGCAAGCCCGGCGCCAATTATCGTGGAGGCGGACGGGGAGGACATCGGGGCTTCCATCCCTATGCCCGGGGATGAGCTGAACTAATCCTGTCTGTGTAACAATGTATCTGCTGTTCTTTTGTCCCTTCCCTTGTTCCTGCCATGGTTTTGGTTTCCTTCCCGTCCAAGTTGTCCGCCACCCTGTTGCGGCTCGCTTTCTACACCATGAGAACCGGTTAACTCATAGTTTGGCCACTACAACCCTGGGTGATGTGATGTTCTTGCCAGCAATGATGATGTCTAATGTACTGCTCGAGTGATGCTCTCATTCTTCTCCCTCGCATGGCTGCTACTATCTTCTGGAGTCGGGGATCTCCCAAAGGTAAAAAAAGTCGAACAGGAAAAACAAGAGCCGATGTTGCATATCATCCAAATTGGCGTCACCATCAGTACTGCTTAAATGAATTACAGTCGGGAGTCATCTCCCGCATTCTTTCTGCCTTGCGCCCTATGCAGAGTAACTTCGAGGCTTGGTGTAGTCAGGCGTGAATGAATTGTAGTGGGAAAGAAGAGACCAATAATAATAATGGTCACGACATGACCACCCCTGCATCGTGGTTGGAACCTCAATCATCGACCAAGTTCTTTCGTTTTCCTTTCCTTGTAGCAAGACAAAACAAGAAGTATACCTCTCATGCCAAGCACGCCATGGTTTGCAAACCACTGATTGTCTAACAAGCTCTTGACCCCAACCCAGCTAATGAGGGGCTCAAGATGCGCAAGGTTTTACAAGTAGAGTAGAGCGACAATATAGATGAATATGGCAATGGTATGATGGGAATCAAATAGTGACAGGAGTAAAAAAAGGTAGAAAGCACAGTTGGAAAGGAGAGTAGAACAAGAAACAAATGCCAACAACGTCCATCACTCAAATCAAGTACGCTAATTCGTCAAATTTGCCTGACAAAACTCTATGTCCAAAAGGAAGATAAATGTGGATGTATAGAAAATTGGTACGTCGTCAGTCCCATCCAGCACAAGGCTTCAATAAGCAAACCCATACCCGGGGGTCGTGGCATGGCGCCCTTCAGGGGAGTCATGGCTGCCATGACTTTCATGGCTACGCCGGCTCTCTCGGCTTATACTTCGACCATGCCGGTCATCTAGAGGGTATCCTGACTCAACCAAGCGTTCCGTGCTACCTGTGCTTAGTCGCGATTTCGAATCATGTTGATCACGGTAGGGTTCGTAGGGGCCGGTGAAATTGAAGTTGCTCATTTCTGAGTAGTCTTTGCGAGGAGGATGCTCCATGAGAAGAGATTCCCGTGCGTCGAGAGGCGTCAAATCGTCGATATCACGATTCATTTTGTCTGGAAACAGTGATGTCAGCAACCCGAAAACGGTCAAGGATAAGGTTCATTGCATATCACTTACTAGCTTCTCTCTTCCGCTTCGCATGAGGGTTCTCACGAATGCAAAGAATAATAGCGTTAGTGGCGATAAGAATGGCCAAGATACCACTGAGCCCGGACTGGATGGCAATGAGGACGATGCCAGTGACGGTCTTGGTCGTCTCCGAAAGTCCGAGTTCGTCGACGAAGATCAAGACACAGGCAATGGACAATACACGAACTACTTGCACTGTGATGTTGATCCACTGGCTTGACTTGGCGACATAAGGACGATTCCACAGCAGAAGCGTAAGCATAAGAGCCTCCACAATCAGTTGACCAGCGCTTTGGACAAGCCCGTGACCATCGGCAGCGGCGATCACACATCCCTTCGCAAACATGTACACAATGGCGGGAACAAAGGCCCACCAGTAATCCTTTTTATAGTTGTCATAGAAAAGACTGTACTTGCGCCAGGTTTCATGGTCGTCGTACAAATGGGACGCGTCGCCTTCGGACTTCTTATACTTCCGTGCCAGAAATGCGATGCGGAGACCGAAGAACAACAAGACACCAGTAAAAACAGTAAGCGCGACAGCGGCCAAAAGCTTCGCGGCCCAGGAGTCTCCGCCGCTGAGCTGGTAGACACACCAAATTACCCAGACTCCGTAAAGAAGGAGAATCAAGTTAGTGATTGTCCGGCCCAGCAGGCCCCAGTAGTCTTTGCGGAAGTTCGTAAGTTTCTGAGGGAAAGAGCCGTAGAGAGCCCACACTTCAAGGATTACCTTGAGGAGCAAGATCCCTACAGTAATGGCAGCGATTAGGATAGCAAATATGAGCAGGACAGTCATGAAGGTATTTGCTTGAGGAACAGTAAGCTGTTCAACATAGGCCTCAATGCCTGAAACGAAGTGTTCGAAGCCATCGCTGCTGTCACTGGTGGTGGTGCTATTGGTCGAATTTGTGCTGTTGCTGTATGAAGTCGAGACCTCACGCGCGACTAGGTTGACAGCACCCGCAATTAGATCCAGTCCCCGCTTGGAATTCGAACTAGAGTTTGATGATGAATCACCAGAATACACAAGAGTAGCATTGAGAAGGTACTGGTAGTTGTTGTCGGTGAGATTGCCGCCGGTGGATTGTCGGAAGCTATCGATGGCCTCCTGCATCTTGCCCCATGAGATTATGCCCGTGCTAAACGCAAAGTTCTTCGAAAAGCTGCGGTAAAGGGTCGGGTAGCTGACGCTGAGCATTCCGTTGGTGGCCATGCTGTGAAACCAAGTCACAACATCTCCGAAGTTGGGACTGGATGAACCAGCTGCTCCGGGGTGTCCAACGGCACCTAGGGCAGAAAGTCCGCTGACGGCCAATGCCGCACCTGCAACGCCAGCGGCAGCATATGAGACGCCCGCAATTTGCATGGTATTGCCATTGGTCAGGTCGGACTGGATACATGCCAATTCATTGTTATCGGTCTTTGACTTCAGTTGGAGTTTCACTTGCCCATCCAGGTCGGGAATAGCAAAAGCAATGGAGGGAATCTCACTGGCGAACGATTCGGGTAACGTTTGCGTTCCTGTCGCAGAGAAACTACCGGCAGCAACAGGGCAAAGTTGCTCCACATAGTATTCGCTGCTACATGGATCGAATGATTCGGAGTATATCTGGCTGCCATATGCATAAATGGTCAATGTCGCAGTGACATTCTGTTCCTTCGCGTTGGTACCAGCAACATCGAACACGAGTTCTCTAGTGGAACGGGTGTAGGTGACATCCAGTTTGTCGACCTGGATAGCGGAATCTGACAGACAAGTTGTCAAACCTTGGGTGCTGAGAGTATCGGCTGCAAGGACTCGAGGGGCGAAAAGGCCCAGTGCGATCAGTGTCGGCAGAGAAGGAATGATTCGCATGTTGACCATGATGATATTCAAGGTGCCAGCATCAAGAATATCTTCCCAGAGACTATGCAAACACGAATGTTTCCTTTTCGGAAAATTCGCTGGTGCCGGGTTAGATGGACTCGGTTATGATTATAATGATATATTGCCGCATAAAAAAAAGCCCTGATCAGATCGAGCAGCAACTAGGCTCGCTTGATTCAATCCGGAGGAACGACAGGGTCAACCTGTGTAGAACAGAAACGCTTTAAGGAAGGAAGAGCGGACTGTAGCTGCAGGCAGAGAATTAGGGGAGTACGAAAGGACAATTAATCCAAGCACGCCACCAGAGGATGCTCTCAAGAGAATGTGTGAGGACCGCACCCGCACCGTCTCACTGTCTCCTATCACTCAAGTTCCGTCGCAAATCTCAAGGTGAACGCAGGAGAGCGCGTTTCATGAAGAAAGCCGAAAAGACCGGGGAAGGGACGGACAAAATGGCAATCAATTGCCGGGAGGAGAGAAGAGCAGTGGACTCTCTAAAGACTGGGAAAAAAGGGGGGTGTTGAGGAGCGCGCGCGGCTAGGCAGTGGTGAAAGGAACGAGAGTCCGCGAAAAAGAAAAAAAGGATTGATGATGGCAAGCAAGCAGATTCAGACCAACCTGCGACGTACGAGGAAGAAAAAGAGAGTCATGCAGAACGAGTGTTGATGGAGACGACCAGACTCCGAGGGGGGTGGTGGTGTGTGTGAGGGAGGAAGATGGATCACTGACACTCATCTCTGGTCGCTCTCTGTTTTGGCCGGGAACAGGTATCTAACGGTACGACCGCTACGGAGTACCTTAATCCTTACAGATTACTGTCAGGTACCATGATCCTGCCCGTATTATTGTTGGCTAGAGGCCCGAGTCTAATAATAATCGCCCACATGAGTGGTTCGAGACTCTCACCAGTTGCCCCTGAGTGTCGAAATTGGCCCCACGGAGGCCGCTAATTGGCAATGATTCTAGGCCCCGCTGCAGGAACGGCTCAGGGTTGGTCACCGGCGCGCGGTTGGGGCCAATCTAGACTCCCGCTAGAGGGGGCGACTCTGATTGCAGTACAGTACTCGTACGGGTAGATACCTAGTAGTAGTACATAGTAGTAGCCCAATCGCTTTGGCGCAACCGCCAGGCACAACCCTACAGAAAGCTTTGCACTTTGCAGACTATCTACGCCACCGCCATGCAAAAGCTGGATACGTAAGCTCTGTCAAGTACTGGTACTCAGACTAATGACTGTAGGTTTTTAAATCCCGTAACATTGCGCCTTTATCTTCTCCCCTAAAAGGAACAAGAGAAAGCATTCTACGATTCTAGCCTGGGGTGGACACATACCATAATAGGACGACGTAGTGGGCCGAACGATAGTCAGTGGGAGGAAGTGTCTACCTCCGGACTAGTATATATAGGTCCCAGCCGATGGGAGGGGAAGCTTGACTTCACTTCCCGTCCCTTCAGATTATTCTCATCGTCTTCTATACCGGCGTAAAATTGCAAGGACTGCCCAGTCATAATTTCTTTCATTCTACTTCAGACGCACCATCCCACCGATACATACGGAGTAGATAGTATCTAGTTGGATGTCTACCTACTTCTATCTACTTGGTTACCTACCCATGGTGTAAGCTTTCCAGCGGGTAAAGTGGAATCAACCATCAAGCCACCTCTGTCCGTCCGTGTGTCTCGATAGTCGAGACGTGCTGAGGACATAGCATCATCCATCAGGTTGCTGCTACTATCGATCGGCGCATGATGTTCTTCTAACTTTCATCCCGTCTTTCCGTCAACCTCCCATTCTGCCCCTTGCCCGAGATGATTATATTCTCTCAATCTCGCTTCGCCCAGGTCTGACCTACTAGACACGTAGTACTAGTCTCAAACATCCAGACGCGGGTTGCCGCCATCGGTTTCCTCGAGGCGCAAGTGGGGCGGAATTGGTCTGCCGAACTAACAGAGTCAAGAAAGGGAAAGCATCACACTCACGTTCTTCACACGGCCCCGCTCGTTGTGCTTACGATGACTGGTTTGACAGGTTCAAGGCAGCTAGATTGTACTACGGAGTATCGAGATTGCTAGTAGATACTCCGTGGATATCTCGACTGGCAGACCTCGTCAACCTTGGAAATGTCACCTATCTACCATGGCTTTGGGCGGTCCCCAACTCCACAGTTCAAACAGTGGCTTACAGTTCCATCCAGACCGGTCCATGACCTTCCTGGGTCTCTAACAAATAGTTGCCCGGGATCGCGGCCTGGCATGGACCATGGATCGAGGTTCTAGAAACATCACACGAACATCTTAAAACAGATACATTGGCAATCCAAGCAGAGAACCAAGTACTTCCGTACGTACACTCGCTCTCGGGTTCCGCCCCCAAGGTACACACACCAGGGGCAAGTTTACAGTAATCCTCACTCACGTCTTCCGTAAGCGTCACTGTATTTTCCACCCCAGGAAACGCACCATCTTGTCCTTCATAGGATATACCGGAACTGCTTGTCAGTTCCATACTCCATGTCTGACTGATTCACATTCAGATCGCCCCCAGTCCGCTGCGACTCCCTGTCCAGACGACGATTCGCCCGCCACAGCAGAACCATCTGACAGCATCCCATGATGACCACTACCAGGCACGCACCGCACGAGATCCACATTCCCTTGCGATAATAAGGTTTGTCGCTGTCAGGGAAGATATTTGTCCCTAGGATCGGTCCACATTGTCCACCAGTGGCTAAGATGGCGAAGGCACCTGCGCGTTTGGAGTCCGTGGCATGCGTGTTACCCACCCAAGTGAGAATAAGAGCTACGGACACAAAGACCTGGGTCGCTAGGAAGAGTCCAAAATACCTGGCCGCCACAGTGGTTTGCGTAGCTAGAACAATGTACCCGACAGCAGCTATGAGGGCACCACATACGATGAAGGGCCCGCGCAGGTTGACACGATCCGGCAGAAATGCGCAAGCGACAATGGCAAGCCAGGACAAAATATAAGGCGGGGCGCTGAGGCCGTTCGATTGGATGGTCGTAAAAGCGCCCATTTGCGAAATTATTGTCGGTACGAATAAAGGAAGAGAGGCAAAGCAGACATTGCATCCAAAGTACATCGATGCTGGAGGGTAACCTGTCCGGAAGCTATTAGAAGACGTGGACGGTTCGACAATGATTTTGATTGCGGTTCTTACTCGTATAATCAAACAGAGACTCCAACACCTGCTTCAGCTGGAGGCTGTGGGTTTCTCGATCGCCGGATTGCCTGAGAGAGAGTGCAACAGCAATGTCTTGCTCCCGCTCGCTGAGAAATCTTGCTGTCCTGGGTGAATCAGGCAGGCAAAACCAAGCCACTATGGATAGCAGGCATGATGGCACGCCTTCCACAATGAAGAGAATCCTCTAGGGATCGATTGATCCTTCAGCTTGGGAGATCCCATACGCCAGGGCGCTACCATATGCGTTGGCTAACGCAGCGCCTGATAAGAAATGCCGATCCGGAGACCAAGTTTCTCGCGCGGATAAAAGTATGAGAGGTACAAGGGGACCCCGGGTCCATACATGGCCTCAATTATTCCCAAAAGAACGCAGCAAGTCATCAGGCCGGCCCAGTTTGTACATGCTGACTGGATAGTCGAGATGAACCCCCATAGGAAAACGGTGATAGCCGCCCATCGATGTGGTGCGAACGCTTTCCAGCCGATTGTGGTCCACTGAGACAGAATATCTGGCATGGCCTGTCAGTAGATGCGTTGTCCACGACAGATCATTGATCTGGTGCCAAGAAGCAACCGATAACCCAACTACTAGGACTCACAGGCTATATAGAAAGCTGTCGCGAGCCAATCATACCGCCTCCCGCTCAAGTCGATATCGTCCTCCATGCCTGCGATCTTGGCATTGCCCAGGTTCGACCGATCCAGAACTGAGAGACTATAAGAAACAAAGATCAGAGGCATCAGATTCCAATCGAGCTTGCGGTATACGTGGTTTGCATCCTCCGTGGTGAAGGTTGGACCAAGGCAGACGGTCCCCTGACCGTTTCTGGGACCAGTGGCCTTCACATGTTCCTTTTCGGATATTGCTGTCTTCATGTCGAGGCTTTCGACCTTGCTTTCTGTGGGTTTGCTCATGGCTGCTTGCTTCCTGACCATCTATATACACATCGCAGCCCCGTCGACCGCGCTTCCCTTCCCGGAATCAACCCCTTTTAAGGGCGACCTCCATCGTTCCCCGCACAACGGTGACATATAATATAATACAGCCTGATTATATGGCTCGTTGCTATCACTACAAACGGGGGCTGTCATTCCCCCGCACTTCTGTTGGCCCTAACGGAGGATCACTCTCCGCCATCTCCATGCGCGACCCTGGCGACCTATAGGAGCTGGCCGATCTGACGGATATCGTTCTTTGTTTCCAAGCTCCAGCACCAATCGCTGATAGCCTGTGCCTGTTCTGCCCCGATGACTGGGCTACACTGGTCAATAAACTTTTCCATAAGCTGACTGTCCGTCATGGGCGAGTCGAGACTGCCAACTGCATGGTGCACATGTCTTTCAATCTTGACCGCCGGGGCTTCGAACTCAACCAGGATCCGACATTCATCGGCTCGGATATCCTCCGCCGCTGTTGCGACGATCTTGTCTCGCACCTCGATCGTTTCCGGATTGGTGACGATGACGTCTTCATATTGTGCCGGTGTTGCCTTTCCGTAAATCAATCCAATTGCACCGCCATGATAAACGCTGAACTTGGCTTCCAGTCCATCTCTGGGCTTTGTTTTTCCGGTTAGCTCCAGAACCAGCGGGTGTACGGTGACATGGACAGCCTTGATATCTTGTAGTCGTAGGCCCCTCCGTTGCAGCTCGCCGTGTAACCAAACACAGCCATCGATGACTGGGTGGATCACAATACCGCAGGGGAAGGGCTTAAAGGAATTCTTCGCCAGTTCCCACTTGCCTTCAGATTCCAGGCTGGCAATTTCGTGCGTTAGCTTGTCGTCATTACTGACGACCTTCACCCAGCCCCGCTTAGCCTCCAAAGCCTGCAAGGAACTGGTGTAGCCATCGGCAGCAAGGACCGCCGCTAAGAGACCGTTCTGGGCTGCGCGTCCTGGATGGAAGGACTTGGTGTGCGAGCCGAACATTTCGCGAAGACCAGTCACTTGGGTAGCGGCAATACCGATTGCATGGGCTGTCTTCTCCGGTGTCAGACCTAGGAGGCGAGACACCGCCACTGCGGCCCCAATAGAGCCTGTCGTACTAGTGATATGCCTGGAAATGGAGTCAGTTACTCATGCCGAACTTTGCTCAGCGTCTCGGCGCGAGAGGAGAGACAAAACATACCAGCCCACATCATAATGGCTCGGCCAGACAGCCAATCCCGTCTTGCACTCCAGCTCTATCCCGGCGGCGAGAGCCGTGAGGAATTCTTGCCCGGACACGGGTCGATCCAGCGACTGCGCAAAGCTTAGAAGGGCTGCTGCGACGGGTCCGGTTGGATGTATGATGGTTTCCAGGTGCGTGTCATCGTAGTCATGGACATGCGACGCGATCCCGTTGAGCAACGCAGCATGCTGGGCATCAACCTGGGTTCCATTGGTCCCTAACAAAGTCGAAGTCGGGGCCCCGAAGAAGCGGGACAACGAGTTCCGAGCAATGGAAGCAGCGGGGTGATTGCTGCCCCCGACGGTGCAGCCGACCCAGTTATAAAAGCTCCGGATGGCTGCTTGCGTGGCCTCTGGGGGAATCGAGGAATAGGTTAGGGATGCAGCCCACTGGGCAGCTTTCAGCGTGGCCATGGTTGACGCTGAGGATTGCCAAAAACAAATGCAGGAGAAAAAACTGAAGGGGAGAAGAAACGAGGGAGGGGAGGTGGAAGTAAATTCTGGTATTCTCCACTACTGCCGCGCATACTACACAATACCTTTCATATAGTATATATATCTAAAGCGCCCGGACGGGAAGTACCATCCGATCTCGGGTCATCTTTCCCCCCACGCCAGTCCTTTGATGCTTTGAAAAGAACTAGATCTCCCCAGACGGATCTCATTAGGGAATACCTAACAGTCGTATTCCTGCGGTCCCTACATAGACACCATCATGCCCAAATGCTCATTTTCGGCCAGACTTCTCTTGCATCTCCCGCATCGCAGCTCTCGCACTCCTGCTGCCTCCCAATTTCGGCCCCCGCGGAGCATCGGCCTTGGCTGCCTTTGCGTTCTTTGTTCGCGCAACACGACGCCGGGATTGAATGGCATCAAGGAAGTCCCTTCTAAACTGCTCTGCCACCCGATCGTCGGCCGCTTGCCCATCTTCACCTCCTGCATCATCCCCTTCCTCGTTCTCGGGTCCTTCATAGACGTCCACTGGATATCCGCGTACATATTAGCGGGGAAAAAGGAAAGGCCACAGTGCATAAAGAAGGCCCAGGACCGTAGAAAATGCTCACGTTTACTCTCCCGCAAAACTTCCTCCACCAGCCGATCTCGTTCGATATCCTCGCTTGTTCGCCGTTTCCGATTGCGCCATGGTCTTTGGTCCCCGCCTACGGGGTTCATCTTAGGGATTGACTCCTGGTTGGCAGTAAGGACTTGGTCATCATCCCCCGCAAGCCTTCTTGTCGCCGCTTCCGTACGAGCAATGTTTTGTAATTTGGCCTCGTCGCCTAGATCAATCTCGTGTAGTTTCCCTAAAGAGGCCGGTTCGCGTTGCGGAACGTCGGTGGAAGATAGAGTAGGGGTCTCCGGTTCGGTCGTCGGGGGTGTATCAAAAGTTGCAACATCGGTTGGCATGTTGCGCCGGTGTCTCCTAGCCATTTCAGACTCTATATAGGCCATCCTTATCTTGTTAGTCTCCATTGCAGGCAACACATATCGGGAGCACAAGAACAGGGGCGGGGAATCGTACATATGCTTGTCAACATCCACCGTTTGGCCAGTGTGCGCTGTGAACCGATCACACATTGCTCGCATTCTTTCATTCTCCAGGTCCTCCGCCGCTACAGCCGAGACGGTAGTTTGACTGGCATCACCTGCGGACGGCCGCGAGGTGGTGGAGAACTCGATGCCGCCCTTTCGAGCTCGGTGAAGCCGTCGCGAACGAAGAATATCCGACGCGGAGATAGAGCCCGGCGAATCCTGCCATGGCGAAGGCGTGGGTGACTCGGAGTTATGAGCAACGTCTTCTGTGGTAGATTGGAGTTCGTCACCGCTGCTCTCCGGCTGGCGTCGCTGGAACTTTCGCCTCTTCCCCGGTCGAAAGAGGGTGGCTGGGTCAATCTCCGGATCCATAAGCGCCAATACGACACTGAATGTGTACACTGATAGCAAATTGGTATAAAGAGAGAGAGGGAGAGAGAGACGGTAGTCGGGCGGAGGACTCCGTAGATAGTAGATAGATAGATAGGTGACGACGGTAGCTAGGCCGGCGCGTCCTTCCCGCCGCCGCGATATTATTCATTCATTCGTCCGTCCGTCCATTCATCCATCCATCCATCCCTCCAGCCTTCTTCCCATCATCACCAGCTCCATTCGCCTTCTCACCCTGCCAACTACCCCGCTGATTCCAGCTGGCTTTCAGCTCCAACTCCCTCGTCATTTCCGATTCTCCCCCTCCCGGTTCCCCCTGCATTGGGCTATTCGCCATCCTAAAACCTTGCCGTGCTCGCCTACGTCGACATGAATCCCTCCGTCCCACCCTCGACGGCCGAATATGGTGGAGGTATGTCAATTCCCCTTTTGCGCGCAGTCGAGACACTCCTCCGCGCGCGACTCTTTCTTTCGCAGGACTAATACTTCCATGTCTAGATGAGGTTTCGGCAATTGTGCTCGATCCCGGCTTCTCGACGACACGGGCGGGCTTTGCAGGGGAGGACACACCCAAATCCCTGATTCCAACATACTATGGTAAATATTCGTCAGATGGACAGGAAAGTTTCGTTTTCGGTGACGATATCTTTGTTACACCCCGGCCCGGTCTGTCAATCCACAACCCAATGGGCCGGGATGGCATCGTGGAGGACTGGGACATGGCCGAGAAAGTGTGGGAGTACGCCTTTACTTCGCGTCTGACGGGCCCGAAGCCTGGTAACCCTCTGCAGAACGGGCTAAACGACGTGCCGGAGGGCGAATTGTCTACAGAGATGGAAGGGGTGGAAACCGAGGAAAAGCTGCTCTCTGATAGCCCACTGCTGATGTCGGAGCCCGGCTGGAATCCCACGAAAGCGCGCGAGAAGACCATTGAGATTGCAATGGAAAAGTGGGGGACCCCGGCCTTCTATCTGGCCAGGAATGGAGTTCTCGCGGCGTAAGTTGCTCACAGTCCAATATGCCGCGTCGATTGTCCCTGTATACCTCGCTAACATCCCTACTTACTCGGTTGTAGCTTTGCGGCCGGTAAAGCATCCGCTCTGGTGATTGACATTGGCGCGTCCAACATCTCCGTGACCCCGGTTCATGACGGCATGATACTGAAGCGAGGAGTGCAACATTCCCCCCTCGGCGGCGATTATGTCTCATCTCAGATTCGCGCACTCTTCAAGTCAAACACACCACAGCCGATATCGATCACGCCTCATTATCTAATCTCGTCGAAGACGGCGGTCGACGCTGGCCAGCCCCCACAAGCCAAATACAGGACTTTCACTCCCGAACGGGCGCCTGATGCGTCCTACAGAACCCTCCTGGAGGAGCGGACACTGTCCGAGTTCAAGGAATGTGTTGTTCAGGTCTGGCCTGGCCCCAATAAGCTGTCCGCCGCGGGCCCCAACGGTGTCTCGAACGAAGAACTCGCCAAGAGCAACCCTGGTCGGCCCTTCGAATTTCCCGACGGCTATAACCAGGTCTTTGGAGTCGATCGCTATAGAGTGGTGGAATCCCTATTCGATGCCAAAGCTGCGATTCCGGACCCCGAATCGGTGTTCCCCGCACCAACGCCGGCCCAAACCGTGCCGGAGCTCATAAAGAATGCGCTGAACGGCGTCGACGTCGACATACGCCCGCACTTACTGGCCAACGTTGTCGTGACGGGTGCCTCGAGTTTACTCTATGGCTTCACGGACCGTCTGAACCAGGAGCTCATGCAAATGTTCCCAGGTCCGCGTGTGCGGATATCGGCCCCGGGAAACACCGCGGAGCGGAAGTTTGGCTCTTGGATCGGTGGAAGTATCCTCGCCAGTCTGGGGACCTTCCACCAGATGTGGATCTCCAAGAAGGAGTTTGACGAACATGGCCCAAATATTGTGGAGAAGCGCTGCAAGTAGAAGTATCATCTACTCCTTTCCGTCCTTTTGTTCTTCTCCCATGTCACCTTCTCTCTCAAATAGGATTCTCGCTGCCTGACCATCTTTGTGCCCTCCATGGATACAGCCGAGGGGATGCAATAACTGTACCAGAAAGCCCGTTGATACAATCTAATTCCCAAGTGAATCTTCAGATAACATACTTTACTTTTTTTTGTCTTTTCACTGTTTAGCCCCGACTAGACGCACCGTCGCCGTTCGGTTTGTTCTGCTGGTCCAAGCGCATGAACCAGAGGTCCCATGGTGGAGAAATTACGCTTAGGTTTCCAATGCGTGAACCTTCTTTAACTACAGTGTAAACATGACAATATATAAGTGTACACATCAGGGAGGACAGATACTCTACTTCACATCACGTTGGAAGATGCGCCTGCGTTGCCGTTTGGCTCTGGTCGCATGGCTCAAAGCTGCGACTAGAGCCTGCGTCATCAAAAGTGCGACCGGCAGAACTGCCTGCTTCCTGGGATTGCAGAATCCGGAACAACTGCTCAGACTTGAACCCCGGGGGAAATTACCATCCCTCGAGGGCTCGGATACTTGTGAATTGATCCATTGTCCGGTTTATATTAGGTGGCAACCTGCGAATCCCGAGCATCTGAGCTTGCAATCACAGGTGGCATGCCCGGCGGAGACACGAAAATCGTCGAGGCGTCCGCCGGAATACCCCTTTTAGATGAAAATGTTGGCGGGCTCAGGAGAGCCTTCGACATTCGGTCCATGAGGAGGCGCATGAGGATGGACGCTTTCCTGGTCCAATGGAAGGGGCATGGAAGGAAGGGCGGTTATCGCCGATTGGGGATCTTCCGGGGAAACTCCAAGGTCTGCCTCGCTGTCCGGATTTCCTGCTACAGTTCTGTCCTGACCCAGACTGAACTGGACTGAAAGAACGTGGATTCTAGGGTCCACATCCCTTTTGGGCTTCAAGGAATAAGTATTCATCACTCCACCATCCTCCTGAAGCCAGGCCATGTCCCTGTTCAAATTGGATTCGACCATGTCTGTTTTAAGGTGCAGGCGGCCGTCGGTATTGATGGAGGATTCGGCGCAAAACTTGCTCCGAGGGCCATCCTTCTTGACTCGGGAGGATTGCCGGTCTTTCTTTTTCTCTTTCTGTGCCGCATCCTCCCAGGCGTCTACCACCTTGTCCGACTTGATATACTGCAGTAATTGATGTTTCATCGTCTCTCGTCGCAGCGAAGTTTGAGGAACGGTCGACCATTCCGCTTGAGCCGCCACCACTGCCGCCTGAGCTCTTTGAGTTTCTTCTTTCCTGTTCTTATGCAGGGACTTCAGTGGCTCCAGGGATATAGTTCGAGCCGTTGATGCCCTGGATGGTGCCGTGGAAGGGCGCGCTATCGGCGGGTCAATGTTCTCGCTCGCCGGTTCCTTTGTCCTTAGCCTGGCCCTCGAGAGCCGGCGAAGCCTGAGGATAAAGTTTTCAGAGTCGAGGCCTTCGGCAGCGCCATTTACAGACTTTGCTCGGCCCCGTAGCTTTAGGCCTGCACTGCGCTTGTCAGTCTCCCTAGCCGCTCTGAGATTTGGAACACTTTTCTGCGTAAGCATATGACGCTCAGTCGGCTTAGAGAAGGTCGCCGTTGCCGGGCCATCTGGGGCAACGGGAAGAGGTTTGTTCGAAGACGAGGCCGGCGTACTAACGAACGTGTCTTGCTCAATGAGTCGTTGTCGCAGTGACCTTTTTCTGGAAATTCCTTTGGAACTCTGAATGAAAGACACCTGATGAAGTCTCAGTCTTGGTACATAATCATGGGTTTGGCAGTTTTTCATGACTAACAACAGCTTTTCGGCTTGCTACCCCTACGCGTCGCTGCATTTCCGTGATGGCTAGGCCAAGCTGAAGAAGGGCTGATTGAAGAGCGAGGCCTCTCCGGCGAAGCTTTGAGAATGCGACGTTCCAGCCCTCCACGTTCGCCAGCATAGCATTGTAGACAGCCAACATTTTGGCGGGCAATGGATTGTGCCTTTCGGCTGACTGTTGCAGGTACATCCACAAAGCACCGATTGCTTCCCGGCCTTTCTGTATATCCTTAAGGGAGTCTTCAATGGCAGTCGCAAATCGCTCGATGGCGTGCTCTATCCTATCATTATATTCGATCATAGAGGAACGGAAGCTGCGTTCCTCTAGCATCTCATCGAAGATCTTTAGGTTTTTGAGAGGTAGGCTGAGGTACTGAGTCCGCGTGCGCACGTCGACCTGAATGATATGGAAGTCTTCCGAGGTCCTGCCTAGAAATCCATCCATCTCATCCACGTGTATCTGGAGGATTCTCAAAACCTCTACGTCCGATTTCGCGAGCTCTTCAACGAGAAGGTAGACCCCAAAGGTCATCTGGGCGATGAGTTTCCACAAAGGATGATATCTACAGCCGGTTAGTGCGCAATGTCGCTAAGAAGTCCAACAGACTAAAGTATGACCACATTCTTGCCTTTCGTCGGCTCTCTGGCGCCATTTCCGGCCACAAAGTCGTTCATATTCGGGGGTTTCAAGTATGCCCCTGCGCCTGGATTGAGCATCAAGAATAGCTACCCGTTCGCTCTTCCCAATTTCAATAGCTTCTTGTATCGACTCCTCGAAGGGGCCTTGCAGCTGAGAGATCGGGTGTCTTGAGAATTGGCCAGGGCGCCCTTCCTTGGCTAGTTTGAATCCATTCTTCGGAAGGACATTGGCAGGGGATGCCAATCGCTCTCTTTGTTCGGTCAGGGCCGCCATAAATAGGTGTCGAAAAAGTTCAGGGTCAATGACACGTTCCTTAGAGTTGCGCGCACACCCTCTGTCTTTGTCGAATCCAATTGAATAAGTGGTAGATTGTTTAATATTGTCAGCTTTGCACAGCAGAAGCATTACATGTAACTACCTCCTCACAATCAAGCTGCACGCGGCTGGACCCTCATCGGGATATCTGGACGTGACAAAGGGATTGCTCATAGCAGCATCTTGTAGTGGGCGGGTGGCTGAGATCAAAAGAAGCGTAGAAGCAATCACAGCATCAATTGCAACGAAGACATACGGCGGAGTCCACAGGTCTCCAAGCACACGGTGTCGTCAATCGATGGAAACACGTACACGTACACGTACACGTACACACACGCAGACGTAAAGAAAGGTACGGGGAGAAGAAGGAAGACTCAACCTTTCTCGACAATGAGGATTATATGGCAGCAGCGAGCGGCTTCAAACACTGATTATAATGCACACTGAAGGTACGCCATGCCCGCCAAGGCCGCTGTGAAGTCTGGATAGTAGATACAGGCGAAGTTAATGCTCGAACAAGAAGTGCCAATTGAAGCCCAATCGACCCGCAAATCCTAGGGCTGAGAATGTCTGTTCTCCCGATAGGACCGAGGTAACTGGAGGACGACTGAGCGGCACAGCAGGGTAGAGAATAAGAGAAAGGAAAGGATATTTATTATTGTGCGGAGAAGGAGGGCGGGTCAATCCCAGCTTATAGAATGCTGATACGTAGCATCGAAGGTACGGGCGGATAGGGGGGAAGGGGAATTGTTGGTTGAAGTGGAAACAGATAATTAAAATTGCACCCAGGCTCAAGCCAGCAGGCTTCATAGCCTCACGACTAACGACTCACGAGAGGGCCGAGGAATCATAGCACGGGGCCGGCCCGAGACCAAATCCGTCGAAGGTGGTAATTACCATAGAAATGCCATAGATATCCTTTGATGATGCGGACTGCGGACACCAATGACATTCCTCCGGCGGCTGACGTTTGATGAGAATCGTCGGGAGATGACGATCTGACGCCGGGCGACTCCACTTGGCCGCGACGCGAACCAGTCGACTTTGAGACTCGTTCGTATCCCGTCGTAGCCTGCCGCCTTGCCACGCCATGCTGCTGCGTGGCATTCCCCGTCGCTGCCTTGCCTTGTTCATCTACCCAGGCTCCGGCCAGGGAGAGGTTTGTGAGAATGTTGGATGTTTAGTACTCCGTAGGTACTGGCATACGAAGCGACTAGGTAGGTACTAACCAACTTCGGCTCAATGGTACAATCACTGCCAGTATCTACCGGCAATGAGAAACGATCGGCAAAATGTTCAAGCCAGCTCTATATCTTTCTGTCACCTAAGTCCTATACAAGATGCCGGTCCCCGAAATAGTACTCATGGCGAACCACGGAGGGCCAGGGTTGCGCGCGCCTCAATGGGTTCCTACCCTTCTGATGGCCCTGGCAAAGACTCCCATCATGTTTCCGGGGTTGGCTCGGTGAAGAAAACGGGGTCCCAAAAATTTGTGGGCAGGGAAAGATCGAGAAAATCCCCGAACAACATGTCGATGTTGGTAAAATTGCCCTGGTCCGGGGGGCCAATTTCTTGCGAACACAATGGGCGGGGCAGAAGTTCCTGCACTTGGGCGGTAGAGGGCGCGTCGCTGCGTACATCACTCAATGCGCCCGGGGCAGCAACGAAAGACGAGCTCGGTAGGGTGGGAAGACACCCACTTGAATGTTGAGGCGCGGATGTGCTCGTCAAGCCCGACGTCGAGAGGCTGGCAGCCCGGCCATGTTGGTGGTGTCCAAGCTCGACCTCGTCTATTTGGTGCAATGCCTTTCGCCCCAGTCGCGCCATAGCTTCTGCAGAATACCAGTACACGCCCAGTCCTTCAAGCAGGGTACAACAAGCTTCTAGACTGGTCCTGGCTCGATCAAGATGCGTGATGAGCTTGCTTGAGCGGAACTGTTGGTACGACACCCCCATAGAAAGGGTTAACGCATACGGAACGATGGGCAGAGGTGGCAACACCTGAGAACATTCGGTAGCAGCAATGGAGTGGATTCGGATGGCAGCAAGCCCTTGGCGGGTGTATGAAGGCCTGGACTCATCCGACCGGTGGGATAATTTATACCTGCATGAAAGTATGGCAACTGCATGATAATACATCTCCAGGAGGCCTTGTTTTCAGTTCTCTTAGCGGTCTATCCTGGGAAGTAAAGCGCTTTGACCCCTCGGGTCATCCCCGTCCTGAGCAAAGTGATTAAGTAGTATACGCAAAAGAAACTCACCTAGTGTAGCGAAGTCCAAGTCATCCCGAAGTTTATCGCCGGTGATGGCTTCAAAAACAGGGAATTCACCTTCCCACCCGACAGTATGATCTGCTGCCGGTCTATAAAACGAAATCACCGTCGATAGTAGATCTGAGATAGCAAACCAAATATCAAAAGCGGATCTGGGTGAAGTGTCTCGAACAATTGGCTTTTCAATTCCGATGTCGCAGTCTGCAAGAAGTACTGGACGACCACCTATACAGGCATGCATTCGGTCCAAACTCCACAAACACCAAAATAAACAAGCCAGAGAATCCCCCGGCGTCCGACCGGGCCGGTCAAGATGCAAGCCAACCGTTTGAGCTTGATGAATGGCCTGGCAGAGGTGCATAGACGCCGCTTCTGCACCTTCGTGACCTTCGCAATGCATAGACATCAGCGCCAAGATACGGATACGACTGAGTCGATCGGGTTCCAGCCCGACATTCAAAGCGACAACTAGGCCCTGATAGAGTTTAGAGCAAAAGGAACGAGATGAGATGAGAGGCCCGTCATCGACCAAACGGAGGTGAGAGCTGGCCGCTCTGTCCTTAGCTGCAACAAGGCAGACAGCTCTTTCCAGGAACACGGACGCAGTGCCGTCAGAGTGGGCTTGAAGGAACGAGACTTGATCGACAAGGGGCAGGACATGATTGACCTTGTTGAAAAAGATCGAGAACAACCGATCCCGGGTGGAAAGGGGCAAGTGGTCACAGGCATTCATGCCAGATGTATATTGCTGGTTCAGCATGGATGCGACCGATTGTACTTCAAGGACATCTTTAGGACAGTGTTTGATCAACTCAGGGTCGGGATCAGACAGTTGCTCTCTATGGCTTTGAATGGCTGGAGTGCTGATCCAGAGCCCGATCCGATCTCGCAGGTGGTTCCCACTGGCGGAATCGAGTTTCTCACGGATTACAGCTTCCGGGTTGAGGTCTCCAACAAACCGCTCTGTTTGTGAAGAGCTTATGCTCGGGTTATCTTTGAGCGCCGTACCCTGCGGCTGCTGTTGCTGCTGTCGAGGCACACGGCCGCTCGCACCTGTCTGTATATGGCTCTGGCTTGGGTGGGTTGGTATATCCAGATGACGGCAGCGTTTCTTTTGGCCGGCATGGGATGGGCATGACTTAGCTCCTCCTTCACCACAGGAAAGAGTGGAGGAAGTAGACACACCTTTCTGCGTTGGCAAGTAGCGCATGCTCGCAGAGCCCGGGTCCGACGTCTAGACTGAGGGGTATCGGCGAGCCAAGTGAGTTCCATTGCTTCTTTGACTGCCCTAATGATACGACATTACTCTCCCTGCAGCAAGAAGCCGCCATAGCCCACTCACTAGGACTGCCTTAGGTATGGTTGGATTTGTACATACCTCGGTAGGTACGTGAGAAGAACACACAGAGGGATGGTATTCGATATTGACTAATACTATGGAGTACTATGTACCACGTACAAATCCCGAGTCCCACAGATACCAAGGGCACCAAGGACAGAGTTCTAGATGATGATGATGATGATAAGAAGAACAATGATAAATAACAATGATAATACGGAGTAATCATAATAGCAATGAAATGGAGGCATGAAATCAGGTCTGCCGGAGCATAGCGGAGAATTATATTCCCACCCCCAGATCTGGCAGGGACGCCGATTTACGCGTGGGCTCGCGCAGCAACGCGTTGCCGGCCAGTATCCATTCCCATGCATTTCCCCGTCCCCAGAAGGATACAGTTTCGCAAGTGAGTCTGTCGTGCGCATTGTTGTCCATTCTCTCTCTCTGCTTCTTTGCCCTGCTTCGGAACCCACGTATTTTCCTTTCTAACTTGGCTGATACCTTCGATTATTTCCCATCCCTTGCCCCAGTCTCATACCTCATCCCTCCTCCCTTTGGCAGGCTTACTCCTTGAGTAATCCTTTCTCACAATCGCCTGCAAAAGGTTGAACGAACTTGTCGGCAACATGACCGGTCGAGCAGGCACCAAACGTGATGCTAATCATTTGACGGCACCATCGGCTGACCCGAAGAAACCCAAGGGCAATGGAAGCATCACTTCATTTTTTGGTATCCCCAAGGCCAAGTCTACTAATCAAATGTCATCGACCACATCGTCATCTTCTAGCTTTAATAAGCAGAAATGGGTGGCTTCATTAACCTCTGAGCAAAAGGAGCTCCTTCAACTTGAGATTGACACCCTGGACGAGAGCTGGCTGGCACAGCTAAAGGACGAAGTGGTGAAACCGGAGTTCCTGGCACTGAAACGCTTCCTCCAGAAGGAAAAGCAATCAGGAACTAAAGTATTCCCTCCTGAAGACGAGATCTACTCCTGGTACAGCTCTATCATCTCTTGCGTGAGTATCAGTTGCAGCGTTGCGCCGCTAACCCTATCTCAGGTCCCGTCATACACCTCTCCACAAAGTAAAGGTAGTCATAATCGGCCAAGATCCTTATCATAATCATAACCAGGCCCATGGCCTTGCATTCTCCGTCCGCCCTCCAACCCCCGCTCCGCCTTCCCTCGTCAATATCTTCACCGAAATCAGTAATGACTATCCCTCCTTCCAAAGACCTGCAAACAAGGGCGGCCTTCTCATCCCCTGGGCCGAGCGAGGTGTGTTAATGCTTAACACCTGCTTGACTGTTCGCGCACATCAGGCTGCTAGCCATTCAAATAAGGGGTGGGAGTTGTTTACCCAGAAAGCCATAGAGTTGGTGGCCCGCGTACGGACACGCGGGGTTGTCTTCCTTGCGTGGGGCACGCCTGCTGGGAAGCGCGTGACAGGCATCAATAGAGCAAAGCATTATGTCCTGCAATCTGTTCACCCAAGTCCATTAAGTGCATCAAGAGGATTCGTGAGTAGACCCATACCGCATTTTGTTCACGATAAGATCCTGATGGTTGGTTTGATCGGCAGTATGGAAACCAGCACTTCAAAAAATGCAACGAGTGGCTTGCTGAACGCTATGGTGATGACGAGATCATCGACTGGGCCTTGACTTCGAAGAGCAAACCCAGTGCTCCTCTTGCCACCATCCAAAGCCCGGCTTCAACTGACAATTCTAAAAAGTCCACCGCAAAAAATTCAGACGCTGGCTTCGCTGAAGAAACAATTGGCCAGGCAGCAAACCCCGCCAGGTCTACTGACACTGCTGACGAATTTGAAGATGACCTCGATGCGCTGGAAGCCCTAGCAGCAACGGAGACGGCTAGGTAATTGCTAATGCTGAATGCGCTCGCAACTTCTATGCTTCGTTCACATAAGCTGGCGTCATCACTGACTCCCGAAAGAGCCATAAACATTTGAGACGTCATGGTCCAGTCATCATTCTGCGCGTTTAATTGTATGTGGCTCATGATTGACGCTCGTGACTCCATGAGACCTGACCGGAGGGCAATATGGCGAGTGGCTTCGGTACTGAGTGCTTATGGTAACTGTCCTCTTCTCACCCATGTTACTTTTTCGGGCACTGTGTTCAGTGGGAGGGTCAGCTATAGCTCTCATTTTAGAAACGATGAGGCACGGCTTCACTTTACTAGTCCATGAGCTTGGGGGCTCACATACTCTCATATCTTGTTCTTGCTAGCTTGGAGACTTGAATACTGGCACCTGGAATTTCGCACCAACATACCGCATACTGGGCATGTTTGAAAATAGTTAGCTACCCAGCTCATCATTTGCTTATGTGAAAAATTGTTGATGTGGTGGGTGTAGACGGTCAATATTCTAAACATGTTTATAGTGAAATTCGATATTTGGGTAATTAGTGATACGATACAGCATAGTGATTAAAATCAGATTTGAAGGACCCCTTTACAGTTCATCATGCTCCACCGCCTCGTCCTCTGTGGCAGCCGGAGTCTCGGCCTGAGTCGCAGGAGACGCATCGGTCACATCGCCGCCCTCCTGGGTTTCCTGGGGACTAACATCGAAAGCATCGATTTTATGCTTGCCATTCTCCTTCACGAAATTCGCGAGATCTTCCACGGTGCGTGAGCCAGAATACTCAATAGGAGCGTCCTTGGCGCCAGCCGGGTAGAGCCTGATAGTAGGGAAGCCAGTAATAGGGTCTGGAACATCGTTGGCCGTTGCGTCGATCTTGGCGATGGTGACCTTGGCCGCGAAGTCAGGGTGGCCTGCATAAAGGCCTGCGAGTTCGTCGTACTTGGGAGCAAGTCTATGAGGTTGGTCAGATTCCTGGGCTTCAGACATAGTTTATGCGGAAGACATACGCTTTGCAGTGCCCACACCATGGCGCGTAAAATTCGACCAAGACATCCTTGTCGTTATCAATGACAAGCTCCTTGTAAGAGTGGGCCACGACAACTGTGACTGGACCCTCTTGGGTCTCGGGAACCGGCTCCGACTTGATGCTAGGGTCGACCTTCCCATCAATGACATCTTGGATGAATTTGTCCACATCGGCGGCGTTCAATTCCTTTGACTGATCGTAAGGGTATTTGGCATTCTTCGCAGGGTCCTGAATAGCGAATGCTGGGAACGTCTGGGGGTCGAGATTGAGATTTCCGGCGTGGGCACCAAACATCTTGGCGTCAATTGTAGCAATGTTGATAGCACCCTTGTGCTTCTGTGCAATGGGCTTGAACTCTTCAGTATATTTTTCGCGTTCCTCCTGAGTCTCGGCAAAGATATACGCCAGTGGGATTCCAGCCTATACAAATATTAGCGAAGGAAGTGAGCATGTGTAATGGCTGACGCCGGAACTCGCGGCATTGTTCCATTAACATCTGAATTCTACTCACCCCGATATAGCCGGAATAGGTCTCAGGGCCGATTTCGCCAACAAGGGGCGTACTAGCGGATTTCACCCAATTGTGAATAGCCTCTTGCTCGATCTCCCCCTCGTAAACGGCCTTCTTCTCATCAAAGTCCTTGTAAAGCACGAGAGACGGCTGATCAACACCCTCCGTCTTCGCAATGGCCGGATCATTTGTCGCAGCAAACAAGTAATTATCTCTCTGGGATTCGGCGTACTTTTCGAATGCTTGATACATTTCCTGGTCCTCGGACGGGATATAGCCAATAACAACAATTTTGTCCATGGCCTTGATCTCTTCCAGATTCTCCTCGTTCACAGAGGACACCGCGGGGAGCGATTGCTTGGTCATGTAGGAAACGATCCTAGGAGAATCACAATGCGTCAGTGCCTTATCACGTATATAATAAATTCGTTCCAGCGACGTTTTCCCTCTTGAAACTCTATGCTGTCAAAACAGCAGGTTAATACTCACGATTCTGTTTGACGAGCTCCCTGATAAGGCTTGCTGGAATCAACGCCACGGAAAATCTTAAGGGTCGGGTAGCCTTCGACGCCATGATCCCTGCATAGATCCTCCTCGGCAGTGCAGTCAACCTTGACCAAGGGAATGTTCTTCGCCTTCAGCTCTTTAGCTGCCTCCTCATACTTGGGTGCAAGGGCCTTGCAGTGACCACACCAAGGCGCAAAAAATTCCGCGAGGACGAGATCATGCTCCTTCATGAACTCATCAAATGTGTCCTTGTTTAGCGATATAACATCGGACTCGGTGTCGGCAGCCACAGCCACGGCGGATGCTCCGAGGAAGCTCACGAGCCAGGGCGCGAACGAGCGCATGTTGCAGCAAGTCGTACGGGTATTTTCGGTCAGGAAACGAAACAGACAAAAGGAATGATAAACTATCAACTGCCTGTGGGGGAAGGTTAGAGGAGGGAGGCCACGCGCAGAGCAGAAGCTACCTAAAGAGAAAATGCCGATGGAGCGTATGGGAAGGTAAATTAGTTCTTTAAATGTAGGTCGGTCGGTTAGGTTAGCTAAGGTATGGACAGGCGTTGAGGACAGTCTGTTCTTTCTGCAGTCAGCTGCCTGCTAGGCATTTTGACTGGCTCGTTCGGACCCGCCAAGTACAGCAAGGGACTTACCAAGGGAATGGTAATATTCTATGTTAAGAAAAGTACCCCTGGTACATCAGCTATCGAAGCTCGGCCAGGTGGTAGGTATTGTAAGCTACTTACCCACTTTTTTAGTACAAGGCACCTGAATGGAGCCGGTACGGAGTACGGAGTACCTAACAGTTCCTACTAGATAGGTACTATCTAGATAGGGAGTATTGGTGCAGTGAACGCCTTGGCCCCAGAACGGGACCCTTGTTTATTTCATAGTTGCGCCTTGGGTAATTACTGACCTGCCGCACATACTGAATTTCTCAAGTAACAGGTATCCAGGCCCCTGGTTTCTCAGAGTGCTCCATAATCTCAACATTAATGCAGTTGTCTACTGTTTAGTTGGGTGAATATGCATCTGCTCAAGTCACAGACATATTGGAATTAAGCCTTGAGTTCAATATTGGAGATTCCATAGTGACATCTGCTTACGATTTTCATCTTTCTAGCATAAAGCCTGCTCCTGTGGTCCTCCTAGATGGGCAGACATGGCCAAGCTAGCTACTCCGTACTCCGTACATTCCATGACAATGTCTCAAGTATTCACCTCACCATTCTAGCAGGAGGATCTGCGCACGGCCCCGCTCACATTGCTGTTCTTCTGGCAAATTACGGAATACTCTGGACACTAAATGATGGGACGAATTGCAGCTTACGCTCAACAATCAACAGTATAGTACTCTTTCGATATTGGTAGAACCAGCCGGGTCGATGTTCACCCACTCATAGAAAGGCTTGTATGGTTTAGTCCAATCTCATGTCAACCGCCGCAGATGGGCCCTGAGCAGGGCAGAACATAAGTGGCTAGGAGACGAAATAACTCATCCAGACATTGCTACCTCATTTCAAAAGTAGACCAAGGATCATGCGCTCGGCATCAAATGGCCATCAATCACTTTGTCCCACTATGTCCTCGCCACGAGACAAACAATTAGGTACGGTTCCATAGTCTGGCGTCTCCTCCAGACTCTGTCTGCCCTCAAGTTCCTTTGCAAGTGAAAGTGCGTCTCTCTTTCCACGCTCCACATCAACTAGTAGCATAAGCGGTAACGGAAGCAATATCAAAGCCGCGAGGAAGACAAAGGCTGGTCGGATATCACCATAACGGTCTGTGACTATTCCAACAATCGCAGGCCCGAAGACACTGGAACCTTTGTCCGTAATGGCATATAGAGCATAGAATGCCGCCTCATAGCCTGGAGGAATCAACTCTCCGAAAAAGCTCCGGCAATATGACGAGAGTCCACCCATGACAAGCCCGTATACAACGCCCAATGGGTACATTTCCCATGGTTGTTGAAGGCCCAGGTAACCTAGCCTTTTGATTGCTGGAATAAATCCCAAGAGACCATAAAGTGGTACAAGCTCGAATAGAACAATGCAAGCAATTATGGTTTGTGATGCACGGAGATTGAATGCTCGCGACACAAGGCTCCAAGAAAACGCTCCAAGTACTCCCGCAATCATGGCAATCACATTAATCAGCCCCAATGCAGCTGGCTGCATATCCAATTGAGTTTTCGCAAAGAGGACGGCCGTTCCACTGACTGTCGCAATGCCGTCACTCAAAAGAAACCAAGCTGCCAGAAACAGCAAAATATCCCTCAAGTGCCGAGTCCGTATTGCGGTCCGACCGAGTGATTTCCAGGCATATGCCATGTAGCTGACCCATGTCCCACGCTTCTTCTCATGTGGCAGGGGAGGGCCGGGTCGGGGACGTAGCCATATCGCCGCAGGAATTGTAAAGATGAACCACCACAGCCCAATGAGAAAGAGGACAAGTCGCAACGAAAACGTCGTCTGGTGAGTCTTGATAACGACAAGAATGCAAATGACTTGCAGTATGACTGCGCCGATATAGCCAATGCCGATTCCATTCGACGACAGCTTTGTAGATAGCTTCAATTCCTGAGAAATTCTTGTGGGGATTAATTCGCTGGCGTCATCTGGAGGAGGGCTACGGTAACTCTGCTCAGATTGAAGCAGCGCTGTTGTCTCCGAATTTTCAGCATGACTTGGACCATTGGCTGAAGGGCTAAGATTATTGTCGGTTAGGGGGAGCGGGCCCTCATCACTATGTCCTCTGAGCGACAAAGGATGATGGCGAACCAGAAGAGGCAAAAACGAATTCAAGAGCACAAAAGAAGCCCCAAAGCAGGTATTGGCTATAATTGCGAAGAGCCCACCGAGTATATATAGCCTCGAAACGACAGCAAGGAACAGCATCGTGGAAACAGAACCGATAAGAGCGAAGGTCACCAAGAGCATTTTGCGGTAGCTTCCGTGGTCGGCAGCACCTGACATTGATATTATCAGGATAGCTTGGACTAGAACACTGACTGAGAATGTGTACATAGCGAAGCTTGCAGTGTTGACCTCGATACCGAGAATATGGACAATGCACTGGCTTGACTTCGGTATGTCAGGTTGTGCATATGAAGCGACATAAGAAAGCTGGTTCCAAGTTCCTGGCACTGAAGTGGTTTGTACGGTGCTCCAAGTAGCGCTACACGGGGTCGTCTTGTCCGACAAAAGTACACCGCGTTCTCGAGCCATTTGCTCTAGCGTAATGGGGAGAAAGGACCCTATAACAGATTAGAGGAAAGTATAAAGGCACAATTTGAGGGCCTCTACAGGGAGCTTATACCCATAGCGCACACTGCAAAAACCTCTGCAGCCCAGCCATAGCTGTACCACCCAGCGAGTTCCTTCCTAGATGTTGGCCGGGTGTCGTCTCCCGGAAATTGTGGCGGAGAGCAGGGTGAAGCGACCTGTTCTTCCTGTACATTGGAGCAAGACTGCATTATGAACCGCTCACATATCCATCAGTTCTCCGGGATAAGCACACTCTAATCACGATTGTCTGTATTCTGTAGAAGCTGGTCAATGTACAGGGAATCTCGTAAGACTGTTCACATGGGCTTTGGTGGTATGATAGGCTCATATCTCACACACCTGAATGGTGGCTATGTAACCGAAGTCACTACTTATTACTATTGTTGGTTTGCGGTCAGATTGAGACTGTCCGAGGTTGGGGGGGGGAATAGTAGTATTGATGATGTGGCCTGAAGGCAAGTGTCGTAAAGCTTAAAAGACGGGAGGATAATGAAGTAAAGACTACCTACAAGCGGCAAGACCAAGACTCAGCTGGGCAAGGATCAAGGATCCGATAAATTCCTAATGGACTACACTGTATGAAGCAGGGTAGGTTGATACCTGAACAAGAATGGAAGAAGCTTGGAAACTCTGGGTCGAGTTGGAGTACTCCGTACTCCGTTCTTACCTAATAAGCTTAAGGTAGTTACCAGGTTTACTACTCCGTACGTAGCAGTACTAACTAACTAGCGAGTGGAAGGCCTAGCCAGTCAGCATGGTATGGAATGCAGCGTATTGTGCTAGTATTATTGCGCCCGACCCTTTCCGAGGACCAAGATGGTTTAGTACCTAGGTAAGGCCAAGTAATATTACGACACAGCGATCAAGGCACCAAGGCAATAATCCTTAGTCGCTGGTTGGTCCCGTGCTCATGCATTTGCATCGCATCGCGCAGGCCTCATCTCTCGAGTGTTCACAAGCGCTTCAAAGACCCTGGACCCTCCATGCAAGCGTATTGCTATTCCCCTCATCGCTTGTGATTACAATATATACACCCTTGCCTCTCGCTTGACGAATAACCTTTCCACTGAAAAATTTATTCTGACTTCACTTGTCTCCCCGCCTTCGCTGCTGAATATCCTTTATCATATCACTCTGGAGTCAGTCGTCACGGGCTGACGTCGCGTATCTGACGCCTCGAGACTTGATTCAGGAGACGCGCCTAGCAAGATCCACCTGTAGCTTGTGCGCGTCCGCCAAACTCATGCGCCTAGCCACTGTCTCGGCCTGAGAATCATTTAAGAGCAAGGAGCACGCAACAACTCGATATCAGCCATCCCACGCTATCCACTTTGAGCGCATAACGGTCTAGCTACAATCTGTCGATAAGATAATCAATATCGAGACTCCTTGTTGAGCTCTGGTCGATGGTGCATAAATGGCATCACATTGAAGTCCTCAATCGACGTACGTGCACATAGTCGGCTTCCCTCCTACCCCAGTGCCAGCTCCTCCGGTACCAGAATAGGCCCTCCAATAGGTCGCTCGCTTTGTGCTGCGCGAGGGGTAAAGGAGGGGAGGGCTTAAGACAACGAAGAGCAAGTCTCTGTACAGAACATGCCGGGAGTCGTCATGGACGATGCCAGTATTGGCGGACTCAGACACAGGCCAGGTAGCAGTTTTTCTCAGGATGGGCAGTCGTATGCCCGGGGAGAAACTGCCCGGTTCAACGGTGCTACCAATTCACAAGCTGGTCAAACCCATGTTAATGGAGTGGGAAAGAACACCAGTCATGACCGAGCCATCGAGGCACCCCCGGTCCATTATGCATCAAGGAAGACTATAGGAGCGCCTGAATTGCCACACATAACACAGGGCTTCTTTCCTTTTTCGAAGCTCGTGAATAGGTCCGTTCAGCAGTGCTGGAACGATCTATCCGATTTGATCACTGAACTGGCAGATATCCAAGTGAATGCTCACGAGTTTCACTCTTCGCCAATTCCCACCAGCGGGAAGTCCTCGGGCAATCAATCCCCTGAAAATATACGAAAGAAGCTTCGATTATTAGAATTTTCGCACGCTAAAAGAGCTGAATTCATTAAGCTTCTCGTTCTCTCTCAATGGAGTCGACAAGCAGCTGATGTGAGTAAATTAATTGATATCCAAAATTTCATCCGCACCCGTCACCAAGCCTACACGGGGGCCCTGCAGTATGTTGGGGATATGAAAAGAGACCTTGTGCAGGCCCAGGTAGCAAACCCCGATCTGAAAACCGCATTGGAAGTCTTGTCCAAAGGTAAAGTGGAATCAATGTCCAATGTAAGCTCCACGCTATTCCGGGTTGTTAGTTCCTCTCTGATTTTCTCTTGCGTCGTATTTTAGCTCGGTTACAAGCCTCCCAGACACCTAACGGCCAGGGAAACACTCAGAAAGTTACAGAAAATCAACCGATTGATCGGCGTGCGACTCGTAGTGCGAGAGAAGATACCTCCATCTTTCAGGACCTATCGTGTTCACGACGGCCGGGTCACATTCGTTGTCCCTGGTGAATTCGAACTTGACCTTTCCATTGGTGAAGAGGATGAAGCTTCACAGTTTTTCTTCGTTGACATTCGTTTCCTCTTCTTCCCTTCGCCATCAGTCCCGAAGGGTCGATTCTTGAATGAGCTTGAGATAAAAATCAATGATGTGCTTCAGAATAGCGGCTTGACCGGGTGTTTCGAGATACTGCATAACTTGGTATTAACCAATAAAGTTAACATACTATTCAAGCAAGCTGCCGAATTGGCAAGAAGTTCCTGGTCCGACGTTTTGCGTGTTGAGTTGTTGCACCGAACGCTCGTTGTACAGTATTGGATACTGAAACCTGGAGCTAAAAGCTGGCTTGAGATCGGAATAAAAGGCGGGTTCTGCAGGCCAAGCAGCGGAAGCTCTGGGTTGCCGTCTTTAGGGCTTCGCTGGATGAGAGATGGCAATGAGGTTTCGTGTGAAAACATTGATTTTGATGCAGAAAACCTCTCTATGGAGAGCCTCCTTCGGAGTGTCATTGCTCTACATGTCTCTCACGTTCTTTCTTCGGCATACAGCAGCATAAGACACAGTTCACTTTACTCGATTGGCCACCTGTCCTTGCGGGCTCAGCTTACAAGGACTGAGCCCGGCGATTGTCTACTCGATGTCCAGCTCACTGAAACTAAGTATCTTCGAGTCTCCATTGAACCGATGTCCGGGATTTCTATCTTGTCAACCACTCCGAGTGTTTCGGAGCGGTTTGATGGTGACCGCAATCTCGAAAAGTCCTCCGCCGATGACATTGTTTCCCGTGTTGCTCGACTTCGTTGTAATGCGGCTATAGAGGAAATTGAATCCAAGGTCAAAATGCTAGGATTTGAGCCGCTGAACCCGAGGGCATGGAAGATTGATTTTCGCAAGATCTTCCCATCAAACATCCTGCGATTCGCATGCTTCTCTCATCACCTCTGGGAGCGTAACTGGATCGTGGCAGCGACTAGCAGCATGGACGGGGATAGCTGGTGGGTTGTGCAACTTCGACCAACGGTGATTGCGAAAAGCCCTTCCATTCTCGATGTGAGCAGACGTGGCCAATCTGTTCTCCGCTTCGCCCAGGTTGTGACAAATGGGTTTTACCCTGCGCTGCATAAAATCGATGACACGTCCCTTGCGGACCTTGGGCACAGTCTTTCAGGAATTCTGGCTATCCATTCTAATGCCCGCTACTTGTCAGGCTTGCAAGCCATCAAGTTCTATCCTCCTCCGCACAAGTTGACCATCGAACCTGATCTTCGAGTCCCAGACATCTTAGTTCGATACGATGCATCATATCTTCCCAGTGTCTTTCGGGTAGCCATGCCCGTTAATGCAAAGAGAAAGAGCCCCTTTAAAGACACCATTCGCCTTGCTTTTCATGGAATTGATCCTCGCAAGAAGTGCGCTATTATGGTAGCCTATGGAAGCTTGGCCAACCCTATGGGTGCCTTTGGCCAGCTTATTTCCAACTGGGATCGCTCGCTAGTATTTCAAAAGAAAGGCGGTGGCTTTGCGATACGTTTGCTTGCGCCTGCTGGCCACCCCGTCATCGTCAATCTTATAGAAAGCTTACAGAGACTTGAATGCGTGCTTTCAATTCTCGAATCCCTACAACGGAAGAAAATTGAGGTCCGGACCTTTTCGCTATCGAGCATATCCTTCGTCTATGGTCCGGAGAGAGATCTCTCGGCTAGCATCAATATTGATCTGTTTAGTAATGACTCTCTTATCGAACTCAATCCCACCGATCTTGCATCTAGCCCCGAGTCGTTATTTCGCCTTCGTCTACACATACAGTTTGGCCACCATAATCCACATCGGCGGATTCAGGAATCTCTCGCATCTAGTCTTAATCAAGCTTCCACCGAGGCAGGATTGGAGGCTATGGTTGAGCTTCTGACGCTTACACTTCCTCTTATGAGGGCTTTGGACCAGCTAATGGCGAACCCGTCTTACAGTGAGCCCCTGAGGGTGCAAGTTACAGTGCGTAACGCCAGATCGTACCAAATTCACTACCCTGATGAAGGGGTTCTGTTTCAACTGGTCGCTGCTTCACACCAAAGCCGTTGGGTCTGGGTACTTAGAGATGTGAGCACTCAAGAGAACAGTAGAGAACACAAGATCGCAACTCGTCTCCGAGAGGCACTATATACCTCAAAGGGTGATGGTTGGCGAGGGCTTGAGGGTGGAGTCGTTTCAGAAGCCAGTCAAGTCGGAAACCTCCTGCGAGAACTTGAAAAGTGCTTCGCTGCCTGCCGAGCTGATTCCGGACACAAGCCTACAGGCGGTGCTGTTAGCCCTGGCACATCGAACGTTACCGAGCTTTCGGTGTCAGCGAGAGCAAAGGAGAATATGGATGGCACCAAATCTGAGCATCAGGACTCTCTTGCAACCCTTCCAAACAACAAGAACGCCCAGTCCCACGCTAGTAGTGCAACACCCAAAGAGGACATCATAATGATTGACTGAAGCTCCCCATGGCTACTACCTTGACGCTTACGGGCACCTTTTCTTAAGCAACGCCCCTCGAGTATGGCTTTTCCTCGTACGTTGAAATGTACTTTTCATACGCCAACTATCATTTGGTGCTGTTACAGTGTCCACAATCGAGGTCCTTGCTCTTAGAAGCTCCTGTTTCCTGCCAGTTAACATAGTATTGAAATATCTGCTTGTCTTTGTGGCTGAGCCTCATTTCCTGGAAAGAATATCTTCTAATATAAGTGTGGGAAAATGTTATGAAGTCCGGGGATTGAAAGCAACAATATGTTGCTATTGTATATCTCTTATGAGCCAAAGAATGGCTGCATTTTCATCGCATGTAGCTGTCATTATCACACTATACTTCAAATATGTACACGAAAATTCATTGCCTAGAGCCCCAGCTGAGGATAGAAAAAAAGAAAGATCTCAAGCACTCAGCGCCTTAGACCCGTCCTGACTTCCAAAAGCTCCATAACTCCCTCGACTCCTATGATAATGTGGGTGTGTGTGATCCGGCTACAAGCGTTCTTGCTTTACCTTGCCTCGATTCCTAAGGACATCATATTCGACCCATCGAACAGTTGGTAGCTCTCCGTCCGGAACAAGCCTCCCGGGGTTCATCACGTGACAGTCTTCATAGGTTATACAGAACGGCGCAGCCTCGGGGTCAGCCAATATAAGTGCAGTGGGTAGCGGATACAGTTGTAATGAGGAGACATAGTCCCACAGAACAGGCCGCAAAGAAAGCGGGAAGGGCGACAGATTCCCTTGGTCTAGGATTGATTTCACAAGCTTTCGAGCAAAGAGCGTGGCAGATGAGGCTATGTAAGAGTTGGTGCCTGCCTGTAGGCTCTGGTCGCTAGCCCGGTCGCTGAATTTCAGAGGGCTGATATCTTTAGGGGCCGCGTTCACATCTTCTCCACCCATAGCGTCGTCGGTGCCATAGGAAAGATTCACGGCACTGCGTCTTAGTCGACTCGATATGTCGTCCCGGAATATTGCAATGTCATGGACGGGCCCAAATAGGGTAAGGCGGGAAGGATTTGATGTCCAGATTGCTTCACCAGGTGGCTCAGATGACCGGGTAGGGTCTACTTGTGAGTTGGCAGTAGCGAATGCACGCTTCACCCTGGTAGTAAACAGCTCTGGAATTGCATGGCGCGGTATCGAGGAAGCAGCACCGGCTGAAAAAGCCGATGACCATGGGTCATTATCGCCTGGAACGAAAATGAACGTCGAGTGCTGCAACAATGTAGGGAAGTCGGATAGTGTCAACGAAAGCGCATCGAAATATTCCTTGTACTCGATGCTGCCCGCCTGGCCGCTGCTGTTTATAATAGCTTTCTGTACGAAGTTTCCGGTCAGGACGAATATGCTTGGCCGCTCCTCCAGACGCAAATCATTATAAACACCGAAAACTCTCCTCAACGCATCGAAAGTCCGCATATTATCAAGGTTCACTTCGCCCAGAACGGCCACTCTTAGCCGGCGACCACTCTTGGCGCTTCCATGCGCGTCTTGTAGATATTGTGCCTCAATCTGTCTCATTCTTGGACCACGTGCACGCTCACTCCCGACTCCCAGAAAATCAATCCATCCGAGGCCTCCACTAGAGCTGACCTCTCTGCCATTTTGTTGGTTATTCATCCCCAGCGATGTCTCCCGTCGCTCACAGGGAGGGCCACATATGGAAACGCCCATGAAGACCCCCCCAATGGCTCCCCCCACCCCGGCATTACCGCCCAGGGTAGATCCCCTGATGTTCTCCTCTTCTTCATAAATTCCATCGACGAGGACAAACATGCCCGGAGCAAGCCAGGCACCATCTCCAGGCACCATTCGCGCGTGTCTAAGATCCAGAGCGATGCTCCCAGTCAAGTCACTCACAGTCAGGTCTCCCGTGGGTGACACCGAAAGTAAGCCGAGAATCAGGTGTGATGTACCATTCCTCCCGAGTAGATTTGCGATTGGTGTGAGCTTGTAGCCTTGACTGAACGCTGAGAAAGATGATGATTGTTGCAACATGCCGGAAGATCTGGATGGTAACTGGAACGACTCGTGCCGAAGCAAACGTTGATGAACAATGTTATAACGGTCTCTGAACAGATTAGTCCTCTGAGAGGACGGAGGAAATAGCGTGGGTTTCGATCTCGCAACTTCGAAGTATTTCTTGTCCGCATTATAGGTCAATCGGGGAATTTCAAATGCTTCAATGACCCTGATCCAATGTCTCGGGTGTGAGGTTGAGTCGGGGCTCTCTACTAAATCTTCACCTTCCGGCGCTATCGTCGCAGATAATGGGGTCTCTGTTCTCGAGCGTCTGCTGCCCTGACCCGGGCTTGTCGTTCCCCCAGGGACCTCATCTGCCGAAGTCTGCTTCCCAGGAACAACCCTACCCCCACTCATATTACCCTCCAAGGTCTGTAAAATAGCTCTCAGCGAGGCCCCTTTACCTTCATCGACAATGACGCCACCACCAGCTTTTTTCCAGCCCTTGGCCACTTCATCGAGTACCCTTTCTGCGAGACCCTCTTCGCGCCATCCCGAGCCACAATGCTTTCCCACGAATGCCGCTAGAGTTTGAAGCGCAGAGGATGAAATCGTCAGGTTGTGCTTGCGGGTGAAAGTACGGAAGGCCACAGGCCGGAGAGTCGAAGGAGGAAGCAGTATGGGGAGGATTGACGTCCTTGTAGGGAGCGCACTGGGCCTGCTCTTTCGGAAGGGGAAGGCGGGGGTTCCAAACCCTGGTGAGGATGAAGGGACAGGATTCGAGTCCACCATTTCTGGCGAGATCTCCAAGGGAAGCGATGCCGATAGGGAGGAGTGGCACTCGGAAAGGGTGAAATAGAATGAGGGTGGAGGAGAAGAAAGACTATGATGAACAAGACAAGTAAATCTGGCAGATCTGCTGTCAATACGAGGTGTTCTTGCTAGTGCTGGTTGACTTGGTAGCCATATACCTACCTACCTGGATGAAAGTGACGGGGTAGATCGAGCTGAACGCGTGGTCCTGGTGATGGCGGCGACGGCGGCGCGCGTCGCCCACGCGATTTCTTCCACTTTATGACCAAGGCCCTCGTCCTCAATTTGCTCTCAACTTCCGGCATACCACACATCACTTTTATTCTATGCCAGGCGGTGCCGCACACATACACGCGACTCGTTAAGCAGCATCCTCAACTTACCTGGCTTGCGCTTTTTCTTTCTCGGCCTCTTGTCTTTCCTCGCCTCAGATTTAGGCACTTCTCTCCGCTTGGGTCCGCAGTCCCCCGTCCTCTTATCAACATCTGCCGCCAGAAACAATGGAGCCTAGCGCACCCTCGGAAGACAACAGTGCCAAGTTTCGAGCATCCTTGGATGAACTTATTAAGCAAGCTACCGCTAAGGATGCCATCAAGGATTTTAACGCCGCCGCCGAGCTATATTCCGAGGCCACGGAACTTCAGGCCATGATAAACGGAGAATTGGCTCTCGACAATGCCGACTTACTATATGCCTACGGCAAAGCTCTATACAACGTTGCTGTCAGCAAAAGCGATGTGCTTGGATCGAAAGTAGCTGGAGAGCCCCATGCACAACCAAGTAACGCGCCTGTTGAGAGACCATCCGCTGGATCGACATCAATCACGGGAATTGTTCAAAAGGCAGCTGCCCAGAGCCCAGCTAAAGAGCTATCAGAGGCCCAAGAGACAAAGGCTGGAGATGTTCCAGCCAAGCCATACTTTCAATTCACAGGCGATGAAAATTTCGAGGATTCAGATTCTGAAGACGATGCCGATGGCGAGGAAGCTGCCGCCGATGACGAAGATGATTTTGCCAACGCCTTTGAAGTTCTTGACCTGGCACGCATACTATATCACAAAAAGGTGAACGCAATAGAGGAGAAATCTGCAAAAGGGAAATCTACAGATCTATCCTTGGACCTCAAGCATGTCAGAGAACGTCTCGCGGACACCTATGATCTACAAGCAGAGATCTCGTTGGAAGCGGAGAGATTCCTAGATGCGGTGACGGACTTGAGGACTGCTCTTGAATTAAGGCAGTCTCTCTTTCCAATGGAAGACCCTTGTGTTGCCGAATGTCACTATAAGCTATCGCTTGCCCTAGAATTTGGGTCTGTCAATAATGGGAATGATGATGCTCAAGAGGACAGTGGTAACCAGGGCCAGGTTGATGAGGAAATGAGAAAGGAAGCTGCAACACAAATGGAAAAGGCCATTGAAAGCTGCCGGTTGAGGATGAGTCAAGAACAAAAAAAGCTGGACGACGATAGTTCCCTGGAAGAAGACAAGGTGACCGCTATGAAGAGAAGAATAGCAAATGTTAAAGAGATAATAGCAGACATGGAGCAAAGGGTAAGCGGCCGGCTCGCCTTGCTTTCCCTCCCATCTTGTATATTCAAACCGCAGATTCTTACCATGATTGACAGCTTACCGATCTCCGACGTCCACCAGTATCCACTGCCGATTATGGTGATAGAAACGACACTATGTTGAATGGTATCTTGGGTCAAATCGTGGGACAATCCCCGTCCCAGCAAAAGGCCCGGCTTGATGCTGTCGCCAGAGAGGCGAATGACCTTTCTGCATTTATCAAAAGAAAGCCTTCAGCCAACAAACCATCCCAGAAGAGTGATACTCCGGCAAAACGATCGGCTCAGGGGGAACCTGAGGGCAGTGACGTAAAAAAACCCCGACTGAATGACACAGGCGATGAGCGTCGATGATTATCGTACATTGATTAGTTACAAAGGGACCTCGAATTGTTATTTCTCTTTATGTTTTGTCCAACATCGTTTGTGGCACCTAGGACGAAGGGTCTAACACGGTCATGTTGACGTTGGCTCCAAATGATCATTAATACTGATATGATACCCATTTGAGCGAGGCTTAGCGAACGGATTGAGGGGTAATAACAGCAAGTATGACCCGACCATCACAATATTCAATCATTATAAGTATCATTCGTCCCTACATCCCATCGTGTAGAAAACGGGACGAGAAAGAAAATGGGGAGAAGGAGAGGGAGAAGGGGGCTCGCAGAAGGCGAATTATAGTTATTAGTGATAGGGCTCTCTACAGGAGACCTGAAATCATAGATAATCATATCGTACTTTGTCGGAAATAGTCACATAGACCTCCCAAGGACGAGAAATATCATAGAGTCGTCATTCCAAATATAGAAGGCCGGCGTTCGGGCAGTTTGCGATTCCTCCGCCGCATGGCCAACCCAGGGCTCCAGACTCCAGCAAACAAGTCCTCGCACTCGTCCTCATTCTGACTGTCGAATTCTATACTATTCCCTGAGTTTCCCGATAGTCCCTCTCCAGAGCCCGGAGACGCAGATAGCATTGCTGAGTCGATGTAAGATGGGGATTCCCAAGACGAAGATGTCATAATCCTTTCAGTCTCCAAGATGAACTTGCCGACCTTGTAGCGTTGCGATTCTTCTTCAGCAGTGACATATTTCCAGCCGAGCACATTTCCACAAAGGGCGCAGTTGATGTCGCCTACTGTATGCGCACCTGTGACCAACCGTCGCGGTACGGGCTTTTGTATGAGGGTATTTGGAAGGGAATCAATGGGCGAAGTCTTCATAGTGATTGCGCTGGTCATGGGTTCCCCAGACACAAGAAATGCACGGCCATAGCGGCCTGTGAACCCTTTGCTGATTATTTGCGATGTGAAGCAAATGTCTGCTGCGCAGCACAAACAGCGAATACGTGAGACATGGCCATCCAAGCACTTCCCGTCGTTTGTTTCCAGAGATGGCCCGGGCCCTACTTCCGAAGTTGAGCCCCTGGACCCCACATTTGGCTGTCTGTTACGGAAGACAGTAGGTCGGAGTAGAAATTTAGGATACATGGGGGCTTTGAGCTGTTGCTTTTTGTTCAAGTAAGTATATGAGGGTGTCAAGATGTGGAGATGCAATTCGAAACTAAACTACAACAGTGAGTGAAGATGTATAAGAGTTTTTGTTATGAGTGCTAGCATCTAGCGTGTGGGAAACAGTAGGTACAGTTATCTTCAGGTGGGTATCATACTGAGGTCATCACCCGCTCCTTGGCAGGCTAGCGTTGGAGATCATCTGATCGATGTAAGTTACATAGTAGATATCCCGTACCTCTGGAGCGAGCGCGACCGCTAATAGTCCGGTCATTTATAGCTTACGTCACTAGAACATAATTCAATTTGGGGCCTACTGAGAAAACCGTTCTGTCTCCTTTCTTGCCATTCACTATCAATAAGCTAGATGCTACATAGGAACACTTAAACTTCAGCATCCAAGAAAAGCCACTTGGTGCTAAGAGAGCATTCGATGCCGCTTTCAGCACTCCACGGTTGCAAGGTAGTCAAGTTAAATCCACACCAACCAAGATTCCTTACAGCTTCGAGTTCAACTGCGTCGTGGGAACGAGGCACGCACGCCACAATTTGAGGGCACCCAAACGCAGATATATTAGCAAGCTCAAACAGGGCGATTAACCTTTGAAGGGCAAATTGTAGCGTGTCAGTAATGTTCTCAAGGTCATACCTTCAATATCCCAATAAGGAGGTTTCAATGTACGTACCCAGTTTTCAGGCCGTGGCCGAGCGCGTTCTCTGCAAGGAAAACAAATAACGTTGGTTCACCACTTAGGTTGGTAACAAACCCTCGATGGATGGTATCACTGGTATAATCCAACAGTTCAAACCACTTCTGGACCGGCATATTATTCAGCTGGCCTTGAGACGCATCTACCCCAAGCAACTCTTGTCTAGATAATCTCCTCTCACCAAGGAAAATCGCAGACAATATGTCACAGAAGAGCCTCTCACACTCTCCCGGGATAGTATGCATTGCCTCCCCTTTATATTCCGGTAATATATTGCCCGGTCGACTAATCCCCATGCCTGGAGCAATGGAGAGTTCAAAGGGAGGACTTGAAGAAGTCTTTGGCCCCGAAGGGACCTCAGGGATACCACTGTGTTCCTGAATAACAGATGATACAAATCAGCATTCAGTTTGAAGATAAAGGAGGGCAGACTGTTGGGTTGGATCGAATATAATCTTACCTGCCCCCGTGGTAGTGCAGTAGTGAAAACCATCAATCACGGATGTCGAGGCGTTGACGCTATAACAACTGGCAAGCACCTGAGGAGCTTTATCAGGGGTACACTGCAACTGTTTTCGGGTACTACTGCTGTAATTCGAAGACTTGGCCATGATGATCAATCTGCTAGAGCAGAGCCTAGTAGTTTATTTTGCTGGGTGGCTGAGCGCTCCTTAATATACGTAGGTTATTGTAGAACCTCGACAAGCGGTAACGAGTGGTTTCACAGATAATCGAACGGAGAATGAGAAGGTAATGCCACTTTGCGAGTGTAACGAGGATGGTAAAAAGCACGGTAGGGATGAACAAACTGCGCGTGAATAGAGAGTGGCCCGTGGGCTCTGGAGAACTCGAGTGACAGGTGGACCCAAGTCGGTAAGGAGGCATGTCATCTGACCTCTCCCGCCTTAGGCACGCAGGAGAGCTATCAAGGCTCACAGGAACGTATGATGCAGCCCATTAATGTATCAACAGTCGCTAGGCTCTAATGTGAAAATATATTGCTGGCGTTATGCTGATATTACACTGGTAAACTCGGTAGGTTCATCAACAACAGTCCTACTACAGCCAGAACAACCCTCTCACCACTTCAACTCCAACAGTGCAGATAATCCAGAGTACATCGGCTGCAATACGCACTTCTTCACACCATGATGAAACAGACAGCAAGGGCAAATTCAAGCAGAAGAGAAAGTACAATAGAAAAGTTTAGAACAGTATGTATGATTGGAGACCGGGGCCTACCACACACGAAGTTGTCCGACAGACACCTATCCTCCATAGTTCATCATAGCTCTCGATAATCGCTTGGCCTTATTCTCCGGTGTCTCGCTTGGTGTCTTTGTGGGTTAACAGGTTGTCGAAAATATGCTGTGTCTTCTTCTCTGGCAAAGGGCGTACTAAACGCCGTTCGCTGTTGGTTTGAGAAGCGGCCTACCCCGGAACCTTGTGGAAGACCAGAATTTGGCTGAATTCCCACCATTTGGGGCATGTGGAACATATTCATGGACGGCTCCCCAACACCATTATAGATACTCGGTGCTGAATAACCGTTGACACTCTCACCATACAGTCCTTGAGCATGACTGAAATTCATAGCATTCATGGGATTCCACGCCTGGTCCATGTTAGGTGAGAACCCATTAGATGAAGGCACTCCCATAATATTCATAAATCCCATTCTCTCGTTGGTATAGCTAGGATCAGTCAATGGCATCACAGGCATGCCCTGGTTCTGCATAAATCCAAACCCCCCAAACGGCATCTGCTGGCCGAAAGGGAACGTTGAAAATCCGGTCGCTGACCCGTTGATCTGGGCGCTTTGTTCACCGACCTTCCCGTCTGTTTTCGGTTTCTTGCATAACAGACTAGGACTTGATGCACCAGGAGCAGCATGAGGGGATTCATCCTCTGCGGGTCTTTTGTTTGAAGGGGCAGGTTGAGTAGCCGAAATTGGTGACGAGGGCTCTTGTGTTGCAACAGAGCCTCCAGCTGAGACGACTAATTTGTCTTTGGACTGGCAATTCTCGACTGTCGGCTGCTTCTCCTTCTCCTTCTTTGAATCCGCTTTCTCGACCTCATACTCTTTAATCTTGGTGCTAGCTTCATCGTCAAAGGAAAGGTTGTCAAGTAGTACTCCCTCCGTGCCACAGCCAGGGCATACGAAATCACTCTCGATCAATGCATTGGTAATACAATCATTGCAGTATGTCGTTCGGCAGCATGGTGTTCTTGTAGGCTCTAGAAACATTCGCTTGTCAATCGGACACTCCAAACCACGTGCTTGTAGTTCTTTGCTGTACTCCACTGCTGCTGCTTCAGCCGCCGCTGCCGCAGAGGCTTTGGCCTTCTCTTGGTACAACTCCCAAGCTGCCTTATCAGGTTTAGCAATAACAAAGTCACCATCAGCATTGACCATGACGCCTGTGTTTCTTGGATCTTCATTTGATCCGTCCAGGGTGAGGGACTCTGGCTTCTCGACTTTGGTTTGGAGTGAGCGAGGTATTCCAGTTGATCGCTTTACTCTGTACTTCCCATCAAACTTGGGGTCGTTATTTGTAGGACAAGCTTGGATCCAGTGGCCTGGGTTGATACTGTTAGTTCGCTCCTAAAATGATGTTCCGTAGTAGCTTGCCTTTCTCGCGACAGCGGTAACAGAGGTACCCCGGAGGAGGGGGGTGGTCAGGAACGTTCAAAGGTCTGCCCCTTCCACGGCCGAATGGAACAGGCGTAGCACTATTGAGGAGGAAGATAGCTCGTCAGCACAACAAGAAATCGACACTCACACAGACACTTACTTTGCCATCTCTTGCTGCTGTTCTTTCCATTGGTTGGCTTGCAGGGTAAACAATGCGTTGATCTTCTCCTCTTCTGTCTGGGCATTATTGAGCTCTAAAACGCCATTGCTGACAGGATAGCTAGTATTGGGAGCTGCTCGATTTAACGGAAGCTGATCATTACGGGGTGCACTGCGTGCATTGACCGGCATCTTCCCAGAAACATAACGAGCAGCACCACCCTTCCCTGGACGAGATGCAGGTAGTCTCCGAGCTATGACGGACGTGGAACGTGGTATTATGCTGGTGTCATCGTCGTATTCTGTTGTAAAAGTAACAGTTAGTTCTCATGGCCTTTTTTTTACACTCCATCACGAACATTCCTCACGCAACCGTGGGGGGGGGTCCGAGACAAGAGCAGTAAAACCATATCATATCAGTTTCCAGAAGCAACTAACCTTCTCCAGTATCTTCATTGTATATAGACAGCTCGAAGTCAGTCCCATCACCCAGTCTACTCTGATTGATAATTTCTCGTTTCAATTCGAAGACAGAGATACCGGTGCCATCAAAAGTTACCCTTGAGGGCTCTTTTTGAGACTTGAACTTGAAGTGAACAGAGGATGACATTGTATTCAATTGCACGTCCAATGATGATGTTGTGAATGTAATTAGATCAATAGAGGGGTGCCACTTTCACAAGAGATACACGAGAAACAAAGGCAGACAAATGAGAACAAGCAACAATCGGAATGGTTGGTAAATTGCAGATGACAGTTATGACGTGTAGCCTCTTTCCTCTCTTAAATGCTTAGAGATATCGAGGACGTTGCTCGAACTCAATAGTTCGGGGACGCGTCTCGAATGCTGGACGGGAAGGTAAGTGTTCACTGCATACAAACAAGGTAAAGTCTGGTGGATACAGAGACAAGGCCAGCTAGTATTCTGTAGTAAGAAAGTGTGAGTTGAAGAAGGCTCCACGGACTTGCCAGTCTATCAAGATGTGGCAAAGTCTTCCAAACCCATCTGAATTCGCACTTGCAAATAATCGAGCTCAATGGGTAAGGTCTCCCTGGAATCTTTGCTGTGGAAAGGTTGAGATGATCATGCAAGATGTGACAGGCAAGATCGAAGAAAGTGAATACTGCAGGAAGTGAAATGGGAACGAGGCAATGAGGTAAAGAAAATGAAGAAGGAATTTGGGAAAAGAATTATGCCAAAGCAGACTTGTGTGATGGGAAACAAATGTGCCGCGGTCGAATTGATCGGTATAATTACCAATACATAAATATCCGAGTAGAGAGCACAATATCAGTAGAGAATATATCTAGAAGTCCTAGACAATCAGCGCCTTCTCCAGAATATGTGTAGGGGCTATGAGGACAGAACCAAAAGCCCGTTGAGCGGTTCGGGGACGGTTGGTCTCCGTGGTGGCAACCTAGCACATGTAGTCACGTGGATCTACACCAGATATGGAAAGCATGGACTAGGTCCGAGGTCGGGCCGGGTACCTGCCATCTACTGCGTATTCTTACGTCCAAGATAACATAACCAATAAGTATATGTGCATGTTGCTGTATGAGTGCCGTACAGCTTGATGTCATAATGTATCCAATTCCTGTATCTTCTTTCACAGAGTAGTATCAAATTGTAAACAATTAATACATTCTTCCCAATCTCCCCACATAGGACATTCATACTTCATAGAATAGGTACGGAGTAATTGGCTGGGTATATACTAGGTTACAGTCTCGCGCACAGCTCAAGGCATTCCAAAGCGTTTTAGTACGCATCTTATAACATGTTTCTTAAAAGCACCTAGTCAAAGTCTTTCTAATAGACTAAAAGGGCTCCTTAAGGGCCTTGTCAAGGGCTCCGCCAAGCGTTTATTAGTATAGTACTCTGTACTTGATTCAGACCTACAGCTTGAATCCACATAGAGATTTGGTTCAGATCTACAGTCTGAATATACATTCTAGGGGTGTTCTAGCTGACCTCTCTCTCTAAACCCCCTTCTACTAGGAAACTAAAGTAGTATGTATTAGTAATATATACAAGTCATATTGAAGATAATAAGAAGAACTAATTAGAAGGCTAGACTCATGATTCCTGTAGACTAATAAAAAGACTTAGAGCTATAAACTTTCCTTATCTAGAAGTTGATCTAGTATTTCTCAGCGTTAGCGCTCTTCGAAAACTAGTTTTCAGTGTGAATATCTTTAAGTTAGCTAACCATACTAAAGACTATAGATAGTTAGGAAGCGAAGAAAGACAAAAGAGAAATAAATTAACAGATAAAGAGCTAATCATTCCTAAAAATCTTGGATGTCTCAATAGCATGGTGCAAGTCGTTAAGACTCCCCATCGCCAAGAATATTAGAATAAAGCAACAGGCCAGCCTTTCCCTGGTTACAGGCTCAAAGGGAGTCTACACCCTTTGTAATATATTTAATGATAGTTTGGAAACACCTGAGAGTGAAGACCTGGCCAGCCAGTGGGTATCCATACAAGTGATGCGGGTCTTGAATCTATTGACTCATGATTATAATCTTTGGCCGGCAGCGATCTATCTATCAGCACTTACACCGTACCCACGGCGGACCATAGCCGCCATACAGCGAATACTTGTTTTCGTATTTAGCATCCTTAAGGATTTAAGAACAAACAAATCATCAATTTTCTTTCTTTCTCTAGAACACCCAATTTCTATATGTAACTTGGAATAGTTCAGGGGAAGATTTTTCTAATATGATATTATTGAATATTGAGGCTTGATTACAGGTCATACTGTCACGATCCACTCTAAGTGCGCTTTTAAAGTAAATCGTACCAGGCTCTATCTAGTTGCTACCACCTAGGCTATCTGGCAAAAGACTAGAACTCTAAGCCACTTGCTTAGAGTGCGCATCACCTATAAACCCCATTCACGGGAGAGATGAGTCACGTGAGGGGCCCAAGCCTCACACATACACTACTGTATATTGTTGAAGCGCACTTAGCATCTGATGGATTCCTCAATCTACTTATCACATGATTCAAGATATATCACCTGTTCTCACCTTATCAATGCCTTGGACTGTGGGCGACTGCAAACATGACCTAGTTTCATAAACGAGCAGTATTTTGTGGGACTAGCGACCTGCATGGGAAAGCACCTAGCACTTGTCATGTAAACTTTGCCATGCCATGGGTTCAAATTAATATACTTGTCCATGATGTGCTATGTATTTAGGCTTCTCCAGTGGAATAATGCTCGATTCCAGGGTTTTTCTTCGGTGGATACCTCAGTGGTACTGGGATGCACAGAGTAGGGGTGAAACTACGGAGTACTCCTCATGGATTGGCATTTCAAGTCCGGAGATGGTTCTCTGTAGATCCAGAGTTAACAGCGAAGATAAAACTTAGACATTCAAAGGTCCTTTGTACAGAGTATGTACTATGTAGTTATTACTTGATCGGTATCCCACAGGAATAAAAGTAGTATGTGGATAGATTTCGAACTGCCTAATTACTTGGTTAGCCCATTTCTTGGAGTCCGGATACTCGATTAGCCTCTATACTAGTTTAGTAGTTATTTTGCATTTTTGCTACTCCACCTATTTCGTATAGCATGATATAGAGTAGGAATCATAGGATTAATCTCTTCATCTATACTATAAAGTCTTATATACTCTATAGATTGTCTGCACAGAGTACTGATTAGAATGATTAGGATAATTAAAGTAATTAGGGCAATTAGAACTATTAGGGACTCTAGATCTATGTTTAAAGTAGTATAGAGTAAAAGGTCTCTCATATAAGGATTTAAGAGTATAGAATAGTAAATAAGTTGATATTATTTTACTCATATAAAGTAAGGGCACTTTACTGTATAAGGCAAGAGGTTAACACAGAGAGTGGGACCCAGAAAAGGGGTTAACCGAGTAGTTAGGCAGATTTTGAACATCCAACACATTCGATGAGCAGCCCATACCACAGATCCGGATTGATACCTAGATAACAATCAGGAAGCTGTAACTAAGCATCTCCTTTCATATGGTGTAGCAGTGTCGTAGGCAGGATTTTGAATATGATCTGCCATACTCTGTATTAATGAGAATTTCACACATTGACTACTAGCTGGGTCAGAACCCTTCAAACCCGCAACCATCCACTACGGTGTATGTATGTACCAACATTACAGGTTACAGGTTCCGGTTTCTGGCGCTCCTTACGGAGTACGGATGAGACGTATGGAGTACGGAGTATCTATTCATAACATTCCCCTTTGTAAATGGTATTTTGGTCATTCCCGTTGCCCTTATTGATTTTCATAAGTTTTTCGTAACATTGTTTCCTTCGAGCTTTGTTAAACTCCCTCCCCACCACGGGCCTGTTTATCTTTCTTTCCTTTCCACTGTCTTTACTGTGCAGGTAATCATGTTGATAGGCTTATGTGGAGGTTAGCATCTTGCCAAGCAGCCCGTATCAAGTTCTCCTGCCTCGACATAAGCTAATGGTGTGCTGCGAAGCCATATCTTCTGGGAAGCACGCCGTCGCAGAGTATCTCATTCAGAAAGAGGGATTCCGGCTTCTAAAACTGAAAAACGGAGGCCCCCCTCGAATAAGTGGCGAACCGGACGGCGCTCGTCAACTACAGGCGCTCGAGTCTGCAGAAAATGAGAGTAGTTCGTCATCGCAACTAGTATTCGAGGATTCTAAATCTCTCTTAGACTTTGTAACCAAAAGATGGCAAGAGCTTTGGGTCACGACAGATATTTGGGACATTACAGTCTTGGATCGTTTTCTCCAGCGCCCATTCTTCCTTCTGGTGAGCGTTGACGCGCCGATGAGCCTGAGATGGAAGCGACTTACGGACAGGCCTGAGCCCCTCGTTTACCTTACGACATCAATGGAGTTAAACTAACATTCCACCGCAGATGCCACAAGAGACTTCTCAAACCCCCTTCTTTGGAGGAATTTGTGCTATGGAACGAAAGGCATCTTTACGAGAAAGGCGTCGGGCGCGCATATTTCACTGATCGGGCACAAGTTCGGTTGTTTAACTCATCCTCGTCTTTGGAAGAACTGCATGCAGCTCTCAAGTCGCTCGGTCTTGCCAACGAACAGCGGCTACGTCCCAACTGGGATCAATATTTCATGGAGTTAGCATCCCTGGCCGCCCAACGGAGTAATTGCATGAAGCGAAGGGTCGGGTGTGTGATTGTTCGCGACCGCCGTGTCATTAGTACAGGGTATAATGGAACGCCAAGGCACCTCGAGAATTGCAATGAAGGTGGCTGTATGAGACTTTCAAGCACCAGATACACCGCTATTGATTCAATGAAAGGATACTTACTTTGAACAGGTCCAAGGTGCAACCGAGGTGAAGGTGGAGGTATGGGGTTATCAACTTGTCTCTGCCTTCATGCTGAGGAGAATGCGCTGTTAGAGGCTGGAAGAGAGCGCATACGCGAAGGTGCAATACTTTATTGTGATACGTACGTCCATCGCCATACCTCAAAACGCTTATTATTATACATTGCTAAATTGAACTAGCTGCCCTTGTTTGACATGTACTGTCAAAATAGCACAAGTGGGGATATCTGAAGTCGTATATTCACAAGGGTACAATATGGACAAGGATGTATGTTCCCAGCAATTCTCATTACATCATTCAGCTGACCATAGAAGAGCGCTGCCATTCTGAAGGCTGCTGGTGTAAAACTCAGGCAATTCTCTCCAGTATGACCCCATCTCCATCCTCGTCGCTTCTAAAGGTGTTAATTCATGGTCGACAGCCTCGAAATGGGCTTATTTACCTCGAATGTTCTGAGAATACCAAGTAGACTGCTGATACCTGGATACTTGTCTCATTCGGATTATTGGAGCCGAGTCCGGACAGTCTCAGCGGTCAGGGATGCTGATTCGTCATGGAAGCAGACAGTTCCAAAAAGATGACTTTTGTAAGGAATGTTTAGATCGATGGTTCAGCAACTCCTCCGGGGCTGCTATCATATACTTGACTTAATCATAGTCACATATGGCCAACTACCTTTTGACCTCTCGATCAACTATTACGTAAGAACGGCTCTACTGTTCCTTATCACCGTGTTACTCTGTACTACATACCTATGTACTCCATATGGACTATGCAAATGCGATGGCAGAAATGTACGAGGTCCGCAGGTCACGACCTGTAGTCTCGCGCACAGCTCAAGGCATTTCGAAGCGGTGAGTAAAGGCAATATTGAAGTCACGTTACCGGTAATGGGGAGAGCCAATCAGAAAGCCAGATCGGTGATTCTTTTGGACCAATGAGAAGCCTTAGAGCTGTGAACTTCCCTTACCCAGGACCTGACCTAGTGTTTCTCAGCGCTAGCGCGCTTCGAAAATGAGAAGGTGCCATGTATTATTTAGGTACATTACGCAGAGGAAGCCAGCTCTGTACGGAGTACCTTACCGAGGTGAGAACTGCTATTCAACTACCCGTACTCCGTACTAAAGTGGTATACTAACTACTGTCTCGCTAGCAGGACTTAAGTTTACTCACTACTAGTGCTATGTAGTAGTACTGAAGAGGCCTGAATTGATAAGTTAAGTCTGATTTGAAGGGTGTCGGCTCAAGTTGACTGAGCGAGGAAATTGTAAAAGCGCGCGCGTAAAAATAAGAACTGGCCATGCACGCTACTTATGTGCCGGTAAAATTGATTTAGGCTGTTTCAATACAGAGGGCAACGTATCTGGTTCTGCGACGACGCAGTACGACTATGGAGTACTCCGTATTTATTATCGGTACTTACCAAGGGCGGAAGGAACTGAGACGGGTAGGAGGAACCAAAAAAAAGCCGGAGAAAAAAAGGGTTGAGGGGAGTATCGTAACTGGAGGCATACTTACATAGTTATTTAACGTAAAAGCGGGCTATCGCGAATGACTCAGCTCGACGTGCCTGTCATGGTGGGGTAAAGAACAATCTTCTCTGGTATATTGCAACTTTTCTTTTTTCTTAAGAGGTGCCTATACCTACTATTGCAGGGGTTGATTACAAAAGACTCTATTACAATTACCGGGCAGCCTTCACACTATGCCTACGGTCCATCTGCTAGATTACGTCGCCGGAAATGTCCGCTCTCTGGTCAATGCGATCAACAAAGTCGGCTATGAGGTCGAATGGGTCAAGTCTCCAAGTGATCTAAAGAATGCAGAGGTGAGTCAATGTAATATTCCGAAGCTCTTCAAGTTGAGCTAACGATTTGGCAGAGACTTATTCTACCAGGTGTCGGGCATTTCGGCCATTGCCTATCTCAGCTATCCGAGGGGGGCTACTTGGAACCGATAAGGCAGCACATAGCTTCGGGGAAACCATTCATGGGAATTTGTGTTGGCTTACAAGCGCTTTTTGAAGGATCTGAGGAGGACTCAAATGTTCCAGGCCTGGGGTTGATCCCGGTGCGGATGCAAAAGTTCAATGCTGAGTCAAAAAGCGTACCCCACATAGGCTGGAACTCTGCCATAGACACCAAAATCGGGACTTTTGGGGATCAAACCTTCTATGGATTGGATCCAAGCAGCAAGTACTACTATGTCCACTCTTACGCGGCTCGCTACACTCCCGGGATTCTTGAGGGGAATGGCTGGTCAGTTGCTACTGCTACTTATGGTGATGAAGAATTTATCGGTGCTATCGCGCAAGAAAATATTTTCGCCACGCAATTTCACCCGGAGAAAAGTGGTCAGGCTGGGTTACGGACTATCAGCGCTTTCCTGAATGGTGACCGTTTTCAGAAACTTACCCCTCAGGCTTCGCTCTCCTTGGAGAAGAAATATGGGCTGACGCGTAGAATTATCGCCTGTCTCGATGTGCGCACTAATGATTCTGGAGATCTTGTCGTTACAAAGGGTGATCAGTATGATGTCCGTGAGAAGGACGGTGTGGATACCGGCGGTCAGGTCAGGAATCTGGGAAAGCCCGTTGATATGGCGAAGAAATATTACGAACAAGGGGCTGACGAGGTTACGTTTCTGAATATTACGTCCTTCAGGAATTGCCCAGTTGCAGACGCACCAATGCTGGAAATTCTCAGGAGGACTTCGGAAACTGTCTTCGTGCCATTGACAATTGGAGGCGGTATCAAAGACACTATCGATACTGACGGTACTCAGGTATCGGCTCTTGATGTGGCAACAATGTATTTCAAGTCCGGTGCTGATAAGGTCAGCATTGGCTCGGATGCGGTCATTGCAGCGGAGGAGTATTACAAGGCTGGGGAAAAACTGACCGGTAAAACGGCTATAGAGTCGATATCAAAGGCATATGGTAACCAGGCTGTGGTCGTGAGCGTGGATCCGAAGCGTGTATATGTGACCAGGCCAGAGGATACCAAGCATCATACAATCAGGACAAAGTACCCAAATGCTGCCGGCCAGGCCTTTTGTTGGTACCAATGCACTATCAAAGGTGGCCGAGAGTCGCGAGATCTTGATGTCCGGCAATTAGCGAAGGCTGTTGAAGCGATGGGTGCCGGTGAACTCCTACTAAATTGCATCGACAAGGATGGAAGCAATAGCGGGTTTGACCTTGAATTGATCAGTGATGTGAAAGCCGCTATCAACATACCAGTCATTGCCTCCAGCGGGGCCGGCAAACCGGCACATTTTGCAGAAGTCTTTGGAAATACCACAACAGATGCAGCTTTAGGTGCTGGCATGGTAAGCAACTCATATCGTTTTAGCAACCATCTTTCGACCACTGATGTCTTATTTCTCTTTCATAGTTCCACCGAGGCGAATATACTGTCAGCGATGTCAAGAATTACCTGAGTGAAAGCGGGTTCCTTGTCCGCAAATCCGAATGAGGGCAGTTAAAATCATGGCTGTTACGAGTGTCCCTACATATGAGAATAGATATGTGGTCATAACTGAAGGCTATGTGATGTTGTACTGGTGTCCATGTCATGTGGATTATGCAGGCATGTTTTGGGCCATCTAAAGAGGCATATAATGATTTTCCAAACCCACTGGGCGCGACGTATGCAATTAGTATATAGAGGCCGAATCCTACATAAAGCAATGAGCGTCGTCTGCATTCTCGGTGGCCAGCAAGTCGTAAGGGCGTGCCCTCCGAGGTAGTGCCCTCATGTATGACATTTATATTGCCAGTTAAAGACCAATTTGCACATTGTCTATCTTGTGTCCTCACACCTTAAATCAAAACATGGGGCTATTGCAGCATTTCATAAGAAGTGGTGAGGGCATACAGTGGGTGATTAAATAATTTTGTTAGAAGAAATCATTGACTCGGGAGTATATTAGTATAGCAAGATCTTGGTCAACTCAGGTAGTGCAATCACCATTTGCGTTTACTGACCCATAATCCCACAGTGACTAGCTACCTGTCTAGCTACTAAGTAAGCGACCAGCCAACTATACCTGAGGTACCTGATAGGTATTTACTACAAGTCATCATGGTCGATACCAACCACTCCCCTCTGGCTGGATGCTACAAAGTTCCAATCCCTTACTCTGTATATGGAATAACGAAGTAATACAAAGTCGACATGGCCATTGCACTATCTCACAGGGAAGCTTTTCGTTGGATTCGATAAATATCAACTGCACTTAGAGATAAGGAGTTCAATATGTAACATAAACCAAGTTCTATGAACTTTCCTATCTGTCATCTAGCTTGAATAGAAGTTAGTAATCGATGTTTCTTCCTTCCCGGTGCTTTATAAGATTGACTTGTATAATGTTCACCAAACATTCTGTCAAGAACCACGTAGACCAAAAGGAATATCTCCCTCCTAGCCCCGGGTGTAGAAGGTAGAATATAGCATGTTTCAGCATATTCTGAGAAACTACAGTCTAATTTACTATTGCTAAACATCAGATAAGCCAGATATATGGCTTTTCGGATATAGTATGACTTGTGAAGCATTCCCATTGAGGACTCACTGACTATAGGGGGCTTTCTGATTTAGGAGGCGCTACTTCGTACACGCACGCCAGCCATGCTATCCCCACAATATCTATACTCTCTGCTCACTCTTTGAGAGGACGTTTTGTTAAGGCAGAATATCTATCATTTACAAACCATAACGAATAATCTGCCAGGGCACCTGATTAAAAAGTCTCATGGAAGGTCTTGTAGATCTGGTTGTCTCACAAAGGGCCTTGTGAAGGGCCTGCGATTGGCCTCCAATGAATACCAAAAGACCTCATGCGGGGCTTTGTGTAGGTTTTCTTTCATAAAGAATCATATATTACTCCGTAGATAATGTGAGATATCCGTATATAGCCTTTAAGTACTCCGTACCCCGTAGACATGGATATATGAAAGGCGGTGAATAGTCTACTCCGTACTAGTAGTTTTAAAAGCCAGCCATTTCTATAATGCCAGGCGGAGAGCACTGGCATATAAAGTGCGGGGATAGCGGATGCTGGGTGAGTGAGTTAACATGGTCAGTGTGCGTGTGGCGTCTTCAGCTCCCTTCAATTAACACTATGACTATTCATGCGGTAAGTGTGTTTATTAATTCCGGGGTTATGTTTTGAATATGCCTCTGTGGTAGTATTAAATTTGTATGCTGAGGTGAATAAGTCAGGTGCTATACTCTGTCTTACTCTTGCAAGTATTGTGCCCCACCTCTAGTTTGGAGCCTATGGAGACTTGGAGTAGCTGTTAACTATTGGTATTGGGTATCTGCTGTGTATTCTGTATCTCTCGAATCTGGCGTGGGGTAATAAGATATGGTTCCCGAACTTCCCGTGCCTATCTAATCCATACATAGTACTCCGTATCTATCTGGGTACTGGGTAGTAAATCAATACACTGTGCCCTGTGAGTCACCCATTGCCCCACCTGAGATAACAGTCCATCAGCACCCCTCAATGTTACAATGTCCCTTTTCCCTACTGTTCACTGAAAGTACTGGAATTGCGCTAGTATTGTTTTCTTGATTAACTACTGATCTCCACTGACTAAAAGAGGAACATGGTCCTACTTTAAACTCCTCTGGTCTGAGGAACTGAACCATATTACCCCGACCCGCAAGAAGATGAGCTCAACCATGAGGTATACCCCCTTCGCCTCTGACATAGAATTCCCGTTTTATACGGCTCTAGCATCAGTCAAGATCGATCATGACAAGCTTGACGATGCTGCCCGCAAAGTACTGGGTTTCTATGAGGTCCGTCCTCTGGACCCGCCTAATACTTCTTGCCGAATGCAAATACATGGAAGCGCCCTGACGAGCGATGAGTGAGTATCAATATACTATTTCAGGGCTCTCCTTGGAATATATAATCTGTTAACAAGCTTCTCGTTCGCCAGGACGCCAGCGGGCCTTTTTCGAGCCGAAGGGACGATCAAAAATGTCAATACGTTCGAAGAGTATATCAAGATTGACAAAGCACATGTCCTTCAGCAGTCCGCAAAGATGGTTAGGCCTGTATTTGTTTTTCTTTGGTATTCTACTGACATCTGACACATTAGATATGGGATGCTATATGCGACGGCACCATCTACTCAAGCCCCTCATTACTCTCTTCCTTCATAATCTTGTCGTATGCGGACCTCAAAAAGTACAAATTTCATTATTGGTTTGCATTTCCTGCACTACACTCGAATCCTTCCTGGTCCCTTTTAGAGGAGACCGAGGGAGATGGTAGGTCCGGTCAGACTAGAAAAACAAAGACGTCCGCTGGAGGTCTATCAGATGCTGAAATCGCACTTCTTGCGGAGACAGTCAAGACATGGAGTTATGGCGTTGAAGACCGCCAGCGAGGGTTTTTCTTGGCTAGAAGAGTCCATGTCATCAAAAATGGAACAAGACACGAAAACAGGCCTGGGATTACCGACAAGGTCACGGAATCATCAAATAATGATGAGCCGCGTTGGCGAATTGCCCCCCTCTCAGCGTACGAAAATGGGTTTTTCAATGAGGCAAGCTTTGAGGACTGCTATGTCTGTTTTACAGATCCTTCGAACTATGATGATGCACCCGGGTGGATGCTTAGGAACCTCCTGGTGCTTGTAAAACGACGATGGGGTCTCAATAAAATCCAGGTGCTGAGATACCGTGACACACAGCCGCAGCCCAGTCGCGGCAATTGCAAAAGCACGGTGCTTATACTGGCGTCGGATGATATACACACACTGAGTGCTGCAAATTCGCAAAGACCGAGCGAAGACATGCCGAAAGTGACCGGATGGGAGCGTAACCCAGCCGGTAAATTGACAGGCCGATTCGTCAATCTCACAGAATATCTAGATCCTAAAAGGTAGGGACACCGTATCATGAGATTCACCGGTATTTTACATTAATGCAGCTTTCAGACTAGCCGACCAGTCGGTCGATCTCAACCTCAAACTCATGAAATGGCGGATTAGTCCTAATTTGAACCTCGAAAGAATCAAGCATACCAAGTGTCTCCTACTGGGAGCGGGAACTCTTGGAAGTTATGTTGCGAGAAACCTGATGGTATGGGAAACCCCGTATATCTGAACAAGAATGAGCATCTCTAAACCAGCGTAGGGCTGGGGAGTATCCCGAATCACTTTCGTGGATAATGGGTCTGTGTCGTTTTCCAACCCTGTGAGGCAACCACTCTACAACTTCGCTGATTGTATAGATGGTGGGGTGAAAAAGGCTCTCCGTGCTTCTCAGGCCTTGCTGGAGATTTATCCTGGAGTAGACTCTACAGGTCATGTTCTGTCTGTGCCCATGCTCGGGCACCCGGTCATCGATGCTGAAAAGTCACAAGCGGAATTCGAGGTACTGCAGACACTCATAGACGAGCATGACGTCATATTTCTTCTAATGGACACGCGAGAAGCACGTTGGTTGCCGACAGTCATGGGGAAGGCAGCTGGCAAGATCGTCATGAATGCGGCACTAGGGTTCGACTCATACGTGGTTATGCGCCATGGTATCAAGATAGATGGGGACCCATCAACAGAACTCGGCTGCTACTTTTGCAACGATGTCGTTGCGCCGATGAATGTAAGTAAGACAATTCGGGTTTACCATTCGCTTTTCGCTTTGCTGAGGATCTAGAAGTCTGTCAAGGACCAAACACTCGATCAACAGTGTACTGTCACTCGACCTGGTGTAGCCGCCATAGCTTCGGCTTTACTAGTAGAGTTGCTTGTTTCCCTTCTTCAACATCCTCTAGGCGCCGCAGCACCAGCCCCGTCTTCACGTAGTGATGACCGAGGAAACCATCCTCTGGGTCTTGTGCCACATCAAATCAGAGGATTTCTTGCAACGTTTGAGAATGTCCCAGTCATAGGCAGAAGCTACAAGTATTGTAGCGCCTGTTCGGACAGTATCACCCTTACTTACAAAGAAGATGGTTGGAAGTTCGTTCTGAGGGCTCTGAATGAGCCTGGATATGTTGAAGAACTGAGCGGTCTCAAGGAGGTTCGGTTGTCCCCCCTTGCCCTTTCCCCCTAGTCTCACGATATACGAACGCCCGCGTCTTCTACCACCCCCCATTTCTCCATTTCTTTACGCTTTAGCCCGGTGATCTGACTTTTTCTCAGGTACAAGCAGTAGCAGAGGCATCGCTTGCGGACGTTGAATGGGATGAGGATACCGATTCAGGAGAGGAGATAGAACCAGGCTCGGTTTGATGTGAAGAAAGCCGGTTGATGCTACATGTTTTTGTCAATTGTTGCGCCCCAAAGTCGACGAGCTCACCATATTATGATTCTTGAATGTCAGGACTTTTCCTTTTGTACACTGCTATTTCCGATCGAGACCAATGAAGAAGGATTCTTTGGACTCCTGCGCACTTGTCAGCATTGCGAAGGCATATCTTGAATCCTTCAGCGAATTATGAGGTAATTATACACATACATTTCGTGAAGATCCCGGTTTAAGTCTATGGACCCTTTGAAATAGCCCCCTTAGCTGTTTCTCCAGGGCCTTGTCTTCGGCTCCTTGATAAAACTTGCAGACGAAATGACCCCCGATTCGGAGGACTTCTTGGCTAAAATGCAGAGCTGCATGACAGAGGTCCTGATCTCATTAGCCTAGTGTAGACCCCAGGACTACTGGGAAGCTTCACGGCCTACCATACTACCTGCATGGTCCTTGAATCCAATGCCGCTTGTGTTCATCATCCTGTTGTAGGGATCACTTAGACTTCTCTTCCCAAACCCAGTTGTTTGAAACCAGGGAGCAGACATATCGCTGAGAACAACATCTACCGTCATTGAGTGCTTGTGATTCCGTCCATCGGAATCTGCTTGCTTATCAGAATTCGCGCTTACAGCCGATTCGAGTTCTTGTCCAGAGAAATCGGGGGTGGAAAATGCATTTGGAGAGCGTGGCCTGCCTCTATTGGCATCGCGCACAAATTCTCGGACATATGCCTGGATATGGGGGTCGAGAAAGTTGCCTTGGATCGTCGATACTCCTTTGGGGGGCTGGGCTGGGATAATGTCGACCCCCAGGACCCGACCATGGGGTTGCGTTCGAGCCACTGCTACCTGGCACAAAGTCAGCCGAGATATGGTCTTAACCTTCCCCTCGACGCACTTGAGACCAGGAACCTGGAGCATAACCCTATTTTGAAAGAATTACACTGTTAATCAAATGGCCCCTAATAAGACTCCTGATCTGTGGCTATCATACTAGGTCAACAACGGTTTGTCCGCTCTCAAAAATGTGATATTTCTCATCTATCTATCAAGAAAATCCATCAGGACGTATATGAATGCGGGGTGTATTGGGTTGAATACTTGAAGAAGCTTGAAAGCTGCGCGGCTTTTTAAACCCTGCACTGCTGCCGCCCTTGTGAAGTGATCCTTCAGCTGACGGGCCTGCCATCTTTTCGAGGACGAGTGTCGTTTAAGGATGTAAGGGTTAAGCACGCCTAAACTCTGGATTTTGGGGGAGAATTTCAAGAACAGAATAAGTTGCATGGTGCAGCGTTGGCAAATTTCAGAGGATTAAGGAAAATACTTGGGGCGATGGAGGAGCGCTGCCGCAATTTGACAAACTGGGCGGGCTAGCTAAATACTTCCGAATTCAGTTTTACGCTGCGCATCTGGCTCCTCCCTGTCTTTATTCCAACTCGGCTGGAACATAATTCCAAGCAATAGTATATTCTCCTGGCAGCCAGGGCTCTCAGAATAGTATTGATGGAAGTCGCTATTGTTTGCCAGGGATTGCTTGGTCTGGTTCTACTCTCTGCATCTAGAGGACAAACGGCAGGTCTCAGGCTAGTGCTAATCAGTGATCAAATGTTTAGACCTCCAACGCGGACCTTGTCGTTTATCAACACCTTATCAATCCTTCGAGGTAAAGGGGACAATCAGGACCGAGTAATGGGCTATCTATAAAGTCTATGTACTCAGCAGCTACCTACAGTCGCTACTAGTTATTACCCCAAGAAGTAGTATCTGTGGATCGCTTTACATCCACGGGCCCCAGATCCCCAATTTGGAGATCTACTTCCTCAGACAGTAGTTGCTATCTAGCAGTATGTACATCGTATATACTACTTTCTTATACCCAAATCCCTCACTAGTTAGTACTTAGTAAATGCCTCCATGACAGTAATTTCTCACTCCGGATGCAGTGATGCTAGATATCTAGTACTAAGCCGTACTCCGTACTTACTGAAGGTATCAAATTTACATACTTGTACTCTGTGTCTCTGTGTCACAAGCTGGTCAATACCTATTTACAAGCAGTAGGAACTAAGTTGTTGATAGTACGGAGTACTAAGTTACGTACTCCGTACTTACTTAGGTACGGAGTACCCGCATAGCGACCCGCTCCAGCGTTGTGGACACCTATCATCCTCGATACTACAGAGTACTCCGCTACCTGCCTACGCGTATACCTACTGTGTGTACCTACATGGCCGATTTCATTGCGGATTGCTGATCCGCCTTCTTTCTACCATCCGAATCAACACCTTAACTGTCATGCCAAAATGAAGCTTTTCAATCTCCTCGTGTCCATTCTTTGTATAATTCCGAACGCGTTCTGCACCGTTGCGGACTCAAACAAGTTTGAAAGATACCGTTCACTCTCGCGCTCAGCCCCAATCGAGCTCACAGATTCGTCATATGAAGAAATAACATCCAAGCCGCGTGATTACCACGTCGCAGTTCTCTTGACAGCTGCAGATGCTCGCTATGGATGTATCCTTTGCCGCGAATTCCAGCCAGAATGGGAGCTCATAGCACGAAGTTGGAACAAAGGTTCTAAACCTGATGGGCTTCAAATGCTTTTCGCTACCTTGGATTTTAGTGACGGCAAAGGCACCTTCCAAAAGGTATATAACACATAGTCTTTATGAATGGTTTATAAGCTGACACAATCGGTCTCTAAAAGCTGATGCTTCAAACTGCACCTGTCCTCCTTGTGTTCCCTCCCACTGTCGGTCCATTCGCCAAGGTTGACGACACACCTCTACGATTTGACTTCAGCGGGTAAATACTGAGAGGGACTCATGTCAATTTCATTTTACTGACATGACACTGCAGCCCGATTTCTGCCGATCAACTGTACACATGGATCAAACGTCACCTTCCAGAGGGGCCGAAACCACCTCTAGTTCGTCCGATAAACTACATGCGGCTTGTATCGGTTGTAACAATTTTGATGGGTGCAGTGACCCTTTTCACGGTCCTGTCGCCTTATGTTCTACCTATTGTTCGCAATCGGAACATGTGGGCTGCTTTCAGTCTGATCGCCATCCTTCTGTTCACAAGTGGCCACATGTTCAATCACATCCGCAAAGTCCCATATGTTGCAGGGGATGGCAGAGGTGGCATTAGCTACTTCGCAGGGGGTTTCTCCAATCAATTTGGCATGGAAACGCAAATTGTTGCTGCCATCTGTACGTTGGTCTCCATTACTAGTATGAGCTGCTGGTGCTAATCCAAAATTAAATCAACAGATGCCGTCCTTTCATTTGCAACGATTGCGTTGGCAATGAAGGTACCCCGGATCGCAGACAACAAAGCACAACAAGTAGCTGTGATCATTTGGGGCTCTGTACTTCTGGGTATGTACAGCTTTCTCCTCAATGTGTTTAAGACCAAGAATGGAGGATATCCCTTTTTCCTTCCCCCGTTCTAAGCCGGCCTCAATGTACGTTACTGGCCTGGATTCTTTAGCCCAGCCAAACCTCACTATGAAGCCTCGGGTTAGCGAATGTCCGCAGGAAGCTGCTGTATGCTATTCTTTTAGTCCAGGCGCCTCCGCTTTGATGTGCGGTGCTACTGTACACGGCAGGTCCATTCTGTCAGACTTGGCCAGTCGGGTGCGACACTCATGTTAATTTATACTACTGTCTTAGTCAATTGAGCAAGTTATAAGGAGTGGAGTACAGTACTACCCAATGAGTACGACTACGTTGCGTTAAACTTTTGCCAGCTCCTCTATACTAGTCGCATTAAAAGAAATATGGATTTCAGTCGATATCATCTAAACCCCTTTCCGTTCGTAGTCAAGACTGCTCCCACCCACGCTCACCTCCCCACTTCCAATCCACGAAATGAGAAAGCTTCACAAAAGAATTGGTCGCGAATGATCTATGGCAAATCCTGGGAGTTGCAAGTATCTTTATAACGCAGTATGTACAATTGACGTGGATAATGGGACGCATTCCGCCATGTTTCGAACACCTCGAAGATTACAAGGCTTATAGTTTCTAATTTTAGAGTCAGCTTCATAAAATACGGTGTGCTGATTTGCCTATCCATAGTGGGCTTATATATAAACTAGTATGACTACTGCTATATTTAGTAAAGGGTTCACTTACTTTCCTAGTTAGTTATCACCTGCTATGATGACTAATAAGAGTGATTGTTAACTATGGTAACAATACTGCAAACACTACGGAGTAAACCTTGGGTAAAAGAGGTAACGGGTTCCATACGCAACCTGGGAGTCAAGCATGAACATGCGGGTACGGCAGTTGCAGACTACTGTGCGGAGTAGCACGTGGCCTTTAATGCGGATACCTGGCCTGTCCTCCGTACCTACCATGGCCATGTACTGCCATGTTTAAAACCCAACTTGAGAAACCACTGAAATTTGATTCTTTCTTTGCATGTCCAAGCTGCAGAGACACCTTCACGGAACAACACATGCTTTAGAAAGGGGACCATTGGCGCAACCCAGCTTTTCATCTACATGTCACCGTCAGATGAGAATGTCAGCGCAATGCTGGCGTCATCAGCGTCTGGGACAACGCTGATGATTCTCGTTCAATTGGCATCTAGGGTCTTCACTTTCACTGCAAACCAGCTAATTCTGAGGGGTTTACCGCCGGCCATTCTGGGGATTGCATTCCAACTGGAGCTATACTTCATCTCAATACTATACTTCTCCAGGGAAAGTATCAGAGTGGCTATTCAAAGACAGCCATTGCAATTCAAGTCTATTGCCATATTTGATCACAAGGATGACACTGATGCGGCTTTCAAAAAGGCCAACGATGAATCGGAAGTCCGTACCATAGCGTCACAGTCAGCAGTGAACATGTCCTACTTGAGCCTCATGTTGGGGTTTCTGTTTGCCATGGCATTTGCTGCTTCTTATATACAATTTGCACCAAGTGAGGTCTCTCAATTGCCCTTTTATCACGCGAGTGTGGTGATAGCCACCGCTGCATCTCTTATGGAACTCTCTGCCGAGCCCTTCTTCACTGTAGTGCAGCAATATATGCTACACAGAAAGCGTGCAGTCGTCGAAATGAGTGCAGCATTTGTAAAAAGCCTCGCAACTTGCCTTGCTTATACCTGGGCTGCCCGGACTGGCCACGTTGTTGGTGTACTTCCATTCTCTCTTGGTTATCTCTGCTATTCATCCACCCTCATTTGCGGCTATATGTTGGCCCTGCGAGGGGTTTCGGATAAGTGGAAATTTTCTATGTTTCTCACCAAGATCACATCAAGGTATGCCATGGAAAACGAAAATAGCGGGATCCTACCTGATAACATTGTTCAGAAATGGGTCAGAGTACCTACTTGAAAGGTTTCCATGGCCGATGGTCACGCTGTCCACGAATGTATTTTTTCAGTCTGTGATAAAACACATTCTCACACAAGGTGACTCAATGATGCTGGCAGCAATGACGAGCTTAGAAGACCAGGGCATATATGCACTGGCCTCTAATTATGGCGGCCTGGTGGCTCGAGTATTGTTCCAGCCGATTGAAGAAAGTAGTCGGACACTCTTTTCGTCACTGCTGAACTCTGGAGGAACTGGAAAATTGAGTATCAAGAACGTCAATGCCGCTAAGTCCCATTTAACGGAAGTTCTTCGCGCATACAGCCTGATTGCTTTGGTGGGGTTTCCCCTGGGTCCAGCTTTGGTACCTCAGGTACTGCACGTGTTAGGTGGGCGCAGCTGGGCTTCGCCCCGCGTCAGCAGCCTGCTCTCGCTTTATTGTTATTACCTACCATTTTTGGCTTTCAATGGCATAAGTGAAGCATTCGTCTCTTCGGCAGCTAACACAGCCGAACTTCGCAACCAAGCGGTATGGATGGGAGTATTTTCAGCATGCTTCGCATCAGCGGCCTACTTATTCTTGAAGGTCGGCGGTCTGGGCGCCCATGGGATGGTGTATGCCAATATTGTCAATATGGCAGTTCGTATCCTCTGGAGCTTCTCTTTTATTCGGTCTTTTTTATCTCGGCACAAGAGTGGCGTGGCTCTTGCTGAGGTTACCCCACGACCACTCACTTGCATTGCCGGTGTCATAATGTGCATGATCCTTACTACAAGACAGTCATATGCTTCCGTAAACATTGGAGATGCGTTGACATTTGGTGCTGTTTACATTGTTGTGGTGTAAGTTGGGAGCCCTATATGTATGAAAACAAGCTCTAACTGTGTGTACCTGTAGGTTATATCTCGAGCGAAGGTACTTGATGATGTATTACACAAAAGCCCGCGAAATGGTGAAATCAAAAGCAAACAAAACCTCCAAACCAAAAGGCGAATGATGCCATGATCAATCGTCAAAAACAATCTTCGTGGATGTTTTGTTGGTATCGACGTCCTTGAAAAAAGCACCGTATGCGTCATGTTGCTTCTTCTTTACTGTTGCTCCAAACTTGAGAAGATCTTCTGGCACTTCCTGCTTCGCCGCTTTTAGAACGTTTATTAAACTAAAACGCATCAATCCCGGTTAGAACCTGTTCAAAACACCCCAGCATATCGATAGGGATGATATGGAAACTGGGGGCGGAGAATGGGAATGGAAGGCCGGGGCCTCTAAGGTGTCATTTGTCACTTACGCTCCAGACTGGGCTTTATCGACCTCTGTGAAAAGAGTAATTGCATGACCTTCGGCTCCAGCACGGCCAGTCCTTAATATCAATCAGTCAGCAAGGCATAACATACAGGGTATAGTGCTTCACTAACCGCCCAATCCGATGTACATAATCCTCAACAGTAAGGGGAAATGTAACGTTTATAACAAGCTTGACCGAAGGAATGTCGAGGCCGCGAGCTGCCACATCGGTCGCAACAAGAATAGTCGAAACTCCTTTCTTGAAAGAATCTAGGCTTTTGAAACGTTCCTGTTGACCCAAGTCGCCGTGTATGCCAGCAACTTTGAAACCTTTGTTCCAGAGGAGTCTTTCAACGCGCACGGCCTCTTTTTTATACAAGCAGAACACCAAGATTTTATCCTCACTGGACGGTCCCTTCTGATACTTGTTCAATAACTGTACAAGCCTCTGTTCTTTTTCCTGTGGCTTCACCACCTCAACCACTTGTTTAATTCTAGTGTTCGCGCGTGGATCAGCTGACGGCTCTCCACCAATTGTGACAGTCACAGGTGAAGTCATAAATGTTGCAGCAAGATTCCTGACGACTGGAGGCCAGGTTGCCGTAAACATAACAGTTTGGCGCTTGGACACGGGCATAGGACGGATGATGTCCTTAATGTCTTGCTCGAATCCCTTGTCCAGCATGCGGTCTGCCTCATCCAGGACGAGGTATTTGACTTTTCCAAGGTCCACCGAGCCATCGTTTTGAAGATCCTTCAATCTTCCTGGTGTTGCCACGACAATAGTTGCTGTCTTCAAAGCCTCGCGTTGCTCGTCTTTCTTCACACCACCGAAAATACAGGCCACCTTAATGTCGACCAGTTCTGCAAATTTCAAAATTTGATCATATATCTGCATCGCCAGTTCTCTCGTTGGGGAGATAATAACTGCCGTCGGCATATAGGGCTTCCCCTTTCCTTTCTTCGCCGAATCTAGAATTCTCTTCAGGCATGGCAAACCAAAACCAAGTGTCTTGCCACTTCCAGTCTCAGCAATGCCAATTACATCACGGCCAGCAAACAAGAATGGCCAAGTCACCGACTGGATTGCAGTAGGGGATGTAAACGAGTCCAGGGGACGGTATAGTCCACTATCGCAGGCAGGAAGGCGAGAAAATGAGATGATAGGATGAAGCTTTGCTGCTTCTTCCAAAGTATCCGTTACCTTGACTGAATTCTCTGAGAAAAATTTTTCTAGATCTGCTGGGGAAAGTTCATTCGAATCGGTATGCTGGGTCTCAGTGCTGGCTTCGGCGTCCTCAGTCTTCTTTGTGCGCTTTTCAGTCTTTGACTTCTTCTTTACCCTGTGCTCGGTGCTACCTTTGTCTTGGAGCTCTCGTTTAGCCATCTCGCCCTGTGTTTTGCTGTTCACTTCCTCACTTTGGGGGCAATAAGAAGCCTGAATCTGTGTATACTAGGAAAGTAATCAACCACTCTCCCATTACATTTTTTTACATATAGTTTCAATTTTGATTTTTTTGGGGGGGGGGATGGGGGCGCGGAAACCTTCCTCCGGACTAAGGTACTCCATAGGGTAAAGCGCTACTGCTCTAGTACCATTTAGTGCTAGTAACCTTGTCTAGAAGTGTGGTAGTCTTGCGGATGTCAACACGTTATCTCGATATGGAAACTACCGATCTACTCTGTACCTGTCCACGGAGTATCACAGAGCATGGAGTATTTTCGCGGTTTATGTGTCCCTCTTTATACTATTTTTCGGTCCGTACTGTGCTTAAACCACAGTGAGCTATCTGCATATAGAGTACCAGATGTATCACATACTGCCATCATTAATAGGAAAGACCTAGATAATCAAAATTAAACAGGAAACTAACTTCCAGATAGTTGATGCTCAGGCAAGACCAGAATGAGATAGGGCCTATACTGGATATAAATTCAACTCAATTTGAGCTTGCTCCTAAAATAAATACTAAGCTACGAGAATGTATGTCGTATTTCGCGAGCAGAGTGTTCCGTACATCTACTGTCTCCTTTGAATTGATTATAGAGGTCACTTGCCATCCTCGTCACACATCCACTATATACACCAGCAATCTCTGGTTCACGGTTTAGAGGCCGACGTTATCTTCTCGACCGCTAGGTTCCATTTAGTCTATCGTACATATTAACTTACCCTTGGTCTGGTTGCTCTCAAGTAACCTATGAGCATCCGCAATCTCATCAAATGGGAAGACCTTTTCGATGAAGATCTTGAAAGTTCGGTCAATAAACTTGGGTAAAGCATGTTCCACCAAAAGATCACGCAACCTCCCTTGGTATTCCTCATCTCTGCTCCGAAGCGTACTGCCCTCGAACCTCAGCCTTTTCCTTAGAATCCCACTAATATCAATATTAGCAGGAAGAATAGAGCCACTCATCTGTCCCAATTGGACGATATGTGCATCCTGCGCGGCCACGTCGAGGTTGCCTTGAAAATGGGCTGCGCCAACGAAGTCAACTATAATGTCAACACCGCGACCGTTTGTTGCTTTGAGTATTTCAGAGGCCCAATCCTGGCTTTTGTAGTTGTAACCAGCGGTTGCCCCAAGTTCGCGTACGCAGAAATCAATTTTGTCTTTTGATCCTGCGGTCACATAAACAGCAGAGGCATTATCAACTTTCGCGAGTTGAGCCCCGGCTATCGATACTGACGAAGCCCCTGCATGCCAAAGAACAGACTTCCCAGCAGTATACTCCCCGATCAAGTAAAGTGCCTGACTGGCCGTTATCCAGGTCTAGGAATATGGGCCATGGTTAAACCGAATTTGTCTTCCTGGAGACAGATGTTGACCTTACCTCCGGTATTCCTGCAGCTTCTTCCCATGTCAATTCTGAAGGCTTGTGTATTAACATCTTTGTTGACACCACAATATATTCCGCGTAGGCGCCTGGAAGGATTGAATCAATTATTACGCAACAGTACCCTAGAATGTTTCCATACATACCACCATAAGCCAGTCCAAACACGTTGTCGCCAGCCTTAAACCCATTCTTGGTGTTTGTGCCGATTTCTATAATTACCCCAGAGAATTCAACCCCCATGGTGCTAGGGGCTTGCGGAGGAAGAGGGTATTTTCCCTCACGCTGCAATAGATCCATTCGGTTCAAACCAAACGCTTTGATCTTGATAAGAGCCTGCCCCGCGCTAGGGCTTGGGATCGGAATTTGTTCAACGAACAAAGAATCAGCGCTTCCCTTACCCCCTTCAACACCTGGGTAAATCAGTAAAAAGGCGATTTGAGCCGGAACAACGCAACCAACCAATTGCTTTCATCATACTGGTCATTTTTTTGGTTTGAAGGTTTTGGAATATATGACTCAAGAAATATTCGGATTCTCACTAAGTCACCTACGAATGGCCTTTCCAGACATTGAGGGGATATTTTTATACTTGAAGTCTAAACGTAATCTCCATTTGTCATCAAGCCTGTAACTAGTTAGTTAGTTAGTTAGAAGATTGTGTGATTAGTCATGGCGACAATGTCGTCATGCGCAAAATGAGTACGTAGTGGGGATACAGCTCCGGTGGGGTCAGATATTAGTGCAGCACTCAATCAGTTGTTTTAATTTCAAATCAGCTTAGCACGTGATCATTGAAAATTGTACTATGTACTATGTACGGAGTAGTAAAATTAAGAAAATTCTTTAATAATCTCTAATATCCTAAAGATCCTGAATGCCCTAGAAAACACCCTAAGATTTATAAAAACTGTGATAAGATTTGTTGATCAAAATCATTCAGTGTCAGAATAGCTCATTCAGTGCTCGAATTTTAAGTCCTGATACTGGATGATTTCTCATATAATAGAGGTTGTTCGGCATCAGGAATTCTGTGAAGCCGCTGCACCAATTTCCGACCCCGTTGCAGCTGGGACCCTATGAGTGCAAGTCACGATCTAATCCACTGATCACCTGACAGCACATTAAATGAACCAATGGGAAGTCTTGGAGATGGAAACTTCCAGCAGCCGGACCTACTATGGGATGTGTCGAGAATATTGTAAAAATTACCCACTGTGGCAAGTCTGATTATCTCTTCCGCCTTCCTAACCGCTTCCTGTTGGATAGCTTCCGAATGGCTTCAGAATCAGATATCATGAAACCGACAGAATCGAGCTTACTAAACTGGCCCACATGATCACCATTTTTACAATTTTTACGACACGTCCCATAGTAGGTGAACTCCAGCTCGATTGTAAAGCGCGTTAGCGCGGAGCAAGTCTACTAGGGTACTGTGTAGTAGGTTTCTTTCTAAAGGTTCGGGCCTTCGGCTTCTGATTGGTGCACAGAGTACTCCGTCTGGCGTCTGATTGGTTCTTCAATTAACCAGTAACGTGACCTAGCCCATATTGCCAGCTCTTACCGCTTTTCAGTGCTCTGGGCCGTGGGCGACCGCAGGTCGTCCGCAGGCCACGAGCTAGTGCAGTTTGGCAGAAACCAAGCCAGTATGGCTGTAGCGCCTGTGTGGCAGCGCGGGGCATCTTTCTTTTTTTTACGAGAATAAGTTGTACCTGGCTTGATATCTGGGGATAACAAGTTACAACTCTTCAGACCTGATATGAAAACAGACACATGTCAAATATTTAATTCTCTTCTTCCTCCATCCAGAATTTTCGATTGCGGGTGTAACTTGAGAGTTCAAAGCCAATCGCGGCTTGGCGCAGCCTCCACCCTGGAGCCCTATCTGTGATATCATGAGTCTTCAGTACTAGCTTCGATCTATTACACAGTAGACAGTATTACAACTCTTCTCCATAGATCTGCACCTGATTTCCTATGTAGGCGAGAACACCAATTTAGGGAACTACTGTACTCCGTACACTAGTCAACCTTCGAGGCTCCTGAGTTTAGTATGTGTCTGTGGTACCCCAACGCCTATTTCAGGCTTCGAGCGTCTTTGCTGCGGCCATTATTTTTAGTGGTCTTTCATTTGGTTTGACATGCACATTTCCATGTTCGTGGCCTAACATGAACAGCATTATGGCAATGAGAAATATGCAGTGTCAGAGAATCTCTGCTACATATGAATGGAAAGGTAAAGGGGGTCATGTATAAACAGATAGCGGACACAGCAAGGTTCGGGCATCGCGAGAACATATTCAAGACACGGTATAGGATTCAATCACATCGGCGAGGCGCGAAGCCTCTTCAGAGTAGTTTATCGGTCTTGCTGATGATATCTGGTAGCGAATACTGGGAAACAATCAGCATTACAGTTGAGACACGTGAAGGACCACCTTACCGTTGTTGTTCGCCGAAGTGGTCTATTTTGGCACGGCATCTGAAATTCCAAGTCCGGCAATTAGCATCTTGGAATACATCCCCGGCCGCTTTCTCATCCGTTTGTAGCAGCTCCATCAATTGATTTGCTGAGGTGCCCATCATTGACCTGCCCACATCGTCAAAGCAGCTTAGCCAGAGTTGGCCCGTATGATCGCTAACATTGACATGCATGATATAGCGGTATTCTGGTCGGGCGTGAGTCTTATCGCAGCGTTCGCAGCGCCACTGGCCAGGATCAAGCTCCGTTACTTTTTTGTTGCAACCCTCTGAAAGGCAAGCAGGGTAAGACATGTTGTCCTGCTTTATATAGATGACGGTTGCCTTCAGCGAAAAGTAAACTGCTTCCTCCGACATTCCCAACTGCTCCTCTCTGATCTGGGCGATTGTCTTGAATCGATCGGATTTCATAGTGGATGTTGCTGTCCCCAATAAAGAAGCGTGCGAAGAAAAATTCTCATCCCGGCCTTGTGCATCGTACCACCCCTTGAGCTTGTGTGCTTCTTCAATATCAGGGTCAACGGCCATTGAGCCTGAACTCAGCAAACTCAAGCTTCGCCCACCAAAGTCGGAAACCTTCACACCTTTGAACGCTATTACTGACTCGGGCAACGCATTGAAATTCAAAGCTGTAGCACCCCAGACGGTCAAACGAACGGAGAACCCGGTATTGTCAACTAAAGTCAGCTCACGCTTGTTATAGGGCTTGTTCGTAGTTTTGGATACGATTTGCGAAACCTCCATAGCCTCTTTCAGTACGCCTATCAAATCGATGGTTGTATCCTTCTCAACGGACTGAAGATCACCGATAGTAGTGAAATTGAATCGAACCTGGGGAACATCACTCTGATCCTCTGCCTAAACAATTACTGTGAGCTAAGGAACTAAGAAAGCTGACAGCGATTGAATTTTGACTAACCTTTTCAACGACAGTATCCCGTTCAAAGGTAAGTTCATAATCGTTGTTCAGGTTCGTGAACTGCTTTTTGGCAATCTGGACGCGACAGTTGGAGACGTAGTATACACTACCTTCCTGGAAGATGTCGTACAACATATCGCATTGATCATTGAATCCGGTGGCACGAATTTCACCGCTATCATCCAGCAAATTCACACTAAAAAGTCGCCCTTCCGTGTTTCTATTGTGCCAGGTCTTGATATTTGTCTTGCTTGTGCAGCGTGCTTTAATCGTCCATTTATGGGAATATGGGGAAATTGCCTCAATCGGATATATGGTAGCATGTGCTGCGGCCAAAACAGGTCGTGTTGACTGTACTCGGGTATTCGCCTGTATCTGTGCACCTGGGATCTTCGAGCCATAGAAGCCATTACTGGAAATTGTAGTGGGCTGGGGCCTTTCGTCCTCATCTGTCTTATTCTCGAGTGGTTTTGGTTCACCAATCTTATCAGCCTCGCCCAGTTCCTGCAATACTTCCAGGTCCAGGATTATGAGAATCCTATTCCACCATCAGCATTTAGCACAGCAGAGATGTAGTTTGTCACTAACTTTTTCCCCTTGACCGAGTTCGCTTGAAACGACTTCAACCGAACAAAGCACCCTTTCCGTAACAACCCACTGGAGACCACCGGATTCAATTCTAAAGATGCAATAAGATATATCAGCAATAATAATGGTGGGATCATAGTGTTGTTCAAGACTCACGAGTCGCAAGCATCGTCTGGACATAGTTTGAGATATCGCTGAATACAGCCCGGTAACGTTCCTGATGATTCTGTTGTGGCGGCAACGGCTTAATTTGAACACACTGGACAATAGGCTCCCGAATTTGAGGTTTTGTTTCATCAAATATGGCACTTAATGGGATTAGTACATTCATGCAGATGATGAGTTCCAGTTAGCACACCTAAGGGCCCCGGCAGAGACTTGAGATGCTGCTTCTGAAGCCATCTGTGACAGCTCTGAGGATTGCTGGATGGCCTGTTCCTCGACGCGGGTTTAATGGCAAGGGAAAAGCTTGTTTTTGAGATAATAATCAATCGAGGACAAAAAAGGTGCTCAGTGACGTAGAGAAAAAAAGTATTTGAATCTTATTTGAGGGTATGGTTTTTTGCACTTTAGTCCATTGTAGATTGACAGCACTTTGGATAAACAATGGAAGAAGACGCGACCCGGGACTTCTTCACGCGGTAGGAGCGCGTTTGAACATCCACCCCACTTTGGAATGCAACATTACACTTCCCGCCTCAGGCCATAATACAGAGTAAATAGCATTACATAGTAGTACGGAGTACTACGTACGGAGTATAGTACTTTGGTATGACATTGGTCAAAATAAGTGGCATACTACGTAATATTCTCCCACTTTGCCCCACCTTCATACCTGACGGCAACTATTGATAGAGCAGATTCTAAGGACTTCAGACAACTTATGCTCACTCAAATAGACTGAGTGTAACAACAAGGCACATTTCCACGTGCTAGTACCGCCAACATCCTGAATTATTCCTTCACTGCTCTTATTTTCTACGGTATTAGGCTTCATATAGCTCTCAGTATACCTCAACATGGCTTGCTCCCATGTCACCTCTGAAGGTCAGGTTATGACTGATTTTAAAACCAGAGCAAACACTTAAGTATGGTTCTTGCTTGAGATTCTAACTCTTATTCATATTGCAGAATTAAGACAGCCAACTGCATCGCAAGTTGTATATAGAGAAGACTGCACACAGTGTTTCGACTCCATAGTATGCATCCATCGCCCTCTTCAATTACGAAACTGACAAAATCATCAGGATGAGGACCAGGGTCTGAATGTTTGTCTAACATGCTTCAATGGCGGTTGCGCAGGCGATAGGAACCATGCCCTCCTTCACTTCGAACGATCCGGTCACCCACTGGCGCTCAACATCAAAAGATCACGTAAAGAGGTCCAGGTGTGTACCAATGACACTTGAATCAAATAACAACGTCAATTATATCTCATTAACAATGTATCGCAATAGCGAGACGAGCCTCCACATAAGATTTCGAAGCTTGCAATTGCTGCCGAAACAGATGAGGATCGGTATTGTACGAGAACACATGTTGTCTGTTATTCATGCCGCCAGGATGATGTCGACGCATCCAGTGGTAAGCTGCCAGCTGTAATTGATGGTGTGATGAAAGCGATGACCTTCTCCAAGAGAGAAGAAGTCAAGGCCTGGGAGCAGGAGTTTATTCCTTGCGAACATACAATCGGTTTGGTCCAGCGAGAATCCAGGCAGATTGAGTCGAAAGGTAGTCATCTTCCCTTTCCCTGAAATACTTGGATTATGCTGACAATTAGGAGACAGATCTTGTCCAGTGTTCCATGTGTAATTTGAAAGAAAACCTTTGGCTGTGCCTAGAATGCGGTAATCTTGGCTGTGGCCGCAGTCAATTCGGGGGCGTTGGGGGCAACTCGCATGCTCTTGCGCATTCTGACATGGTAACTCATCCCGTTGCAGTGAAACTCGGTTCGATAACCGCAGATGGATCAGCAGATATCTATTGCTATAGATGCAACGAGGAAAGGACAGATCCCAACCTAGCTACTCATCTTGCCCATTGGGGCATCAATCTGGCAGGCCGTGAGAAGACGGAGAAGAGCTTGATGGAAATGCAAGTTGAGCAAAATATGAAATGGGAATTTTCGATGACCTCTGAGGATGGCCAAGAACTCACTCCGGTGTTTGGCCCAGGATTGACCGGTCTGACTAACTTAGGAAACAGTTGCTACCTCTCCAGTGTCATTCAATGCCTTTTTGATCTACCCGAGTTCCAGAAACGATATTATCATCCGAGTACGGAGCCACCACTTTCAGAAAAGCCAGCGGAGGACCTCGAGACCCAGCTGCGAAAGGTCGCAGATGGCGTTCTTTCTGGGAGATACTCTAGGCCCGATAGCAACATCAAAGCTTCGCCTGATTCAGCGCAAGTTCCACACCAAAGAGGCTTGGCACCGGCTATGTTTAAGCATCTTGTCGGGCGTAACCATGAGGAATTTTCTACGATGAGGCAGCAAGACGCCTTCGAGTTCATGATTCACTTCTTTAAGCAAATCAACCTATCAAAGCACCCCCAGGGGCAGGGTAACCCAATCGCGTCATTCGGTTTTACAATGCAACAGCGTCTTCAATGTTCGCAATGCAGAAAAGTTCGGTACAAATGGGATGAGCAGGACAACATCTCCATCCCCGTTCCTGCTCGTCGTATCTCTGCAGAAAATTCCGGCTCTACCAACAAGTTTGGTAGTGTGACTTTACTAGAATGCCTGGATGCCTTCACAGCCGATGAAGTTGTTGAACTCAGCTGTCCCTCATGTGGTGGCACAGACGGATTTATTAAACACTCTTCGTTCAAGACGCTGCCGCAGAACCTGGCCATCAATGCGCGGAGGTTCGAGCTGATAAATTGGGTTCCTACAAAGCTGGACATACCGGTACAAGTTGACGAAGAGCCGATAGATCTCAGCCCTTACATCTCGTCTGGGCCAGAAAAGAATGAAGAACTTCTCCCTGATATTGAGGCACCCGAGAGATTATTTCGGCCGAATGAAAATGCTATGCAGCAGCTTCTCGCCATGGGTTTCCCTCAACCAAGGAGCGAGAGGGCGCTTTATATGACCGGCAACTCAGACCCCGAGGCTGCTATGAATTGGCTCTTTGCTCATATGGAGGATCCCGATGTAGATGAGCCGCTCGATAAAACGATTTCTAATGGTCCAAGAGGCCAGCAGGATCCAGCAAGTGTGGCGCAGTTGGCCGAAATGGGCATCAATGAGAATCACGCTAGGAGGGCATTAGCAGCGACGGATGGTGATCTCAACAGGGCGATTGATTGGGTGTTCACGCATCCGGAGGACTCGCTAGAGATTCATTCTGAGACTCATGGAACCAGTGGCAATTCTATGCTTGGGTTCGATGCTACTCCGGCAAGATATCAATTGCGGTCGATTGTGTGTCACAAGGGCTCCTCTGTACATGCTGGGTACGTAAATTCGTTGGGTTGCATAGGCTTCAACTAACAAACTACAGGCATTATGTTGCAATTGTGCGAAAGACACTTCCGGGAATGGAAGGTTATTCATGGGTCATGTTTAATGATGAAAAGGTCGTTCACATGGATGATATACAGGAGATGAAGAAGTTTGCCTATTTGTACATATTCACTCGAGTTTGAGTGCGTTGTATATGCTAGGCACATGAAGTGACCGGACATTTATAGCTGCTGCGGTAATTCCAGATACCTGCACCACCGTCACATCAAACAGTTGAAATGGCTGTTCAACACAAGAAATGAGGTTGTATTGGTGCTAACTACATTAGAACTAGAGTGGCAAACAGCCAGGTCAGGTCACGTTAATAGGGAAATTTATACCTTCTGTCAGATTGATGATTACATTAAAAAAGAATTTATATTTAACTATAGTCCGTATGATCACGATCAACCTCCTGCCTGCCTATCTGTTCCAGAGTCCCTTTATATGGTGTACACAATATAAAGCTACCAGCTTTACATACCAGTCCTTTTGCCAATAATGCAGCGGTTAAGGCTTGGAATCTGTACCTAAGGCTGTGAGAGACTCCAACCTCACATGTGCCACACGTGACCAGCCCCAGGCAACTACTAATTACTGTTTAAAAAGCTATTAATTACTAAATAAGATTTATTAGGTATAGAAAAACCTATTGATATAAAAAAGATAATCTTATTAAGATTAAGATTTATTGTTGAAAAAAAGAATATGTTAAGTATCTAAAGTCAGTCTTATAAATATATATAGAGAGAAATATCTATTAGATTAGGACCTCTAGATCACTAATACTGATCTATTTAAGATTTTAATATTATTAAATCATTAATTATTTAATTAGATTTATTATCTTCTAGTAGCTTACATTAGTAATGTCACGGGGCATACTGGGTGCGCATTCCAGGTACTTCCCGCTGCACTATCAGCAAAAGGACTAGGATATAAAGCCGATGGCTTTACACTGCGCACGCTATATAAGGGTATTCAGGAACAGGATTCAGGCAGGATTCAGGCAGGATTCAGGCAGGATTCAGGCAGGATTCAGGCAACCACGCGGGTTCAGGCAGGCAGGCAGGCAGGCACCGTGACAAGTAAAATAATATAAAAGATTAAAAAGAATCATTAATAATTATATTATAATATTCTTTTTAATTCTTTATTCAATTAATAGGCTATTTATTCCAATTAATAAATTTTATTATTTTTTAGTCTTTCAATTAGATTATATAACAATAAATTAAAATTAATTTTTTATTTAAGTAAAATTTAAATTAATATTTACTATTATTTCTATTATAAAAGAAATATTGTAAAGATGCGGGCAGGTAGGGGTGGTAGGATAGCAGGTTCTAGTGGGCAGGCAAGGTTCTAATAATAATAATAACTAAGATTCCAACTGGATGCTGAGCTAGCTATTAATTAAATTATATATAAATAAATAAATAAGATATAGCTTAAGATTATAAATAAGATTTAGAGAATAAATAATTTTTAATTATACTTAGAATTATATATTAGATAATAAAATTTAATAATAATTTTTTTTAATTTAAAAAATTATATTATAATAGTATTCTTTTTTTTAAGCTGAGCTTTTATAAGGTGAAGATTAAAATTTATATAAATAATAATAATAAAAGTTCTTAATAATTTAATGGGTATTCCCTAAATATTCTATAAATTTAATAATAGGATTAATATATTCTATTTATTTTATAAAATATATTAATTAGAGGCAGCCTTATTTTTAATAATCTTAAAAAATTTTAATATATTTTTAATTTTTTATTTTTTAAGTCCATTAATCTTGATATAAAGAGAAAAAAATTAATATTAATTTAATAATAAATTATTATTAATAGAGATAAATAAACTTATATTAAATATTAAATAGATTTTTATATTTAGCAACAGTTTTAAGCGGTATATATAAAAATTAATAATTTTTTAATTAAATATAAATCTAAAGTATTCTAGTTAAATTTTTTATTAAATTATAAGATTTTAATAAATTAGATATCCAGTTGGACTTTCTAATTTTTCTAAAATCTTTAATTAGAATAATATTTTTTATTAATTTATTTTATATATTTAGTTTAGACTATAACTATCTTAGCTCTTATAAATTCTATAATAATATATATATATTTTAATAGTAGATTACTCTGCGTTTTTAATAATAAATTAATTGAAAATAAATATAGATTTAAATTTTATTTATAGATAAAAAAATATAATTAATAAAAAATAATATTATTTTAATATAATTTATTTATTTTATCAAGCCATTAATCTCAGGATAATAAATAATTAGTAATTAATTAATAACATTTAAATATTAAATTAAATATTTTTAAATTTTAGCCATAAATTAGAGACTTTAATAAAAGAATTATAAAATAAAAAAAATTATATAATTTTTATATATATTATATATATATCATGGTTACTCTAGCAACATTAATAATAAAATTATAAAATATTAAATATTTTATTTTAATAAGTTTATTAATAATTACTAATATAATATTATATTTTTAATTCTTAAGTAAATATATAATGAAATTTATAGATATATTTAATAAAATATATCAAAAGAGTAGTAGAAATTTTAAGATATTTTATTTAATTTTTTAAGATAAAATAATATAATAATAAATATAATAGTTTTTTATTTATTATTTTATATAATAATAAAAATTGGATTAATAATAATTTTAAATTAAAAATTTATATATATAAAACTTCCTAGGATATCCCGAGAATAGTTTATTATATATTAATTAAATTAATTTAATTTTTAATTTATTATAGTCGAGGATCTAAAGATAGTTTTTTTAAAATAATAAATTTTTTTATAGAAGGTTAGAAAGGCACTTAAATAATAATTTCTATTAATTATTAATATTTTTAAAATATTTTATATTTATTTATTTTTCTTATATATATTTTATAAAGTATTCTAGATTTCTAGTAATAATAATAAGTTTTATTTATTTTTAAAAATAATATTATTTTAAGATTAGATTATTAGGGTTAGAGTATTTTTAAAAAAGAATTTCAAAATTTTCTTATATAAATAATAGTTTAGGATCTAAAAATATTTTATATTTATTAAATTTAAGATTTTTTAGCTGTTTTAGGTTTGGGATTTTTTAATTTTAAATAATTATTTAGAATTCAAAAATATTTTATATTTATTAATGTGATAGAATGGTTCAGATTGAGGCCTTATCTTATCGGCATTAGCCTGACTGACGTCTTAGCCTTGTAATAGACTATATTAAAAAGATTATAATTATAAGATTATTAACTTACATATTATAGTAGCTTATTAACTTTTATATAATAAGAGAATAAAATCATACTATTTAATCTTTTAAGGATTAATCTATCTTAAGGATTAATCTATCTTATAAATATAAGCTACTTTTATTATTACTAGTAAAATCCTATATATTTAATAGCTAGTTTCTTATCTAATTAATAAGTTTTTTATTTTAATAAATAGATTTTATTATATTCTAATCCTTACTTTTTAGCTACCTAAAGAAAATACTATTTAAAAATTATAAAAAAATAAAAATAGTTAGTAATTGAACTAATTTAGAATTATTATTAAATACTATTTCAACTATTAAAAAAATTTAATAATTAGAAAATTATATTTATTAGTTAAAATAAGCTAATAATTTATAATTAAAAATGGTTTATCTTTAAAGAAAATTATTCTTTTAATAAAATCTTATTTAAATATTATTAATCCTTTCCTAAATCTAATAAAAAAAATTAAATTTAAAAATATCCCTCACTTTGCATTGAACTTTAATCTTTAAAAATATTAAAAATAAATTATTAATCTAGAATATATATTTTAGAAAATTTCTAGAATATATTTTACTAAAAATATAAGATCCTTACTACTGTTAACTATATAGATTTAATATATAAATAAAGATAGTATTATTTTACCAATAATAAGAGTCTGGAAGAGAGATAATTATTTAAAATATTATAACTCTAATTCAAAGATTAAATACTTATTTTAATTTAAAATACTGTTACTCTGTAGTTAGATATTATAATTTAATTTAAATAAACTTACTAGTAATATGACTAAGATCTAAGAGAGTTTCATATCTATTTTAATATTTTAGAATAATATTTTCTTTATTAAGTAGAAAAAGAAAGAGCTCTATTATATTTTATTAAATTATTATTAAATCTAAATTATTATATTTAAGAATATATCCCGCATATATCTAAGAAATAAGAGAAAATAATATTTATTATTATTTACTATTATAAATTATAGAATAATAAAGGGAAATATAAATAAAATAATAATAAATTTAATAATTACTAACCATATAAGTAGGTTTTAAATTATTATAATAATAATCTAATTAAAAATACTATTTTAAATCATAAAAAAAATTCCTTTAGAAAAAATAGTAAATAATTATAATATTTTATATATAATAATATCTAATATCTTGTAAACTATTATTTTATTAAAAATAAAAAATTTTAATTTATTAAAATTTATTAGTTCTTATTAGAGTTAAAGAAAAAAGTAGAAAAGTTAAAATAGATCTTATAATAATTTTAATTCTATTATTTATAGTAGGGATTACTCATTATTTTTATATTTTTATTTATATTTAAAATAGGTTTAAAATTTTTACAGACCTAGACAGTTATATTAAAATAAATATTATTAATTATTAATTTATTAAAATTTATAAACTTTAATATGCTCTAGTTACTGTATTTAAAATTAAAATAATTAATTAATTTAATATTTTTATTTATTATATATAAAAAATATTTATTACTGCTACTAATTCACGGGGAAATACTTAAATTTTTAAATAATATTATATAAAAATTAATAGAGATCTTTAACTAGATAATAATCTTATTTTATTATTAATAATTATATTTTAAGATTTAAATATTATTTTATTAGTATAGAATCACTTATAATAATTTAATATATTATTAATTTCTCTTTTTTCTACTATTAAATTTATTATAATAATTTAAAATTTAGTAAAAATATATACTATTATTAAATTTTCTAAAGATATTTAATTATCTAAAAAAGAATTTTATAAATTATTATTAAATTTAAAAATAATATTAATTAAACTCTAGCAGTTCTAAGATATCTTTTTTATAGATTTTTTTAATATTTATTTTTTTATAGTTTTACAGACTATACTATTATTCTTAAATCTCATAAAATATTTTTATATAATTTTATATATTTTTTTTTATAAACTAAACTTAAAATCTTACAAGAATATATTAAAAAAAATCTAAAGTTAAATATAATTTTTTAAGAGTCC